ACAAGTATCTCTCTTTAACCAGAATATTTTTTTCCTGTTGTCTACCTTTAATCTTTCAAGCAAAGACTGGATGTTCTGTGCCTGTCCTTTTGATCAGGGCCTGGGGGGTAAGGGTAGGTGAAGAACAGTGGGGACCAGCCTCCCGGCCACCCAGCTCCTGCTGAGAAGGGGTGCTTTTGCCAAGGGTGTTTGCCAGCACCTTTACAGCAGGGTGCTCAGAATGCTCATCCGTAGTGTGCCCAGCACATTCAGGCGGAGCTCTGGCAGCCTGGGCATTGCGAGGCCCTCCTCACCTTCCCAGGCCTCCAAACAGCAGGGGATGATCAGGCTGGTGTGGGTAGCACGTGTGAGAAGCCCCCTTCTGGGTACACCCTGGTGGCTACAGGGACAGCGGCAATCCCAGGCAGCCAAAGCCAGACTGGGAGGGCCAGGTTATCTTTAAATGGTCCCTTACTCAGCCTGCAGCTCTGCCAGCTGGGCAGGCTGGGGGCAGACAAGTGTTATTTTGGGACAGAGGGTAAGAGAGGAGGAAGGCTCTGTTTACAGCTTTTCCCTGTCTGTTCCTGTCCCCTCTCCGGGCAGGGTTAGTGGCCCTCAGGCTGCAGTACTCGGCAGGCCCCGGGGTGTTTCCAGCCGCGCTGTATAAACCATCAGCACAGATGGGGAAGGCTGAGGCTGCAGAGACACATGGTCTCTCTTTCTCCACTACCCCCAGCTTTCCTCCCCTGCCCTCCCTGCTTCTTTTTTTTAAGCAGTGGCAAAGTTTACCTGAAAAAGTAAAAGTGAAGGAGAAACTGGCTTTGCAGAGTAAGCTTGGGCAGAGGAAAAAGCAAGTTAAAAGTACACCCTGGAGGATGTGGGGTGGGGGTCAGGTGAGGAAAAGCCACCGTGGCCCTCCACCTTCTAATACTGGGCATTCAACCCAGGGCCTCAAGTATGCTGGGCAGGTGTTCTAGCACTGAGGTACCTCCCCAGACCTTCTTGAGACAGGGTCTAAATTCCCCAGGTTGGCCTCCAAATTTTTTTGGGAAAAAGGTTCTCACTATACAGTTCAGGTTTGCCTTGAACTTGTGGAAATCTTGCTGCCTCAGGCTCCCGAGTGCTGGGATTACAGGTGTGCACCACCATGCCCGCCTGGCCTCAAATCTTTGATCCTCCTACCTCCTATATTTAGGATTAGAGCCATGTGTCCCTGAACCCAGATGATACAGGGTCTTTCTTGTCAAAAGCAGCTCTGTAAAGGCAGGTTTAGGTGCTCATAATTCAACATGAGATTAGACAACAGCTAAAATTAGTATTATGGGGACACACTACAAAGTGCTTTGATTGCATTCACTTTAATTCACTTTTGAGACAGGTCTTGCTATGTAGTCCAGGGTGGTCTTGAACTCAGTGATCCTCCTGTGTCAGTCTCCAAAGTACCAGGACTACAGGCATGTGCCACTATGCCCAGCCTGCATTCACTTTAATTCTCACAATCACTTCATGGAGCAGATATTAACATACTGGTCCTGTGGCTTAAGTGGAAACAAAACAAAAACCAAGTGCAGGCATAACTTAAATATAATCACCCAGCCGGCAAATGGCAGAGCAGGATTCAAACCTAAGCAGTCTGGCTCGAGTCCCAATATCTGAACCACCACCTAGGTCTGAGTCCAGTGCTGCCACTTACTGGCTCTGCAAGCTGGACGAAACCACCTGCCCCCTCTGGCCTTGGCTTCCTCACGTGGAAATAGACGGGTGTTCAGTCAGACCCACTAGAATCCCTAAGCCACAGTGAGCAGAGGTGCTGGCCCATCCTGTGCCTCTGCTCAGTAGGCAGTGAGCTTACTCAAGGTCACACACGGCACCGGCACCAACCTGGCTTCTGGGCTCCTGTCAGCGAGCCATCAGTGATCAGGGAGCTGGTGTGGGGCATGAAGTCAGGTGTGGATTTGCAATCACAGGTTTGGAGGAAAAGTTTTAACTGGATTAGATAAACTGAGCCTCTAGACTACCTGGTAGGGAATCTGGCCTGTTATTATCATTTGTTCCCGCTTCCAGGATCATGAATGTGTCCTGGGGTCTCACACAGTGTAGTAACATTGGGGGTGGGCCTTCTTTTTTCCTACTGAACACTGACCTCAGGGCTGAGGCACAGTTGGTTTTTATTTTGAGACAAAGTCTCACTAAGTTGCCCAGGCAAGGCTCCAACTTTCCATCCTCTTGCCTCAGCCTTCCAGAGTGCTGGGATTACATGCTTGAGCCACCGTGCCCAGCCTCGGCCCGCACTGGCTCTCCACAACACCAGCAGTTCAAGCCTGTGTGCCCCACATAGCCTCCCATGGAAGGCGCTCTGCCACGTCATGACAAGGTCCTTACACGTGCACACCTCAGAGGCCCCTGCCCCACATCTTCTTCGCCCCCTTTCTCCACCCTGGGCTCAAGCTCAGTTCATGTGAGCGCTCACCAGCAGGTCCAGAATCATAGCCACAATGCCTTGTGCTGCTTGCCACCCTGGAAAAACAGCTAAGGAGAGAACTTTGAAGAATCCACTTATGTCCTTGGAGCGAGAGGGAAAAATGTAGTGAAAGCAAATTAATATGCCGATGATTTACCATGTCACACAGATAACCACAGGAAAACTGCTTAGCAGGTGGAAAGCAGCAGCTGGGCCACCACCTGTTCCGATCCTACTCCAAGCAGGGCTGCGGGGCTGGTCCCTTCCTCAGAAAGCTGTCCTCCAAAAAGCTCACCAAGGCCCTGATTTAGCAGCAGTAGCATCTGTGAAACTCAACTGAGTCATACTCAAATCCAGTCAGGGAGACTGAGCCAAATGTAGCTGCCACCTCTGGAGGCGGCAGGTAGGAGGGGACAATTCTCTCCACTAGAGCGCTCTCATCGTTAGTTTTAATTCTAACTACAGTCCAGTGAGGTTGGCACAGTCCATTTTAAGGATGAAGAAACAGAGGCTTAGATGGGATGTCACTTGCCCCGGGTCCTCTCTTTCCACTGACATAATCAAGGCACGTCAAAACAGTTCAAGACTTACAGGGCCTCCCTGGGCCTTCTGGTCAGTCTAGCAGTTCCTCAAGCACTTTTCCTTCCATAGCACAGCTGCTACAAAATCATGTATTCCATACAGAAGTGAGAGCTTAGTGATCTGTGATTTGAAGACACAGGTAGTAACGCTACCCTGTTCTCACCCGCTCAAAACACTGGAATGTGAGGGTACCTGCTGGATGGTTGATGTTGACTTGTACCATCTGCCAGAGAAAGGTCAACAATTCAGAAAGTTTGGAATTTTATGAGCAATTACTTTTGTCTGCTTTGTGACTAGAATCCTGGTAAGGTATCGATCGTTAAGCCTAGTTTGAAGCCCTCAGAGAACTGGGGCTTTTCCACAACAGATATGACTGCTAAGTCCAAGTCCAGCCGCAGGTTGAGGACTTGTATTGGTGGTGAGGAATGTGCACTGTTGCAAAACATCTCATCCCACAGCTGTCACTTCTGAAAGCGCTCACTCATTAGTCACAAAGCCTACTGACTCTGCCTTGCTGGTATTTCACTAACCCGTCTCTTCCACTCTACCCCCTCAGCTACAGCCTCCGTCCAGGCTCTGGGTTCTTCCACCTGGCTGCGCCACGCTGCATTCCTCCTCGTCAGTCCAGGTTCCAAGCTGCCCTTCCAGCCACTTTGGGACTGACATCAAAACACTCACGTCACTGCTGCTTAAAATCCTTAAGTAGTCCCCCAGTCTTTCAAGGAAGCAGGCCTTGTAGGACCCTCTATCTGGCCCTCACGTGTTCTTCCAGCTTTATATTTGGTGAAGCCCCTGTAGAGCCTACTCTGTTCTCCTTTCCCCCAGTGTTGGGAATTGCTAGTCAAGTGTTCTACCACTGAGCTACAGTCCCTGCCCAATTCAACACTTGCAACACACTTTTAAGCTCTGAAAATGCAGTCATTTCTTGATTTTTTTTTTTCCTTAAATACTTCTTTGAAAAGGCCAGCTCTGTTCTCCTCTGCCTGGCAAATGCAGAGAACTGGCAGTGGGCACAGGCTGCTTGGACTGCGGTACCACTCTGGCAGGTAAAACTGATAGCTGCCTGTTTTCATCAATCTGTAAAATGGAGGAAGCAGAATGACCTGCTTTGTAAGTGAGGTCATTCCAGCGGTGTTCAGCAGTCATTTACCCACTCCTGAAGTGTTAGTGGTACTGTGAGTTCCTCAAAGTGCTCAGTTCAGGGTCGCCTTCTCCACACAACACTGACTTCTACCGGCCAGTGAGCACCGGTGGAACTGAAGACAGCACGTGTTTCTCACAGCACACCCCCATTCACTACACTCACTTCTGATCCCCAACTAGACGAGGAGGGAACAAGTCGCTCCAGCATCTACCACTAGCCTCACATGTCCCACAGAGTAACTTTCACTGAAACTGATGGGAAAGAGCGGCCAGAAACCCAAATTTTCTTATTATCTAGCGGAAGTGAGGAAGTGTGCTATGTCTTTCACTGGATGATCCTTAAATTTCCAAAGCGAAGCCTGAGCACGAAGACTGAAAAGGACACTCAGCACTACGTCCACAACCTGTTTCTACTGTCCCAGCCAAAGACCACACTGGAGTCTTACGGACACATGACCCGTTCCTGGCACAATAAACATGTACTACTGGCACAACACACACTCAGTGAGAGCACAGCAATCTGTGATCCTCATTTACCAAAACCACCACATATTTTTCTTCCCTAATGCTGAGGAAGGAACCCAGAACCTTTCACATGCCAGGCAACTATTCTATTCTCAGCTCGTTTCTAGTTGTTCGGGTCTTAAATTTGAATTCTAAATATCATCCTTCCCTTTCAGAGGGGTTGCCTGTTATCTAGAAATTTCATTAGCATTTCTCCCATACCTATCTTTTGTAAATGGCTTCCAACTGTTTTTTGGAATGAATAAAGAACACACCTATCCCTAAGGAAAGAACGGACAGGAACAGAGCCCCGGAGCAGGGGCACATCATCTAAAGTCATTCCACTTTATTTAAAAAAGTTTTTTTTGTAGATACTAGGGATCCCCAGGGTCTCTGCATTACACTATATCCCCAGCCCTTTTAACTTCAAGATAGGGTCTCACGAAGTTGCTAAGCTGCCCAGGCTGGATTCAAACTTGTGACCCTCCTGCCTCAGTCCACAATGGGTTCATTTGTAGTTTGGTTAGCTGGCAGTCAGTTGCCAACTTCACTACCTTCCTAACACTTTGATATAACCATCTCCAAGTTAGTTAACAAAACTAAAGGCTATAAGGCTGGTTTGCTATTACTTGCTTTTTAGCTCATAATGAGCATCTATGTGACTCCAGTGATTTACTTTTCACATCATTCTTATTATTTTCTTCTAAGGCATTTGTTGTAGGTCATACTTCCCAGTGACTTGCAATTAACAACTTCTTTTCTTGGCCTTCTATCTGCTTTTCAGTCTTCTAGTGCTTCCTCCATTTCCCCTTCAGGCTTTCCACAGGACGAGCTCAACCGACTCCTGGGAACCTACTGGTGTCTAGCTGCTGTTGACTAGCTAGGAACTTGAAGGATCTTATACCTCATGGGTTTTTTCTTCATCTTGAGCTCTACCCTGTTAGTCCTGTCCTTTTCAGACTGAAGCTGGTTCTCTTTGGCCAAGATAGCACACAGAAGAGCAGGAGTTCAACTTCCTGTCATACCACTGGCCTCCAAAATCTTTTCTTCTGCTGGCACTGGACATAATCTCTCTGAACTCTTCTTCAAAAGGATGGGAATGTCCACTGTGCACGCCTATTGTAAAGGTTAAATGCTCTGGAAACGTAAGTAAGTGCCTGCATACCAAGGGGTTCAAGACTCTCCATTCTCAACCACAGCGGTGTCTATTAGCCAGGGGTGGCTTTCCAAGTGAACAGGACCCTTTTCTCACGATTCAAGTTTACTTAAGCAAGAGGCTTAGCCCTTCCTCAGAAATCAGCATGCAGATAGTAGGGCAAGAGCCTCTTGCCAAGGACCGTAGGACCACTTTTGGCACTAGACACAGACTATGTTTTCTAACTGTCAGGCTCAGTAGGGGCCTACATCTTTCCAAGCCTGCACTGGGTCCCAACTCACCTCAAACTCAGCAGTCCGATGTTGCTGGCATGAGACCACTCTTTTGTGCCAAAGATCCAAGGCCAATTTAGCTTTGTGGAATGACCTACTACCTCGACCACCAAACCCAACTGACACTGCCCCCTTGAAATCAACTATGAAGTGAGTCTCCAAGACACATTGTGGTTTTCTGGGCATCACTTGGCTAGAACTATCATCATTCTCCTTTTAGTGACTCTCCCAACCAGGGGCAGGAGCAGCAGGGACAGAGGCAGTACTAGCCTCAGAATCTGGTTGGCAGTAAACACACACCCTCAGGCTCTTCAAAGATAATCTAACTGATTTCCCAACTCATTCTAGGGCTGAACACTAGGGACATCTAGTGGCATGAAGTCATTACTGACAACAATATCCTTAGGCTTCCATAAAAGTTCTAGAGTAAATGCCCCACTGTGAGGCCTTCTCAAGAGACACAAATTCATTTTATTACTGTTTCCTTTTTATGAGAATATCACCCTGAAGAAATGTTTTGTGGCCATTAAATATGGGGCACCAGATAGAGGTACTATGAAAAGGGATTAGTAGGCTTTACTTCTTAATTTTTAAATCCTCATTTACCCTATAAATACAAAACAGACTAAAATCCAATTAAAGGACTGCTCTTAAACTCTTCTTCAGTGATGGGGATTGAACCCAGAACCTTGAGTATGCTAGGCAAGCACTCCATCAGTAAGCTATATCCACAACTCCTTCAATATGTGATTGAATAGTGCCAGTTAAGAATTATTTTGAACTGTCTGCCAAAACATGTTATAACGTCACATAGGCTCCACCTAATCTTTTTTTTCTCCTCCATTTTTACTTGCCTTCAAAAGGGACTGGAAGGCAGAGGTGTTGAGACACCTTATACCATGCAGACTAAATTCATTTGTAAATTATTTTACTGTCCTAGAAAAATATGCATTGCACATGTGAGGGCTATAACTTAACCAATTTAGAGGATTCCTGACAGGAGATAATCTTTGAGTATTTGACTCTGTGGTAATGTGTGGGAGAGGCAATTAAATATAGTTGGGTCGGTTGGAATTTTTTTAAAAATCCTTTTTTTCTAAAAAAGGAAAAACAAACGGCCATCTGGCTTATTTTGTGTGTGCATGTATACACAGGAACAGTTTTGGGGAGGGGTTGTGTCATGCAATGAAGCAAAAACAAGATGACTCCCTTGGACAGAGAGCCTTAGTGTTGCAGGAGGAGGCAGGGAGAGGTCACTGGGAAGGGTTAGCATTAGCTGTTCCCGCTGGTTCCTACTGAGTACCTGAAGCATCAGTGGTGAGGGCAGAAAGCATGATGATCTCTTAAGGGGATTCCTATCTCAACACATCGGATGTCCCATGAAAGTAGACAGGTCTGCTTCACAACATGAATGGTCATGACTTCCTGTGGTCCTGAGGTGGGGCAAAATAATCCATGAACATAGTCCTTCTGGGCACGAATGTTTCTAGACTGGTCACCAGAGGGCTCTGGGAACAGAGATGGGGCAGAACCGGGAAGAAAAAATGTTCCAGAGATCGGTTATCTTCATGGAGACGTGGAGAAATGTTCTTTGTTCCAGCATTCCTAGTTAACACCATTGGTAGGCTTGGTCTGAGCCGTTGTCATGTCACCTTGCAGAGGCCAAGGGCTGAGGGGCAGGAAGTCACCCTAGGTTGAGAAGAAAGTACATCTCAAGGCCAGTGAGGGCTGCAAAATGGTTTGTGGTCAGGCCAAGAGAAGGAGCAAATGTGGAAAGGCTCCTCTGTTTAGATGCCAATGGTCTGTAAAACCCGCCTCTCATTGTCATTGAGGTGGCCTGAAAACATGATGTAACAGGGCTGCTGAGCAAACTGGCAGAGGAAGTCTGTGAGATAAGCCTAGAGGGAAGAATAAGAGTCACATTACTGAGGGTCCCCAGAGCCACCCACCTGCAGCAGGGTAAAAACCACCAGTGGTATAGGGAATGCTGGCTTTTAGACAAATACCAGCTTCCTGAGGGATGTTTTTGAATTCTTGGATCTACTTTAGGTGTAACTCAGGGACAAATTCTATAGGGAACTGAAGAATTTCCCAGTCTCTATCTCATCTTTCACCCTGCAGACCTTCAAAACATAGCTTCATGAAGCTGGGTTATAACACTGGTATAAAACACAAGGCGAAAAGTCCCAGTTCCCCCAAAACCCTCGACCACTCAGCATGGGTCCCCTGAGGCTCCCATAAATGGTATATGCCCATATTCCTATTTCCGTGGCTTAGGATGCTGTCACTTCCAAGACTTCTCTGGACACCCTCACCTGCAGATCAATCTGATAGAGAGGATCCTTCAGGGCATCGGGGTCATCTTCCTCATCATCCTCGTAGTAATCCTCCTCTGTTAGACATAGCCAACACAGGGCAGGTCAGGACAGAGGCCCGTGATCAGCCCTGGGTGGTGATGTACCACCGCATGGCTGAGGCAAAAGGGGCCAAAGTCCAAGGAACGTCCTTGTAGGCCCACCTCTCCCCTTTCTTGGGTACCCCATTGTTGGCATCACTGTACAGAGAAAATGTATTTACCATGGCTATCCTCTTCTCAAACTGCTTACCATATTTACTTGTAGCCAGAATGTCAGATAAAAGCTGGCCAGCTAAACCGTCCTCCTCATCCTCCTCTTCCTCCTCTTGGTCCTCCCACATATCATTGGAGTCATCTACTTGGAAATGAAAAGCAGCTAAAGTATATCCATGCATTTTCCCTTCCCACATTCAAACAGGCCAGAACAGATAGGCCCAGGAGTTTCTGCCATGCAGAAGAGGTGGGAGAGAACCGGGGATGGCCAAACCCTCCTAGTAAGTCTGAATGTAAGAACCAGATCTTCTAAAAAGGAAAGGCCACAGTAGCTCGCCTTCTCCCTGCCCACCACCCCAAGCCTCTGATTTTATAAGGTAGACCCAACAGTATAGTCACAGATAGTCATTCACTAGGTGTTTTTTTCTTTTTAAGTCAATGACAAAAAAACAAATTGATAATTTGTAACTTCATCTGTCAAGTTAAAAGTCTTCTGGGAGTGAAGGCCTGGTGCACCTTGACTCCACTCTGCAGGAGTGGTCTGGCGAGCGGCATTGGCTTCCATGACATTGGAGAGCTCATTGATAATCAGCTTTAGGATCTTGACCAGCAGAGGAATGTTTGTCCAGCGCTCTGGGTCTGGGAAGGAAGGAGGGGCTTCAGGTTAGACTGTCACTGGGCTCTTGTCCCTCCTGCAGTGCCACTCACCAGAGTTCACCATTTCTCAGGTGCTTTCCACTCTCCCTGACTATATTTGGCGACCAAAGAATGATTTATTCAAGTTAAGTGACTTTATTCTGCCTGGTGTTATGATAGTTTAGAAGCAGTAACCAAACTCTAAAACCAAGTAACTGCAGAGCAGAGTTCTCTAGCCCCCATGACTTGCAGTTTGAGAAATATCATTGTTTAATGTAGAACCACAGTTAAAAGACAGCATCTCTGCCACAAATCACTATAGCCATAGGCTATCTGCTAACGACACTGTCAATATGGGTATTATGACCCCAAAATCAAGTTGGAAGCTGGAGATCCTTGGTGCTAGAAACCATTTTTGATAATTTTCAACAGGATGGATATATGTTCTGATCCATTGTTTACCTAGTTTTCTGCTGCTTCTTTATCAAATCCACTCCCACTCACCTTTTTGGTGATGGTATCCCCAGCACTTTTAAAAATTCTTTTGAGATGGGGTTGTGCTAAGTTGTTAAGTTGCCCAGGCTGGGCTGGAACTTGTGATTGTCCTATATCAGCCTCCCAGAGGGCTGGGATTATAAGCATGCACCACCATGCCCAACACTAACATGTTTTAAAAACAGAGATCACAGTACATCCCTACCCTTCACCCTAGGTATCTTATCCCCTACAAGGAATGGATGGATGGCAGCATCACCCACTTTTGGCTGATTTCGAGCGGGTGCGGATGCCCTCATCCATGTTGTAGATCTCTTCTCCTTTCACACGGATATCCTGCAACCGTTTGTCATCTGCATTGATGCCATGCTGGAGTAGTTTACACAGTGCCACAGAGCTGGCAAGGAAGAGCCAGAAAAGGTCAATCAGCTACCCATCTAGACTTCACGCAAAGGAAATCAGCCATTATCCCCTAAGATGCTTTCTTTGAGTGTACAAGTTCCATTTATAACTAATTAGAAGAGATAACTGAGTTTAGTTGAAAATAACTTTAGAATTCACGAGATGGTCTAAATGAGGTCTTGTTACAGTTTAGATCTAGACTGCCCCTACACATTCTCATGTGCCTAAAGTGGGGGCTTTTGGAGGCAGGTTAGATGGGGGCGCCGTACTCCAGGGTGGCTCCATCCACTGATTAGTTCAGTGGTGAGTGTGCTGTTGGGGGGTTGGGGCCTGGAAGAGGCAGGGCAGGGGGGTGACTGGAAGGGTTTATCTCCCTCCCCGCTCCTCCCTTCCCTCCCTGCTTCCTGGCCACCATAAACAGTTTTCCTCTGCCCAGGCCCTTCTACCACGCCATTTCCGCCTGAGAGCCAGGTGACTACTGACTGAAATCTCTAAAGACTGGGAGCCAAAATAAACCTTTCCTCCACTGAACTGCAGGTGTCAGGTTTCATGCCTCAGCAATGGGCAAGTGAGTAGGACAGATCGGCTCTTGTTAAAGCAAAGCTAGAGGGGGTAAGCATTACAACAGATGGCCATGCTGTAGAGTGCAAAGGGTGGTGAGTCTAGGCCAGAAAGTTAGAAGGCCTGGCTTTATAAAAGAGAGTGAGCTACTAGCGGTACTTAGCCGGACGGGGTCTGCGGCAGAAAGACTCTCAGCCAGCAGACATCAGAAATATATGGACTATCGTGTTGATTATCTTTTGAGGATTTCAAGATGGTAGCCATTCAAGCTATGTGTGGTGACACATGACTGTGACCCCACTGCTGGGAGGCATTCAAACATGCAAATTAGCAAGAAAGAGAAAAGAAACTAGAAGGGGTAGTTTGATACTCAAACAAAAATTAACAATCTAAGCCAGGGATGGAAAAAAATGCAAGCAGGGGCAGGGGAAGAATGAATGCTCAGAGAAGAAAAATAGGGCCCTACCTGACTTTGCCTTCATATTGTCCATAAAATAGATGCTGTCGGCTTGTCCACTCAGCCATCACAAACTCCAGGGCAGGTTTGCCAGTAGGTCCTGGGAGGCTACAAAGGAACTCCAAGAGAGGTTCCAGCTGAGTGTGTACCAGATGAGCAAACACCATGATCAGAGACTAGGAGATAACAAGCAGGACATCTGCTTCAGGGCAATTAATTTCACAGACACAGGAGATAAAAGGGAAAGGCGCATCAGTGAAGAAACAGACTATGCACTGTAAGGACAGGCCAAGAGAACGTGGAGATTTCCTTGTCCATGTTCCTGGGGCCAGGAGAGGTCCAATTTTACTGAACTTCAATAAAGACAGTGAGAGGATAAACCAAATCAAGGCCCAAATACTAATCTGCATCTCTACCATCCAGGGTGTGGGAACATCCACCTTCCTTACCTGCATAACACTGAGAGTCTCTGCCTGCTGCATCTTACTGAGGATGGCACGAAGAATCTGATCCAGATTCTCCCCAAGCTCCCGCCCTGCCTTGGAGATGAGGGTGGAGACGAGGCGACCCACAAAGGCTGCAGTGAACTCCGAGGTGCGGGGGTCTAGGAGCTGGCTCACCACTTGCATCACATACCACAGTCCATTGTGGCCTTGCTCATCATGCCACTGGGCTACCTGCTCCAGTGTCACTGATACATAGGCTCGCAAACACTCTCCACCATTCTGGGGAGACAGAGGGGGCAAGCAAGATTAGCAACGAGGAGACAGCTGCCACGAGGCCCTCAGCCTTTATGGGGAAATATTAGTCAGAGGCCTAATGCCTCCTAAGAGCCTCTGGGGTTTGCGGTGGGCTCATTCCACTCAGTCAGGTATCTACCGTTGTAGACACAGACATGTATCACACAGTTCACCCTCTACCCAGTTATTTAAAAAATGTATATTTCTGATCATAGGGGACAATGGTCAAGTAAACTGAGCTTTAACTATAAAGATTAACCCCTGGTACTGAAACATTTCTCAAATAGAGCAGTAATTGGGGGTACTACAGGTTTTTATAGGAATAAAAACAGACTTTACACAAACCAGTTTGCCTAGGGATTTCCAAGCTAACCAATATCCACTGGCAACGTCCTAAAATCTTTTGAATCAATTAGAGTAGTAAAGTCCTGAAAAAGTAACCAACACACTCAAGGAAGAGAAAAATGTTCACCTCTCCAGAGGCTTATCACTTGGCTGACTTTATCAATAGGAGAAATATTCAGAAATTCTTCAGGGCCCAAGTTTAGATATTTGTAATCTCTTCTGTGTTACCAATACTCAGATACAGATGGCCAGAATGCCTGGTATCTGTATTCCTTAAGGTTATAATGCACCTAAAGTATAGAATGTTTGGCTTCTGTAGCCTCAACTCTTCCAGGGTCCTCTGGGTAAATACGGAACTGAGAGAAAAGCATGAAAGCATATCAGATTCCTCAGCTTACTCTAAGCCTGTGGTCTCCATGTCTTAGATACCTGCATAGTGGCATTATCATCTGTGTGAAGGGTGCACTGCGCCACAGCAGGAAAAGCTTGGCAGATGAGGAGCTGGGAAAGGGGAGGCTTTGTATTCCGCACTACTGTGGTCAGGATATCAATAGCTGTCTGCAGGAGAGAAGAAAGAGGAGTCAGAACTGCCTCTGGGTTAGGACATGCCCAACAACCATGACACTTATAGGCAGACAGATATACCACAGCAACCCAGAGAAGGTTCATCAATGAAAGGCAAGTGTCCATAGAAAAGAAACAAACAGTAGTTTATCTTTTCATTAGCCACAGGGGTGGCAGGGAGGGAGAGTACATTGCAGTGGATTGCACAGCCAGGTGACACTTAGTGCTGCTGTGTAATGGTGGAACTATAGTCGATTCATGAGTGCAATTTTTGAATTAGAAGAGCCATCTTTCTTAAAGCCTCAGAAAAGCACCCACTGCTCTTATGGGCAAGTATTCAAGTATAATTGCTCTACTCCATGCATCTCCAATGCTATTACTAGCTTCCCGTCAGCTATGCGGGACCCGTAGGTGGCACTCACAGATCTCTGGCATACACAAGCCTGTGTCCACTCACCGCACAGAGGCCTGCAGGGATCTTGTCTGCTGGGGCCTGCATTATGCTGACCAGAGTAGGAATCAGCCTCATCTGCATTGGGCCCTGACAGGCTTCGATCTGAGACAGCTCCTTGAAGATGTCCTGAGCCAACGAAGCCACAACAGGATCTGAAGTGCAGAAGGCAACACAGAATCCCCGTTTGATGGTCTATGTCTAATTCTGCTTTAATAATGCTTACTGTTTGGTCCTAATCTAACTTTTTCTCTGATTATGTATCACATATTTGGGACCTAATGGGGGTATATGCATAACCTGAGAGAACAGGACAGATACCAAGAAACACAGTACATTTTTTTTTTACTTTTACTTTTCTTTGAGATAGGATCTTCATTCTGTGCTCCATGCTGGCCCGGATCCTCCTGTCTCAGCCTCTTCAGTGCTGGGATTACAGCGAACCACCATGGCCAGTGCAGTGTACATACTTTCATTAAGATAAGGACTAGTCATTAATAGCTATCCCTAAAAACAAAACTTGCCTCTTCTGGGGTAGTTCTGGGGACTGGGCCTTTGCTCTGAACTACATCCACGGCCCTTTTTTTATTCTGAAATAGGGTTTTGCTAAGTCACCAAGTTGTCCAGGCTGGGGCTTGAACTTCTGATTCTCCTACTTAAGCCTCTGAGGTTGCTGAGATTATAGACCTGCCACCATGCCTGGCTAAATTTTTTCTCTGGAGGCAAATCTTTAAGGATTTTGTTGTGAAACCAGGATTGATTGTGAAACCAAATGCCTGGGTGGGGGGTGTTTCCTACTACTCTGTGTAGTGTGGGTGCATGCGTGCCTATGTGGTACTGGAGATTAAATCCAGGGCCTTGCTTATGCTAGGGAAGTGCTCTACTATTAAGCTATATCCCCAGTCCCTGATATTTGTATTAAGAAGATATGAGTTTCAAAAACTGCCAAAATGTATTTTCCCCCCAAAAGTTGTGTATTGAGGAGAAATCACACATATTTCTTAGGAGGTAGTTCACCAGACAGAACTCCCAAAGCCATTTCTGGAGCAAAAATAAATTTCTCTTTATAAAGCAGAACCTTATGTTAGCCAGGTGCCAGCCAGTATTATAGGAGTGCACAATCCCAGTACTCAGGAGGCTGAGGTAGGAGGATCACCATGAGTTGGAGGTCAGCCTCAGTTGCATAGTGAGTTCAGGGCCAGCCTGAACTACATAGCAAGACCTGTCTCAAAAAAAAAAAGCAGACCCTTATGAAAAAGTAGAACTTTAGCTTGACCTTCTTTACCTAGATCAGTGGTGGTGAACCTATGGCATGTATGTTGCAGTGGGCTGCTTTTATCACTGAAAGCTCTAAAAGGTTCACCATCACTGACCCAGATAATAAAAACATTCTCTATTTAGTATGAAAAATGTATTTATATATATATATATATATATATATATATATATATATATAAAATCAATGCAGCATTATTTGTAATAGAGAAAACTCTAGCTGCCTATTTATAGAATGGATAAATGATGATACAGAACTTTTATAGATTATGTGATGGTTGGAAAGAATAATATATCCAAGCATGCAATATGGGAAGATCTCCAAGACAATTTTTTCTTTTTTTTTTTTTTACTTTTTGAGACAGGATTTCGCTATGCAGTTCAGGCTGGCCTTGAACTCACTTTGAAGCCCAGGCTGGCCTCACACTTACAGTGATCCTCTTGCCTTAGCCTCCCAAGTGCTGGGATTATAGGCACATGTTTGACCATACCCAGCAGCACAACTCTACTCTTTGCTAACTGAAAGCCACATTTTGTTTTGTTTTGTTTTGTTTTGTTTTGTTTTGTTTTGTGATATTTAAGACCATCAGGCCCTAGGGAAACTTTCACCTAATTTACCATATTTTCATAGTGTCCCTCATCAGCACACCCTCCCTAATGGCATACCATTACTGTACTTTAGGAAAATGGCAATGGTGAAGGGGCAGATTTTGCTTTCCATGCTTGCTGTGAACTCTGGGTCTACTGTACAAACGATGCATAGGGTCTCCATCACCAGGTTGAGGACCTCTGAGCTGAACTGGGCTGCTAGGTGAATTAAGCCATCAAGGATGCTGGGGAGGAAGGGCTGAAGCACGTGGGTACTCTCTGAGACTTTCAGCTGATCACAGTAACTAGACAGAGAGACAAGCAAGAATTACTCATAAGTAGAATTCTCAATTCCTGGCATTTCCAATCTTACCTATTATAGTATTTATAGACACAGCTTCCTAAAGCTACTTTCTAGAGTCAGATATGTTTTTCCATCTTTATGTAGCATGTTACATAAATCTCAACAGCATTTATTTTTAAGTTCTTCTTTTCACTTTTTTTTCCCCATACAAAGCACAGGATCCAGGTTCTTGCACAGCTAAGCACACATTCTCCCACTGAGCTACATCCCAAGCACATTTGCTATTTCCTTTAAAATTTCCTCCCTCTGTTTTTAAGTATACCCAGTCATGTCATTAAATGAAAACTATTAAGATATTAAACTAAACGCTTTCTGACTCCTCAGACTATTGCTTTAGTCACATTCCTACATGCTGGATTCACAGTCCCACAATTTACTAAACAGTTACAGTGTTTTAACACCTTTTTAACACAATTGTTATTTAATGAGACTAATTTTTTTTGAAGTAGGGTCTTGCTATATAATTCAGGCTGGCTTTGAACTCACTGTAGCTCAAGCTGGCCTCAAACTTGTGATCTTTTTGCCTCAGCCTCCCAAGTGTTGAGATTACAGGCATGCACCATCATGCCCAGCACAAGTATATATCTAAATCTTCACTTTTGTTTATTTTTAGAATGGCAACATTGTTTCTATATGTTAAAAGACCTTGCACAGAAACATGACTCTGCTTTTTAAATTAATGATTCAATTTTAAGTGTTTTATGGTTATATTTTTTGTCATAGCTGTTAGCTTCCCAAAGACCAAAGAAATGGAGCGTTTTGATCTCAGATTTGGCTGTAGACTTTTTGATTGTTGGTATATCACACCTTTTTTTGTAGAGATAGGGTCTTGCTATGCACCTCTGGCCTTAAACTTGCTACCTTTCTAACTCAACCTCCAGAGTACTAGGATTATAGGTGTACATCCTTACGCCTGACTTTTGATTGTCACTACCACCGTGCTCAGGCCTAACTTCTCCTGAAAAGTGATGTGGCATCAGGTTTCGGTCTGCTCCCAACTCCCTGGATGTAGTTTTCAGTCCGTCTCTCTACTAGCACGGTACTCAGCTATACCACAGCCACCCTCTACCCCTAAATTTAAAGGGTTACAGTTATTTGCTCCTCTAATGAATTTTAAACTTTATAGTCTGATAGATTAAAGAGTTTAGGTCATCTGTCCAGGTAACACTAGATCTTTTTTTTTTTTTTTTTTGTGGTACTGGGAATTGAAGTTGGGACTTCATGCTTGCCAGGTTAAGTGTGGTTCCACTGAGCTATATTCCTGGCCCCAATACTAGATCTTATAGGCCATGTTAACATGAATTTAGGCATTATTTTGGAAGTCTTTATCCTATCTTGAAGTCTTCAAGGAAAAGAGATACTCCAAGAAGACTATATATTTTTCTTGTGGCTTCTTGGACCACCTGGCATAATATGACTTTCTTCTGAGGTACCTGAATCTCAGCTTAAAGAGCCATGAAGGATTTTTACTACAAGTGCAGTATCAGGTTTCCATTTTTGAAATAGTGCTTTGGCAGCTCAAGAACATAGCTTGTCAGTTTCAGGCTGGAGGTGGAGATTAGGAAGCTGCTGAAATAATCCAGGCAAGAAAAGTTGAGGATACAGTCTAGTGTAGTAGCAGTCAAAGAGACGAGAGGCTAAGGAACCAAGATCTAAAAGGCAAAGAACTGGGATCTCTATTAATAAACAGGGAATATAAGACTTCTACCTTTAAGTTCAAGATTCCTACCCTTACTAAAGTAAGGGGTAGGCAGGATAAGCTAGGAGACTGTAAATAGTAAGCTCTGTAGTCAATGTATTGATTTTTAGGTACTTATAAGCAGTCTATTTTAATATGCATAATTATCCTAATAAACAGTGGGCATATTAGTTTGGACCTCAGGAAAAAGTCTAGCATAGATACAATTTGAAAAATGACATAGATATAATTATTTGTCAATAAATATCTTGTTTCAAAATTTATTTAAGGCAGTTTACAATGACAAACTATGACACAGAAGAATAAAGCTGGAGCAAAAGAAAAAAGCGAGAGTGGTGAGATGACCATTAAAAGAGTGCTAGAAATATTAGAAAGACATTTCAGTAATATGATAAATACATAAGCCAGACTGCAATTGGCTGGAAAACTAAATCGGAAAATGACCAAATAGAGAATCATGGCTGTGAAGAAAGCATCTCTTCATAGGACAGTTCCTAACCTGGGATCCACAGAGAGGCCTCACAGGATTCAGTGTCTATAATGTATGTAAAATCCTGCAAACATGTCTGCGTTTCTATTTACTTGGCACACATATGCACAACTTTTGTCACTTTTCAGAGATGTTACAGCTTTGGGGAAAACCATTAAACCACTGTCCGTATAGTCAGTGAGAGATATATGTTAATGATTAAAAATAAAAAAGCTTTTTTCATGTATTATCTTCTGATTATAAAACTAATGTAAACTTATCAACAAACATCTTAAATATATAAGTACATAAAGTATGAAATTTCCTTGGATTCTAATCTCTGGAGAGAATCAGTGTAAACACGGATGCTTGACAGGTACTGCTGCTTGTCTAAAACACTCTGGAAGGTAATGGGCTAATTTTACCCTATGTACTTTCACATTCATACCAAGCTCCTCTTTCAGCTTGCAACTTTGAAGATTTCTAAGAAAAATCACAATACAAAGTAGGTACATCTCTATCATTCATTCATATCTGTTTTTAAATTTATTACCTGGTTCTACCGTTGGCCCATTAATGTGTAGTTTCCAGTGAGGTACACATGAATTTGAATGGTTTGGTTCTTATTAGTTGGAAAATGCTTTTAATCGTATACTGACACCACAAGGGACATTTACATTTTTCTTTTTTTAATACAGTGGTATCTTGGTTCATGAACTTAAATTCATTCCATGATTCTGGAAAAGATGGCAACGTTTGTGTTCGTGTGGGAAAGATGGTCACAGCTGTGTTCATCTCCTGATGCACAGTTCACAAACAAAAACAAAATTTTGCCAAATGCTTCTGTTTGCGAACTAAACTATTCTCAAACAAAAGTGTTCATGAACTGAGGTACCTTAAGAAATAATTAGGGGTTGGGGATTTAGTTCAGTGGTAAAACATTTGTCTAGCAAGCAGGAAGCTCTGCATTCAGTCCTCACCACCAAAAATTTAAAAAGCTTAAAAAAAAAAAAAAAAGAAATAATTAATACAGGCCCAGGGATATAGCTCAGCAGCACGAAAGAAAAAATTAATGCATATAAATGAAATCAAGTTTTACAAAGGCCCAAAGTGACACAGGCAGTCACTACTGGCCTAGAAAAATCCTTAATATTCATGTTCTAACTTGGGTAGGCCTCTGAGATATGCAGAGTGGCAACAGAGTATTTTGTCTCTTAACACAAAAGTATTTTTTACATTATTTTAGAGCCAATGATCTACTTTACCTAAATTGTACAGAAAAAGATGGGCTTCTGTTCATGGCCATAACAGTAAGCATTTAATTAACAATAGAGACAGACTAGCAGGTACTCAATGCTTTCTGAAGACAAATGTGTAACAGGGTTTGGCATCTCAGTCTCTACCTCAAAAGGTAAGGGAGCACAGGCAAGTGGAGTATGAACTGTGTGCTGGCACTGTTTAGGATTCAACTGAGATGCTTAAGTTTGGACCTGAAAATATTCTTTAAAACATCAGTGTTCCCCTCTGGAATATAAATAAATGACCACTGCACCTCTAAAGCATAACCTGTGAAAAGAGATAAAACTAGGAAAAAGAAAAAAGCTGTGTTTCTAGGCCATATTCTCCCAAATTCAGTTTCTCGTACAGAGGCAATCCATCAACACAATCCTATGGCTTGGACCCTACTTCTACCAACTGTTAATTTTACACAGGTGATTTATTTCTCTCAAAGCCTCAGGGTTTTCACCTTTGAAATACAAGAAACTGGCCTACATGGTTCTAGAGATGAAATGGATTTAAAGGGAACGAGGAGCAAAAGGGAACAGGGCATCTTCTGGACTAGTAAAAACCGTGTTACCAATCTACCTCCCCCCACCCCTCTTTCTAGCATGCATCTTAAAGGGGAGAAATCTCCAGCCAACACAATATAGTGGACAACCACGGTTTGGGCTGTCTATCCTGGGTTTCTCTCAGAGTAATTCTTTTTTGGCACAGGATCACCAAAGCGAATCTTTATTTTAACAGGGCCTGTGTTGTGCCACAGGGGTCCATACACAGGAAGAAGCCCTCCTAGACTAAAACCTGAGGAGTGGCTGGGGAGTGTACTTAGGTAGCAGCTGCAAGCCTGTGTCTGAGGGGCAGGTTAGAAAGGAGGGAATCTTAGCCAAGCCAGGGTGCCCCCTCCGTTCCTCAAAAAGGCAACAGTAGTGTCTGAAGTGTTAGCAGTAGAGGGGCACTATGGTGACTGACTGCACTCATGTGGGAGTTCACAGTGGCAGCTGGATGACCAGGAAGGACACCGAAGCAAGCTGTCCTTGTCCACTGGGAGATGCTGAGAGGAAGCAAAGGGAGGTGATGAGAAAAGGTGCACCCAGCCAAGCTGTGCTTCCAGCCAGCACAGGAAAAAATGAGAGAGTCAGGCACTTCTTGTCTCATTTCCCCCTGAGAGAGTTCATCCTCCTTAATCTCAAGGGGAGACGAAGAGCGAATATCTGTTTTCTGTATGGCTTGAATGCTCTCAAAGTAATTCTTATCACCCTAGAGTAGCATACTCACCCCCAGATGGCTCTCACCGCAGAAATTCGAACTGATGGGGGTTGTGTCTCATGAAGACCACTAACTGTTGCCTGTAGGAACTGCTGGATCAGTTCAGGGGACATAGCAACAGTGAACCGACTGGCAGCCCAAAGTGCCCGACCCAAGAGGAAAGGAGACACTGGGAGAAAGACAGAGGAATTATAGGTTGGATGATGAAAGCTCTGTCACATACCCTTTCTGCCTCCTATCTCCACTCCTTCAAGGTTCACAAGTAATTGGATGCTACATAATATATACAAATCATTTGAGAGAAAAGCATGATCTGTAAGGTAAAAGCAAATGTGTGATCTCTGGTACAGAATCATTTTCCCAGTTTCACTTCTGTCTATTGGCAAAGCAGATCTTGATTGTTTGGAAACTAGAGATTTTACCAACCCAGTTTTCAGCCCCAGCTCTCATCATTCCTTACTTGTACTACTAGGTTAGTCTTTGTCATATCTTCACCATTGCTATTTTCTGCCTATTCTTGGGTCATTGCTAGAACATTATAAACTAGAGTTCTGATCATGCCATTCTCCTATTTATAATCTGCCAAAGAATTTTACAGTCCATCAAGTAAGACTACCTTGGTCAGCATGGCACTCAAGGCTTCCTAAAATTGACTCCCTAGTGACTCTGCCATTACTTATGATTTCTCTTTATGCATTCTTGTTTTTTTTTTTTTTTTTTGAGACAGGGTCTAGCTACATAGTTCAGGCTTGCCCTGAATTCACTATGTAGCCCAGGTTGGCCTCAAACACACTATCCTCCTGCCTCAGCCTCCTGAGTGCTGGGATTACAGGCATGAACCACTAAGCCTGGCCTTTTACGCATTCTTAACTCAAGTACATACTCCTCCCCAGCAACTCATATGTTGCTTTGCCAGCTCATGCTTTGTGTATATCACAAGCCAACATATTCCCTTCTTTGTCACCTAACTAATCTCTCACAGCAAAGTAATCCCATCTCTGAGCCACTATAATTCTGTGTTTAGCATTTTACATGCTGTGTAGTTTGGTATTCCAGTCATGGTTTAAGGATTACTATTTCCTGTCTATAATAAGCTGCTTGAGGAGACGAAACTTAATCAACCTGCCACAGGGCTTAACTTAGTTACAGATAAAAACATTTAATTAGCAGGAATTATTGAAGAGACTAACAAACCAGCCAAATATTACATAATACTTTTTATAATATAAAACAACAGTTCTCAAACTATCATCCAGGAGCTCTTGGAAGTTTCTAAAGTTAAAAAAAAAACTTTTTATAATGATGCTAAGACATCTTCAGTCTTTTTCACTCTTTTATAAACGAACAGTAGAGTTTTCCAGAGGTTATATATGATATCATGGCCCTGAAAATTCATAGAATATTTGTAATTACAATTACTGTATTTTAAAGAACTTCTCTGTTTTAATGTCTAGTATGTTAAATATTGATATATAAAACCCACATAAAAATATTTTTGGGATTGCTGATAGTTTTCAAGAAAATAAAGAGGTTTTAAGACCAAAAAGTGTGAGAATGGTTGATACAGAAAAGCCTGTAGCTATAGACAGGATTAACAAATGTTATATATTGAGACTTTTTTCAAATTTTTTTTCTGGTACCGGGAATCAAACTTGTGACCTTGCGCTTGCCAGGCAGGCGCTGCGCCACTGAGCTAAATCCCCAGCCCTCTCAAATTTTGAAGATTCTGTCCCAGGCAAACTATAAGAAATATGTTCATGGATTTGAGAAATCCTGACACTTTCATTTAACATGGAATTATAGGATGCCTATTATATGACAAGGCATTCTAGAATACAATGACATACAGACATGATTTCTACTAAGACCTTACATTCTAGGAGAGAAAAAACACATTCAGCAACCATAATATGATGTAATACATGACAAGTACAGAATGCAACAAGATATTCCCAATGAATCTGAGCTCTGGATGTGCAACAATTTTAATTTTGTTCTTCACAGAATGGAAGTGATGGGGTAAGAAATCTTGTAAGAGATTATTTAGAACAAAATGTTATTAAATGATGTAAGCTACTCCCAGGTAAAGAAAGGTAGGTAAATGGGCTAAGAATGGTCTAAATGTCCCAGGATTTAAGTACAGAGTGGGGAAGTAAAGACAGTGTGTGTCTCTAAGGATGAGAATAGGCATGGCAGAGGCAGAGTCAATGTAGCAGGAAGGTCACAGTGAGAGCCAATGACTTTTAGAAATCAGTCTAACAGTAAATACTTCTGTTTCTTCTTTAAGGTAAGCAATTAACCCAGACACAAACACTGCCAAGAATACAATGTGAGAAAAATGACAGGAAGCAAACAGGAAGAATGAGTCTGACTGGTCTTCTGGACCTATTAACCCAAGCCAGAGTCCTTAGGTACAGCAACCAGATTTGCACTCCATTCAAATGCCAATGACAGCCACGAATGGGAGCGGTAATTTGGGAGGAAACATGAACAGCATGGAAGAATTATGAACTATACAAAATCAGTCTCTCAACAGGTGAAATTTGACCCTAGGTCTATGGACTGTTTTGGGCATTCAGATGACCTTATGTCCTAGGGTACAAAGAATGTCCACCCAAAGAACACACGAACACTTGTTCTACCTGTCTAGAAGAAAAATTTAACTGAGTCAAAGGCAGCTCTAAAGATCTTCCAGAATCTTGGCTGTGCAGAAACATACCTGAGAGGTTGAGGTCTGACAGGATGACGCTGGTCAGGAACCCGTGCATGTCGAAATGGATCCTGCCATTTTTCACACTGTCAGTGATAATGGACTTCACCGAGCCAAGGGCAAGCATGCAGGCCTCATGGATCTTCCACCTGTGATAAGGACACCACAGCCTGGTAAAACAACTCTACACCAAAAACAGAAGTATTTGAGGAAGAAGATTCATGAGAGGACATTGCAGTATAATCTGATGCAAAAGGGCCATTTATTGTCCTTCCCATCTAAACACAGTTATATAACTGTAGAAAAATAAGAGTAAATTTAGTAACAATTTTTCTAATTAACACAAAATAAAAGTTCTTTTCTCAAACAGATAAAAAACCATTTTGAGCAATTATTTTAAGGTTAGGTAGACCTTCTTTAGACCAGATGATTCAAAGTGAGGCTTTTTCTGCCTCAGGTCTGACACCCAAAACAAGTCACAAGTCAGGCAGCCTCACTGCTCGCTCTTACCAGTGCTCAGTGCCGCTGTTTTTGGTTTGCTCAGCTTCTTGTAAATGCCGAGTGGCTGCAGCAGCCAGGGCTGCGGCACTCTCATTCTGGAAATCTGTGGCCACTGCCTAGGGAGAAAAAAGGGCTAAAAAAATCTTATGTGGATAGTAAATGCTTTTTAACTGAAAACTGCTTTAGTCTGGGCTACTAGAAGTAAATGGTTCAAACTCTTTCACATATACACACAAAACTCTGATTAGATGTATTAAAAATGTGACTTCATTAGTTCAGGGTCTATAATGAAATTAAGTAACATTTATGTTTCTGCAGAGCCTAGGCACACTGTAAGGTTAACTAGTTGCTTCCTTTGGCTGTATTTGGTGAGTATAAGTGAAAGTGACAGATTTAACTACTCTATTAGCCTTTAAAACTACTGTAAGCCAGGCATGGTGTCCCTGCCTGTAATCCTAGCACTGGGGAGGGAAAGGCAGGAGGATCACTATGAGTTCCAGGGCAGCCTGGGCTACACAATGAGTTCAAAGCTAGCCTGAACTACACAGCAAGACCGTGTCTGAAAAATAACAAAAACCAAAAGTAAAACCCCAAAAAACTGACCATAATCTTCCACAGGTGCTTTAGAAATACTAAATGATAATAAGAAGTGATTCATTAACAAACCTCCTACCCAAAAGGAAGCAAGTGGCAGCTTCTTCACAGCATTCCCACCTAGAGACAATATTATGCTTCCTTAGGAGACAAAGAAAACATGAGCAGCGGTTGGGATGCTCACCTATCAGAAGTCTTTTTTTGTTGTTGTTTCTGAGACAGGGTCTCGCTGTATAGTTCAGGCTACACTTGAACTCACTATGTAGCCCAGGCTGGCCTTAAACTTGTAGCGATCCTCCTGCCTCAGCCTCCCAGTGTTAAGATTACAAATGTGTGCCACCACGCCTGGCTTTTCTAAAAAAAATTTGTCAACCTCTGGTTAGTGCTGGTGTTATTAAAGAGTAGACAAAACTGAAATGTTATGATTCAATTACCGTAAGACTTCATCTTTGGGGTAATTTCTTTTTTTTTAAAAGGCAGGGTCTCACTATGTAGTTCAGACTGACTTTGAACTTACTATTTAGGCCAGGCCTCTACTTCACAGTGATCCTCCTGACTCAGCCTCCCATGTGCCGGGATTACTGGTGTGTGCCACCATGCCTGGCTCTCTGGGCAATTCTTACATCTAATATTTATCTGTAAATTAGAACTAGTGGCAACAACTTTGGAATCTGAGCCTCAAACTTCATTTGAGAAACTCTCTTGTATCCCCCCAGAAAGTCTGGGATAAAGCTACTCAGCAGTATTGCTCACTGACCCCCCAAGTATTACTTTGTTGAACTATGAAATTAACTCACCAGCAATAGGTCTTGAGCTGCGATTCTAACAGTATAGGAGAAAGTATCATCATCTTCATCTTCTACAAACTGTTGGGGGTTGGCTGTCCATACTTTAATCTGAAAAGGGGATGAAGTAAGGTCTTTGTGAGACTACGAATCTGGTTTATATGTTCCTTCTTTTCATCATAGACTGGCAGAGTCTCTGATGAAAACCTTTCATTCTAAAGATTCTGGCTCAAAAGTCTTTCCTTTTTGTTGTATAGACACAAAACCTTTATCAAGGTATGTAGTAATGGTTACTACTTTCTAGCAGATTCTATTTTAGAATTTGGTAGAATACTTCCTCTTTTGTTTTTTTTTTTTTGCTTTTCTTCAGGTACCGGGAATCGAATTTACAACCTTGCACTTGCCATGCAGGTGCTGTGCTGTTGAGCTAAATCCCCAGCCCCAACACTTCCTCCTTGAAAACCTGATTTTCTGATTATACTAGGTCTGATGGGTTATTTACTACAAAAAATTGTCAATTGTTGTGCCATTTTATAGGAGAAGCAACATCTTATTTTTAGATGACCAGGCTAATAATATAGTCACTATATTTCACCATTTGTAGGGAAGCAGTAGGTTCTGCTAAATACCAGAATCTTTGGCTAGTGGTCTTACAGAGATTTTCCATATGGAAAATATGTTCTCAAAATCCAAATAGCTAATATAGGACCAGGAATTTTAAAAAAACAAGATGTCAAAGCTTTCCTAGAACTTCATGTCAAGTTATTTTCTTAGTGCCCATTTTTCAGAAATAAAATGTTTACTTCACCAAGGCCTCACATTCAAGTTGCCTTTCCAAACACAAGCTAGTAAATGTCTATTAAACATTATTTACCTGTTCCTCAGTGATTTGCATGTACAGGATAATATAGTAAATCAATTCAGGTAAGGCTTTCTTAACAGTGCTTTTGAATTTGCTATTTTCTAGTAGGGCATGGACAAATTCAAAAATGCTAAAGACGAGATTTTCAAAACCCAGGACTTCACCTATAGAAAATACACAAGAGAGGAAATTAATGATGAGAAAGCAAAAAGGAAAGCCCGTATGTTAGAAATAAACTACATTATATTTGTGAATTAATGAATATTCAAAGTACTTGCTAATTACCATTCCCAAGGACTGGCAGAGGGAGTCGAAGAGTCAAAGGAATTGTGAGGATATTAATCATTTTTTGGTTTTTCTTTCTTTCTTGTTTTTTTTTTTTTTTTTGATACAGGGTCTCACTATATAGTTCAGGCTGGTCTTGAACTCACTATGTAGCCCAGGCTGGCCTCAAACGTGCAGTGATCCTCCTGCCTCACCTTCCCTAGTGCTGGGATTATAGGTTGTGTCATCAGACCCAGTTATTTTTCTTTTTAATCTTTTATTTATTTTGCAGTGTAGGGGATAAATTCAGGACTTTGCACACGCTATACAAATACTCTACCACTGAGCTACAACCTCAGTCCTCTTTTTACATATAAGAAAATCAGAAACATTGAATATATTTTTCAGCTTGTCTACTTTTGATTTGAAATACTTTAAACAGAAATGAAAGTATCACCTGGGATTTCAAAATTAAGCTAGACGAAACACTAGAAGTATTTGGATTAGGAATCTGCTCCAACTCTGAAATTCTATGAGTATGTGGTTTTTGCAAATGCCTATGCAGAACAGATTAAAGACCGGTCAATTCTCAGTCCTTCACATCTAATACATTGAAAGGAAGCTGAAGTAGAAAACTCACTGGACAGAATGAAGGCTCTAAGCTACCCGGTGTTTTTTCGTGTCTGACTTTTTTTTCCAGATCCCTTTTCCCAATAACTGGTATTTATGTCAGGATCACATAAACTACATACCATCAGAATCCACAGGGTCTTCTACTTCCTCTGTGTAATTCACTTCTGTCCTCACATAAGTATGAAGAAGAGTAAAGAAACAGAATTTGGAGTTTGCTTTACACACACGTTATAAGAGAATCTTATGTACTTCAACACTAGAGTAAACACTAAACAGTGAACCCCGTAAATGTGAGACCCAAGGCTAGATTCCCAACTGTGGGTGGTAAAGGTCCCCTGAGTTTCCAAGAAAGGATATAAAGCTGCACTCTCTGTTAGGGTGTTCCAAACAATAGGCAGAATTTGCTGCATGGAGGACACCATGTGCTTTGGGAAGTTTTTCACCAGGGCTGTAACTGCCTGAGGAGAAAAACACAAAGAATGACAATCAGTGGTTTCACACTACACTTCTAAACTCCCAGCTGCACTTGTAGTAAATGTTCACCTTTAGGACCTCCATCTTAAACCCACTGTCGGATGTGGGGCCATCTGGTATCTGGAGGGCCTGAACGAAGGCTTCTGTGAATTGCTGCACCACAGGAAAGATGAGGACTTTGGCTGCACCCTGATAACAGGAATCAAAGTTAGTACTGGGCAGACTTCTAGTCTGTGGCTTCAATACATGTATCACACAGTTTGTTTTGTTCTGAGTACTTGGTGCTGGAACCCAGCGTCCCGCGTGTGCTAGGTAAGTGGTCTACTGTGGAGGACCGCCAAGATGGCTCCCCTGAAAGAAGACCATTTGCCTCCTACTCCCATGTACTGATATGCACAGAGCTGGCTAGGAAGATGCTCAACTCCCTTGATTGGCTACAAGCAACGTAAATGGGTCTAGCATCTGATGTGTAGCCTTTGAAGGAAAGCACAGGTCTGTGTGCACTGCTTAAGGCTCCCTCCTACTAAGCATGAGCTAGGCTGAGAGATGCTGTGCTGTTGGCTGGGATGGAGCTTGCAGAAAGAGGCAGTGATGTCCCAGGGCAATTAAGGTCAGCATCAAAGCTGAAGTAGCTGACCCGTAACACAAGATCCTTCCTCCAAACTTAAGAGGCTACCCGTCCATGCTCTTTCTGCATACTTCCCTCTGTACACTGCAGAGGTGCCATTGTTCCTTCTACCTGGCCCAGCTCACAGAGTTCATGTAGTTCCCGCCAATCTCACAGTCACTCAACCTTGAGCCACTCCCCTCTTCAAGAATTAATAAAAACCAGGTTTGGCCCTGGGTAGTGGCCTTGGTTCCCATTGGCCTTCATTCCACCTGAACTTTGGATCCCATTGGCTCCCTATAACTGCAGAGACAAAGACACATCTGCAGTTATGGAGAGCCAATTCTTCACCACAGTCCACTTAAAAGTTATTGTATCAGACCACTTTTCCATAACCATTTCTGAGTCCCAGGAATCTATTTTTCAGCTAGCTCTGCTTCATGAGAGGCCCATAAAACAACAGAAAAGTTCTAGGGAAGCTAATATGAAAAAGATATGGGATAGGGTGTTTGAAAAAATAAGCTATATGCAAATTTAAAAATTTAATCAAAATGTTAAGTCTACCCACAATGTTGGCTATGACAATGAGCCACTGCTTTGCTCTGATGGAAGGTATTAATCATTTTTTTTTTGAGACAGGGTCTCACTATGTAGTTCAGGCTGGGCTTTGACTCATTATATAGCCCGGGCTGGCCTTGAATTTACAGCAATCCTCCTGCCTCAGCCTTCTGAGTGCTGGGCTTACAGGCATGGGTCATCATGCCCAGCTAGAAGGCATTAATAGACTTTGAAGCATGAAGTCTCTGTTACTCAATGGCTCACTTACCTTTTCCAGCTCCTCCATGTTACAGATCATATGGGCACATGTGGTAAAAATCTCCACGGCTCGCGAACGGGTTCGAATACCATACACCTAGGAAAAAGGTTATAGCACAGCCATGGGATTAGAGTGTGTATGTATGTGTGTGTCTGTGACTAGAAGTAAGACTATGACTGATTAATCCTCAAATGAGATTAGGTTTCTTACAGAGACAGGAAATATTCATCCATTCATTCATGATGACAGCAACTTCTGTAGTTCAGAGAATATAAGGTAGCAAAATAGGAAGTCAGAACTTCTTAGAATTAGCCCCTTAGAAAGGTTTCCGTAGACTGACTTTGTTAAAATGGCCAGTGTATTTCTTCTTTTTCTTTTCTTTCAAGGTGTTGGGAAATAAACCAAGGGCCTCACAAATGCCAAGCATGTACTCTAATACTGAGCTATATTCCCAGCTCTAAATGTACTTCTTTTAAAATGCACACGACTGATTTGGGGCAGAGAAGTTAGAACATTACTCATCACACATATACTTCACTGTGAATGAGTTACCATTTATATACAGAATAATATCCAAATATATACACATATATGTATGTATATATATTTGGCATATTATATATGTGGCATATTAAGGGTCTATTTAGCCGCGTGTGGTGGCGCATGCCTGTAATCCCAGCACTCGGGAGGCTGAGGCAGGAAGATCTTTTGAGTTCAAGACCTGTCCGGGCTACAAAATGAGCTCAAGGCCAGCCTGAACTGCATACTGAGACCCTATCTCAAAAAGACAAAAAGATAAAAAAAAAAAAAAAAAAAAAAAGGGTCTATTTAGCCAGGCATGGTGGTAGACACCTATACTCTCAGCATTCTGGAGGCTGAGGCAGGAGGACTTCAAATTACAGCCCAGGCCAGGCCAACTTAGCAGGACCTTGTGCCAAAATTTAAAAAAAAAAAAAAAAAATTTAAAATAAAAAAAGGAGTTGGGAAGGTAGCTCAGTGTAATGGCCTTGGGTTCAATCTCCAATACCACACTCTTACCCAAAAGGGTCTGTTTGTGTAATGAAGTGATAAGACTACCTTTCAATCCTTAACGGGACGCTAGAGGCAGCAACGAGGGCTCTAGGCACTTTAGGATTAGAGGATATGAGTTTTATGAAGATATACTTCAGCATGTTACTCTTTCATCAAAGGCTGCCTGTAGTTGTGAGCGAAAATGTCTATGTTTAATTCAGAATCTGACCTAGAGCTTCATCAGTTTGAGTCTTCAGGTATAGGGATCAGTGGCAAACACAATAATCTCCCACTCAAGAGGTAGAGGCTGACCAGAGCCTGAACAGCTTTTTGTTGAAGTCAGGGAGCTGAGATTCCATACCTCCGCCATAGTGAAGATCTTATACATCTCTGGGAGAATGACAGGGGCAACAAGTGGCATCTGTGTGTCTGTCACTTCTCGAGTGAACTCTACAAAGAAAAGAGTAGTATCATCAAAATGTAAGACGTTAAATGTGAAAAGTTTCAAACCTTTCTAGGTAGCATTCTGTGTCAGCATATAAGGACACTGGCCTGGTGGCCTTTGTCCTGGGGCAGGAAAAGCAACTCATATACCCAACCATCTTGGGTAACATCAATCCCTATGAATCAAATGTGGATCAAATACTCAAGGCTGTTTCTTTACTAATTGTGACTTCCTCATGAAGAATAAACCCTGACCTTTGAAGAATGAATATTCTATTTTATTTAGACATCCCAGAACTCAGACTAAATAAATCTGATGGACAGCATATTGATGATAACAAGTTTTATTTATTTATTTGGTACTAGAAATAGAACTCAGGACCTTGTGCTTGCAGGCAGGAGCTGTGCCCCTGAGCTATATCCCTGGCCCATATGCAGTATAGTTTAATCCTACTAATAAAGTGACTACATTTTTTACTCTTCTGTGATCATTCCCAGTAGTCTCAATTTAATCGCACTTTACAAGGGTTGTTTGTTTTTTTTTGAAGAAAGGTCTTACTATGTTGCTCAGACTAGCCTTAATCACTAGATCCTCCTGATTCAGCCTTCTGAGTACAGGCGTGTACCACTGTGCCCGGCCATACTTTATAGGTTTAAAGTTAAATATAACTTTTATTTCTTTTTTAAAATATAATTTTTCTAAATAAATTAAAAAAAAAAGAAATAAAATATAATTTTTCTGAGGTCATTTAGTAAGCCAGAAGAAGGTTAGAATACCAACACCTCGATCCTCAAAATTCTTTGAGACTATAGGGAAAGGTGTGTCTTGTGAATCAAGTATTTTAATTCTTATCTGTTATGTTTGCATTTTCTTCACACCATGAGACTTCATCTTCTATAAATAGACAAATAATTGAGAAGTCTCAATAAAAGAGGACAGGACAATGTATTTTTAAAAACTCTAAGAGGGCAGGCACAATAGTGCATGCTGTGATCCCACCCACTCAGGAGGCTGAGGTAGAGTGATCATGTAAGCACAGTAGTTCAAGGCTGGTAGAGCAATACAGCAAGGTTCTGCCTCCAAAACAAACAGACAACAAAGACATTCTGAAGAGAATCAGTGCTACTCTCCTGGTGGCTTCTATGTGCACATTAATGTTCTGTTATCTTTATACACACCTGAGTTTCTATATTCAAAGTTCATATCATTTGCCCTCCTTTGAAAATATGTGAAACAGTTATTTGGGAATGGAGGTTGGCTGCAATCCACTCTATGTCTGATGACTTCATTACAAAAGGATACAAATTTCCCTACCAGTTCCTTCCCTTGGCTGGCAGAAAAATGATCTCATTTAACAGTAATTTCCTTAGTCAACTACAGCGAGGGTTTTTCAGCATTCCAATCAAGATAAATGTACAATCATCCTTTTTCTCCAGGTTTATCAAAAAGAAGCTACTGTGTTGGTAGATAGGAGGGAACAGGCTTCCTTGTGTTGACAGAAAATATATCTGTTGTTATCTTGGCACTATGATTATAAATAAAGAACCCTGAAAGTCTAATTCAATGGAGGAGTATGTAAAGTCACTGAATAAGAAATCATAAAAGAAAAGCGAGGGAAAGGAAAAAGAAGTGAAAAATCTGAACAAGAAACATTTGAATTCTTTTTTTTTTTGGTAAGCCTGTATTGTATCTGAGCTAAAAACTGAAGTTTTGTCACAAACAACCAATGAAAATACAAGTAGGCAGTTTGAAGAGGCAGCTGGGGCATGGAAAGAGGATGTTCTGAAACAAACACAGAAGAAGGATTTGCTTTTTTTTTTTTGAGACAAGGTCTCAATATGTAAGCCAGGCTGGCCTTGAACTCAATATTTAGCCCAGGTCAGCCTAGCCTCGAACTCATGGTGATTCTCTTGCCTCAGTCTCCTGCGTGCTGGGATTACAGGCGTGAGCTACCACGCCCAGCTCAAGGATTTGCTTTTGACACAGAATTAAGATCATCTACAATTAGTATTATGTGGGCTAGTAAGATGCAGCTTAGATGCCAAACTCAGTAAACTGAGATTCAAAGAATAGATGTGGCAATCACAAGTAGCTAGCAGACCAGAGAAACAGATAAAATATAGGTGGGATGTTTCCTATATGAACAGAGAGGAAGAATGATTTCTAAAAGATCTGTAGAAGATGGCTAAACTTTAGATACAGATTTCTTTCTTTCTTTTCAACACAGTGTCTTACAATGCAGCCCAGGATGGCCTTGAATGCACAATCTTCCTGCCTCAGTCTCAGGATTAAAGGCCTCTGCCACCCTGCCCAGCTCAGATAAGGATTTCTTGGAGGATTTCCTACTGTCTTCATCTAGAAGACTGGAAGCACAGCAGAACTCACAAAGCACTGGGAAATTCAAGTGATACTTAAGGATACAGTAAAGCAGGTTCTTGGAGGGACTGACAGATCAACCAGCCTTAGAAGAGGTATTCATCAAATCTCCCTGCACTGAAAGTTAGAAGTATTTTCATCAGTCTCTCAGAACACAGAAAAGATACCAAAGACTGCTTTCTCTCAACTAGCTAGATAATGGTCAGGATGATATAGATACATGGTATTATATCTTTTTCCGTTTGTTTTTTTTTTTTTTTTTGAGATAGGGTTTTGCTATGCAGGTCAGGCTGGTCTTGAACTCACTTTGTAGCCCAGGATGGCCTTGAACTCACAGCAATCCTTCTGCCTCAGCCTTCTGAGTGCTAGGATTACAGGCATGTGCCACTATGCCTGGCTTTTTCTTATATTTCTGTAAAACTTCTATTTGACTTTTTTTTCAGTGCTGAGGAATGAACCCTGAGCCTCACACATGCTGAACAAGTACTTTTACCAGTAAGCCACATCCCAGCTACATATGACTATTCTTAACTTTGCTTTGGTTCTATTTCACAGTGGAATATAAACCTTTGAGTTTCAGTAACTGCTCACTTCATCAGCTGATATTCCGCATTATCACTATGAAAATGAGGCTCATCAGTTGAGACATTTTTTGGGAGGATATACAACTGGTTAAGGGCAAAATAATACATAATAATGATAACTATAATGACTAAAATTTACTGAGTGCTTACCACATGCTAGTTATTGTGCTAAATACTTTACATAGATTAGCTTATTTAAAATACCAAAAGCTACTTTGAGGTAGACACTTATCATCTTAATTTTATACACAAAAACAGGCTCAGAGAAGCTAAGTGAACAGGTGAAGGTAAAGCTAGAATATGACACAAAATCTGAATATTTAATCACTATGGTATTCCTGTATCCTTTTATCTTTCTTTTCTTTTTTTTTTTGTTTTTTTGTGGTGCTAGGGTTGGAATTCACAGCCTCATGCACACTAGGCATGATTTTACCACTGAGCTATGTCCCCAGGCTCTTACACCCATAAGTAGCAAGATTTGGTGGTAAAAGCAGGACTATGCCACTTAATATCTTAAAAAGAGCCAAGGAAAATGGCAGGTAGATGTGGAAGTAAAAACTAGGAGGAATAAAAAAAAAAATTAAAAAACCCAAAAAACTAAGAGTAATATTTGTAAAAAACTGCAGGAGAGAAATAGCATTTGTAGCAAGTCTTTTGTCTGGGCCACTCTATCACACTGCTTCTTGCAAGTGTTCCTATCACTTGGGATCCAAATACCAATACCAGGAAAAAGGCTTCAGATACCTGTCAGCACACGCATGGCTCCATGGACTGCATTTAAGTCTCCGCTCACCAACATCTCCATGAGCAGGTTGAAGAGCTGGGGCCAGGCTTCAGGCCAGTCCCAGTGGGCAATGGCTGACACTGCATAGGCAACACTGGAGCGCACTTTGCTTATTGATTCTCTCAACCCATTGGGTAGTAGCTCCCGGATAACAATTTTTGCCTGAGGAGGACGAAAGACTTGCCATTAGAACAGGTTATAAGTGACTAGCAGAGCCCAGTCCAGTTTGTAACTATGTTATTAAAAGACAAACAAAATACCCACAAGAAACTTCGTATCTATAGAAAATTTCTACATCAAAACTTGACAATTCATTCAGAGTTTATCTGTGATCTCTAAACTAATGCTGTCCATTACAGTAGCCACTAGCTCCATGTGGTCGTTTCAATGAAAATGAAATAAAATTAAAATTCAGTTCCTCAATTGCAAGAGCCAGATTTTAAATGCTCAAAAGGTATGACAGGTTTCATCTTGGACATCCAAGATCCAAAATGTTTCCATATCTGCAGAAGGTTCTGAAGAACAGTGTTACTCTAGACCCTGTATCTCAATAATTCTTTGGGGTCTAAGATGGCTGCACAGCATTCTAACTAGGTAAAAGCACGGTTTCACTTAATGCTCTAGCTTTTTGAAGTTAGTAGTTTGATGAATTCCAATTTTAGAGATTTAGGAAATTGGGGCTTAGCAGTTAAATATGCTTCTAATGATCTCACAGCCTCTAAAGGGTAGAGTTGCAGTATGAACACAGGCCAGCCTAATGCTTCAGCTCTCTTCCCTTACGGTACAATGCCCATAAGGTCAGCTACAAACTTCCTTTGCTGCCTAGATCCATCCTCTACCCCCTCATGCCAGAGAGGGAATCCACGGTCTTGTACATGTTAGAGATGCTCTCTACCACTGATCTAAGAATGATTGATAGCCTAATCTTAAGATGGTCCCTCAAATCTTGGGAGGTAGACTAACCAAGCAACTGTCCTTACCCTTTCTGTAGTCTCAGGAGGCCTAAACTTCTCTGACTGGGCACACCAGTGAGTCTCCACATACTGCTTCAAGATAACTGACGCCAGCTATGAAGAGAATAAGCCAAGAGATGCAGCAGAAAGACTTTTTACATATAACCATATACACCAAAAAAAACCTTACCACATGCTAGTTATTGTGCTAAATACTTTACATAGATTAGCTTATTTAAAATACCAAAAGCTACTTTGAAGTAGACACTTATCATCTTAATTTTATATACAAAAACAGGCTTACAGAAGCTAAGTGAACAGGTGAAACTGAAACTAGAATATATGCACGGCTTGCTGCATCTGAATCATACCTCAATTTAGTATAAAATAAATTATTTATAAATTGGCCTTATTCTTTTTCTTTCTCATAAGCAAGTTCTATTACCAAGTACAAGGAAATTACTTATAAATTGGGCTACTCTGGACTTACCTGACGGATTGCCAGTGCCCCCTGGGGATCAACAGTCAGTTCTGCCAAGTGAACACCAAATTCTGAAAGAGAAAAATTTTACCATAAGTTTAACAGCATCTAGAAAGCCCTAGCAATTTCCCAAGCTCCAAACCCTGATACCATAAAAAGATTTCATAAAGAATTGATCCATTGCTTCTTTTTTTTTATTTTTTATTTTTTTGTTGTTTTTCTCCGGTACCGGGAACCGAACTCACGACCTTGCGCTTGCCAGGCAGGCGCTTTTGCCACTGAGCTAAATCCCCAGCCCCGATCCATTGCTTCTGAAAGTCCTTATAACTGTTAAAATTTATTTCTTCCAGATAAGAGAAACAAACCGGCCTGCAAGGAATGGTTCTTCACAATACACAGTTCCAGTACTCTCTTATTTTCTCCAATCATTGCACAGCATTCTCCAGCCACCTTGCCTTCCAAGATAGTAACACCTTATATAGCAACTAGGTGTAGTAACTAACTGAAAACTGGGACTATGTAACCCCACGGAAAACTTAAAAGGTAAGATTCAGGAGTTGCCCAGATAACTACTGTCCCATAAAGAAGGATAAACTTGAGTCATTTGTAGGAAAATGGATGAACCTTGAGAGCAAAATGTTAAGTAAAATAAATCAGACACGTAAACTTATGTATCGCAAGGTTTCGCTTATATGAGAAGCACCAAAATTAAATAATTAGAGATCAAAATAAAAAATAGATATTAGGAAATAGGGGAGATAGATCTTTTGTAAAAAGGTGAGACCAAGTGATGGGGGGCGGGGAACATAATCAAAATATGTTATGTACATGTACCAACTATGGAATGCAATCATTATATACTTCAAACATGCACCAATAAAAATTTTAAGAAAGGAATTGCCCAGATATTTACTACCAGTTATAAGATAATGAAGTCTAAGAAAACCTGGCTTCAACAGTCTTATTTTGAAAAATATAAATGAATAGTTTCCAATAAGCAATGTATATTAATTTTGAGCTGCATATTAAGAAGCTATAAAGAACTTTCACACCAAATGAAAATATAGATTGGATTTACACTTGCAAAGGAATGAATTATTAAATATTTATTTGTGAAAAGAGGACGAAGAATGTGACACCAAGGCTGCCACTGCCACACAATTTTCACATCTCACAATCTGAGACTAATACAGTCATAAAGGTTAAGTACTTGAACTGTGGCTCATGAGCACAAAGATGGATATTATGTGAAAAACAACAAAATCCACCAAATACATCAGATTGTAAACTTAGTATGAAAACAAAGGTAAAATATTTTAATAATTTTTATATTGATATGTTGAAACATACTTTGCATAAACCAGGTTAAATGATACAGTATTAACATGTTTTATTTGTCCCTAGCTTTAAAGCTACTAGGAAATTTTAAATCTTTATGATTGGGGGGACCAGGAATTGAACTCAGGGCCTCATGCTTGCCAGGCAAAAAAATTTAAACTCTTATGCTATTCATAGCCTATTTCTTTCTCTCTTTTTTTTTTTGTCTTTTTCAGACAGGGTCTCACTATGCAGTTCAGGCCGGCCTTGAGCTCAGTTTGTAGCTCAGGCTGGTCTCGAGCTTGCAATGATCCTCCCGCCTCATCCTCCCGAGTGCTGGGATTACAGGCATGCCCCACCAAGTCTGGCCTCATAGCCTATTTCGATTGGACAGCACTGTCCAACAGAAACAACAGCTAGAGAATGAACAGCTAAATGTAATCTACAGCTGTCTCCTGTTGTTTACCTTCCACTTGGAGTTAGCTATGATTAGTTTGGTTAAGAGAATATGCTCCAGATTTGGGCAAGTTTAGGTTCAAATCCCAAAACTACCATGTCTGTCTTCAGGCAAGTTACTTTCCTTTCTAAATATCAGTTCCCTGGCTGGGCGTGGTGGCACACACTTGTAATCCTAGCACTTGAGAGGCAGACGCAGGAGGATCACCATGAGTTCAAGGCCAGCCTACACAGTGAGTTTGAGGCCAACCTGAACTACATGGCAAGACCCTGTCTCGAAAAACTACTCTCTCCCTCTCCTCCTTTCTCTCTGGTCCACACAATAATAGTATCTAGATGAGGATATAGCTCAGCAGCACAGCGCCTGCCTAGCAACTACAAGGTCATGAGTTTGATCCTTGGTACCAACCCCCCCACAAAAGGTATCTATGTATTAAGCAATCCTATGAAAAAAGAGTGATAAAATACACATAAACTGCTTAGCATAATTACTGCAACATACTGAAAAAAATTTAAGGAAAAGTTATCAGTACCTCTGATTATAATCAGAACACTTTTGTAAGTACTCATCAGTTATTTTGTACAAATGTGTTTCAATTTGGGTTTGTCTGAAGTTTCCTCATTTATATTTAGATTTAAAATTAGATTTAGACTAAAATTATGATATAGATTGAAATTAAGCACTTTTAGTGAGAATATCAGCAAGTGATGCTGTGTTCTTTCCAAAGTATCATATCAGGGAGTACATAATGTTGATAAATTGTATTACTGCTACTGCTAACCTTGGTTACTTCACAATGAGAGGCTTGCTGTTTCTGCACCACAAAGATACTGTTTTTCTCTTCAGTAAAAAATTTTGGGCCAGGCATGGTGATGCGTGCCTGTAATCCCAGCACTTGGGAGGCTGAGGCAGGAGGATCATTGTGAGTTCGAGAGCAGCCTGGGCTACAAAGTTAGTTCAAGGCCAACCTGAACTGCAAGAGACCCTGTCTCAAAAAAAAAAAAAAAAAAAAAAAATTGGGATAGATACTTTGAAATTATGCTACTATCCTACTTCTTTTCAAACTCTCACCAACTGATTTTACTTTTTTTTGTTTTGTTTTTTGTTTTTTTGGTACCGGGAATTGAACTTAGGACCTAGTGCTTGCCAGGCAGGAGCTGTGCCACCGAGCTATAGCCCTGGCACTGATCTTATTTTTTTGCTTTTTTATTATTATTTTAGTTATAGTACCTTTGTGCAGTGCCTAATGTTTACACTCCTTGTGTGGAGTTGGCACATGTACACAATGCATGTCCATTCCTCGATTCCCTTCCCTTTTTTGGGGGGTTTAACATGTTTGCACTACGTAATGATTATGCTCCTTGTGTGTAGTACATGGCATGTTATGGGCACATATCATTCACTGATTTTAGTATTTATGTGTGAATGCTTCATCAGTTATTATATCATCAGTTATTACAGTGTTGTTTGTCTGATGGTGATGCTGTTCTTTATTCTCTTCACTTACTAACTGGAATTCTGTGAGGAAGACCTGTCCCTTTCCTTTATTCAGTTATTTACTTGTATGTGTGTGGACTCATGAGTACTATTTTATTCTATGTGTTTTAATCCAATACTATCATTATTTATTTTGTTCCCCACATTGTTCCAGCTTTGGCCATCAGAATTCCTTCTGGTTGGCCCCTGGGTACTTATATCCATATGCTCCATCTCTTTTCTAGAATCTCTCTTTATTATAAGATATTCTCAGCTTCTGTTGTATCTTCTCTGCCCAGGCCCTGGAAGCAACTTCTCCAAGAAGTACTGGTGGTTTTTTGGTGGAGAATAGTATTTAGAAACCAATATATGGGCACTACATGTGTATACTGCTACTAGGGTATCATTATTCCAAGCCCTTTCAGAGGTCACAGCTAGGATATACAGTATTCCTACACATCTGTCTATGTATCTGCCATACTGATATCTCAGATGCTAACCCAACACCTCAAAGTTCCTTCTATTCTCATTCCTTATTTGCAATTTCCTCCTCTGACAGTGACAAACCTGGTTCTCATATCTAGAATACATTTATTTATTTTTGTGGTACCAGAAGTTGAACTCAGAGCCCCTGTATTGAGCTACATCCCAGTTCTTTTTGTTATTGTTTTGTTTTCAGACAGGGTCTTGCTATGTATTTAGGCTGGCCTCCAACTTCTGGTGACCCTCCTGCCTCAGCCTTCCCAAGTGCTGGGATTATAGTGCCACCGCACCTGGCCCCAGCTCTTTTTATTTTGAGACAGGATATCACTAAATTGCTAAGGTGTCCAGGCTGGGCTCAAATTTGCAATCTTCCTGCCTCAGCCTCACAGAGTGCTGGGATTACAGGTGTGAACCCATCATGCCCAGCCTAAATTTACTTATTTGTTCAATTTTAGAAATTACAGTATTACAGAACTATAACACATATCCTTGTGGAAAACAAGGATAAGAGAAATACAGTTTTTGTACACAGTTCTTTTTTTGGAAAATACTATTTTCCAAAGTTTCTTAGGCTAGTTGTTTTTTCCTCATCACCTAAGTTTATGTTATTAACTTGTAACAAAGATATTTCACTTGTTACTACCTGTATCCAATTTTGGGCTCTCCACATTGTTGAATTTTAATTATTTAATTTGGGGAGGTGTATGTGAAACAATGTTACGATTCTCAGAGTCAAAGCTATACAAAAAGGCATATTCCCAAGAAGTGTTGCCCTTCTCCATCCCTATTACCTTGTTCTCACTACTTCCTTCTTTCCACCCCACCCCTTCCCCACTGGCTCAAAGGAGGTACAGTCAATCAGTTTCTGATTTATTCTGTGTTTCTTTCCCACAAGCAAACAAATATATGTGAGTGTGGGTTGTTGTTTTGTTTTAAGACAGCGTTTCACGAGGCTGGTCTTGAACTCCTGCAAAACTGATGATCTTCTACCAGCCTCCCAAGCAGCTTGGACTACAAGCATGTACTGCCATGGCCTGGCTCATGTGTATTTTCTTATATCCCCTTCTTGCTTACATTCTCAGAGTTACATATTATAGATATTATAAGTTACATATTATAGATATTCTTTAGCACTTTGATTTTTTTTCTAGTTAATATTATACCATAGAAATCACTCCAAATCAATTCATACATTTCTTGTTCTTTATTCAGCTGCATAATATACTATTATAGAAATGTACCATACTTTTTTCAGCCACTCTCCTCCAAATAGGCAGTTCGGACTGGGGATATAGTTCAGTGGCACAGCGCCTGCCTGGCAAGCGCGAGGTCCTGAGTTTGATTCCCAGTACCAAAAAAACCCCAAATGGGGTGGAGGCAGTTTGTATTTTCTTACGGTTGAAGGTGATGTCTTCAGATCACATTCTCAGAAGCAGAGTTGTGGTTTAAAGGGTAAAATGCCTAAGTTTGGATGTAGTTGCATCTTCCTCTGGAAGGACTGCACTTATTTGCACTCTCACCAGCACTATCTAAGAGTATTTCTCAGGGCTGAGAGTATAGCTCAGTGGTAGAATGCTTGTCTAACATGAGCAGCCCTAGGTTTGATCCCCAGCACCATATACACAGAAGTGTCTCTCTAGTTTTGTTAACAGAATGTGTTACCATATTTTAAATTTTTGTCACTCTGATGGATAAGAAATGATACGTCAATATTGTTTTAATTTGTATTTCTCCAATCACAAGTGTGTTTAACTTTTTTTTTTAATGTTTGACTAAAATGTGAAAGTCTTTTCTTGAGGGGAAGGGTGCTTGTCTATTCATGCCCTCCTCAGGCCCCCCGCCCCCAACAGTAGTCTGTGAGGGTTTTGGCCTTTGTTCCCCAATCCTTTTTTTTTTTTTTTGTCTTTTTGAGACAGGGTCTTGCTAAGCAGTTCAGGCTGGCCTTGAACTCACTTTGTAGCCCAGGCTGGTCTTGAACTCGCAATGATTCTCCTGCCTCAGCCTCCCAACTGCTGGGATTACAGGCATGTGCCACCACACCCACCACTGTTCCCCAATCTTTAAGAGTTCTTGCTAGGGCAGTGGTGAACACCTGTACCTCAAATTGCTGGAGGTGGGGAAAAACAGGAGGATTGTAAGTTCAAGGCCAGCCTGGGCAATTTAGCAAGACCCTTTCTCAAAATAAAATTTAAAAGGGCTGGAGACACAGCTCAGTGTAACATTTGTCAACTATGGTGAGTTTGATCCCCAATACTGGAAGAAAAAAATTCTTTCTTATTATCCCTTTGTCTGTGGTACCCTTTTGACTATATACATTGTGAGAAAAAAAATTCTCACATATAGGTTCTTCTGCCTGCCTTCTGCATTCTTTTGGCCAATCAAGTTGTAAAAAAAAACTTAAGTAGTCAAATTTATCAATCTTTTATTGCAACTGGCTTTTGAGGCTTAAGTTAGAAAGATTTCCTCTATGTTTAAAGTTAAAGAGAAATTCATTCATGTTTTCCTCTAGGACTTGAATGGTTTCGTTTTTCACTTTCAGATTTCCAATCCATGTAGGTTTTTTTTTTTCCCCCATTTAGGGCTTTTTGGGATATGGGATATAGATATAATTCTAAATGGGAACAGAGTCATCCCAGCACTCTATTATCCTTTATCCAAAATGCTTTGGACAAGAGGTATTTCAGATTTGTTTCGGATTTTGGAGTATTGGATATCCAAAAATAGGATATCTTGGTCATATAGCACCCAAGCTTAACACATATTTCATAGAAGCTTTACTCATATAGCCTGAAGGTAATTTTTTACACAGTATTTTTAGTGTGCCTGCATTAAAAACATTTTTTGAGGAAGAGACTTACTGTGTCACCAGGTTGGTCTCACACTCCCAACATCCTCCCCGTACACACCCCCTAACCTGGGATGACAGGTATGTGCTAGCATACCCTACTGTGACCCATCATGTAAGGTCAGATGTGCTATTTCCACTTGTGGAACTGGATTTTGGGGCATTTCAGATTTTCAGATTTAGGGACGCTCAAACTGTACTCAATTTCTATGGACACTTTTTTGTATTTCTGGACTTTCTATTCTACATTTCTATGTTTATATAATGTGTCTCCAGCTGTAGATGTGCCATTGCTACATCCATAGAAAAAATCAATTTTAATTATAGAGGCTTTATATAATACTTCAGTGCTTGTAGAAATAGTCCCTTTTTATAGTTTTCCCTCTCAGTGTTTTTGGAGTTATGCTTCTAACCCTGTTTTTTTCAGTATGAATTTTAGAATAACTTGTCTAACTCATCTATAATGCTGAACTGTCCTACCCAGTGACAGAGTATATCTTTCTATTTATTTTAAGTCTTTCAGGAATGTTTAAAAAGTATCTTTTAGCAGATTTTTGCACATTTCCTGTTATATTCCAAAGTATCTGATTTTTGTATAAGTCCTGCTATTTTACTGAATTCTTACATCAACCCTCCCACCTCCTTTTTTGGGGGAAGGACTGGGGATGGAACCCAGGGCTTTCCACTACTGAACTACATTCTCAGCCCTCTTCATTTATTTGAATTTTAAGACAGGGTCTTACTAAGTTGCTCAGGTTGGTCTCAAACATGAGACCTCTTGCCTCAGTCTTCCAAGTAGCTGGATTATATAGGCATGCACCACCACACCTGGCTTAATTTATTCTTAACCCATTTATGCATAGTGTTCCATTTTTGGAATGCTATAAACAATGGAATATTATAAAAAAATTTTCTCTTCTAATTCTTGTTCCTTAAATTTTCCTAGGTAATATACATGAATTTCATCCAAAAAAATCAAAATCTTGTAACAAGCATAAATGGGTTAATAGGCCTCTATTTAAGCTGCAGTTTCTGATACATTCCTGTGGCATCTATCATTTCTCTCAGGAAAGAAAGGGAATTTTTTTGTTCTTTTGTAAAACCACACAAAATAAGCCATATTCCTTCTAAAACATTTATTGAATGATTAACTCACAACACTTGAAACTTGTAAAATTGCAAGTACTATTACTACTGATACTGAAAACCACCCTAATTTCCAAGATTAGTCTGCCCAGTTTAGACTCTAGTTAAATCTATACATCCATTTAAAACAATAGAAGAAATAAATAGGTGTCTACAACCCCAAAATATGTAAGTCAACTTTCAAAATAGACTTTTAAAACACAGATGAGTCACACATCATTTAAGAAGACCTCTTAGGTACCCATATTCAAGTTTAATGAAAAAGGTACATTAAATGCACATGTAAAATCCACTTTAAAAAGGAGAGAAATACTAGTAAGGGGATCAACACTTCCTTTGAATTCAGATACCCATTTCTTTCTTTTCTACTGTAAATTTGTACATTAGCATTACAGTAGCCGGCAGTGGGTCTCAGTACCTGGATGTGGGTTTCAGTACCTTTCCCTGAGGGATACAGGAAGCAATCTATGTGTTATCCATTGGTATGATGAACAGCAAGAAGTGTGCATAAGTGGCAAAATGGGATTTGGACCCATTCTTATGCTCCAGGGAACAGTTTTTGAGTATATTTACCTGAGTATCACAGAGGGTCCAATAGACTCACACCACTCCAGCATTTGTTCTTAAAAAAGTTTTCTTTTTTTTTTTTTTTTCCCTCTGGTACCGGGAACCGAACTCATGACCTTGCGCTTGCCAGGCAGGCGCTTTTGCCGCTGAGCTAAATCCCCAGCCCCTAAAAGTTTTCTTTTGATTTTTCGGGTAGAAGTAGCCCAATTCTGTACAATGCCACATGAAAAACCAGATATGCAAGTTTTGGAAGAGGTCAGTAGTGAATCATCAGATCACTCATGCATGGATGATGAAGATGATCCCTTATGGTAAAATACATGCTTTCATAACGGAAGAGTGGTGTGGTGGGATATGACGATGATGATGATGATGACTTTGACATTGGCCATGTGCACCAAAATTCCTGTGACAGTGAAATGGAGCAAGAATGAAACTGACACAGACACAGGGAATGCAGACCTCCTTGATTCAGATGAAGAAAACAGCAATGTAGGTACATATTTTACTAGTCGAATGTTGCCAAGTGGCTATGCAACCAAATGGAATGTTAGAACTAGGTCCAAAAAATTGAAGGTCTTGGCTGGGGGGAAACGTATTGGACAGAATGCCAGCACTGCCATTCAAAGTTAGAAATTGTAACAGATGAAGTACTACAAGATGCTGTGAAATACACAAAGGCTGAAATGCAAGTATAATGTTCCGTGTGCACCTGGAGTCATATTAAAAAATGTACCTATTATGACACCTCACTAGCTGAACTGAAAGTATTCATAAGTCTGCTGTACTTACTACAGATTCCTCATAGTGACTGAAGGAATGTAAAAGACTTACGGAAAGGCAATAGGTCAAAATATAGCACAAAAATTTATGGCCTTGGAGATGCAATATGCTTTCAATTTAGACATTTATCCTGGAACTCAGCCATCAGGTCCTTATTCATATAGTAATAAGCCAAATGATGTTGTGAACAGACTTGTTGCTCCCATCTCCCAAACTAATCAGAATGTGACATTTGGTTTACTGGTTTCCAAGTGATGTTACATTTGCTAACAGAGCACAAGTTGAGCAGTGCAGGAACTGTACACAGGAACAAGGTAAAAATTCCAAATGAAACATTGCAGTTTCAAAACAGAGAACTATATAGTTCAATCTCTGAATTTCAGAAAGATAAAACACTGGCTTCATATATGGCGAAGAAAAACAAACTGATACCACTAATATTAACATTTCACCATGATGGAAATATTGACAGGGAAACCTTGATAAAACAGAAGCCTGAGATAGAAACTTTCAACAACAAAACCAAATGTGGAGTAGATGTTGTCGATGAGGTAGCAACTATCATGTCACTGAAAACACAAAGCATTGGTCAATGATTGTGTTTTACTCAATTCTAAGCATGTGTGGGATAATTTAATAGTTTACAAAGAAAATTACACTAGCAAAATATTATGGAGAAATTTTCTTAAGAGAACTGGGACTGGAGTTCATAAGAGATTGTTCACAGCAGAGAAAAACAAAATGTTTCTGCCCAGGGGACTATGCCAAAAAACTGTGGAGCAGACTGGTGAGCTGACAGGTGAACAGGCAGGTACAACACCACAAAGACCAACTATGACAACAGGAAAACAAAAAAGATGCTCATTGTGCCCTACAAGAAAGTACAGGAAAACAAAACATACATACTATCAGTGTGATACTTCTGTATGGAACATGCAGTTGTCATGGGAAAAGGCCGTCTTGGGTGTGACAGTTGAAGCAAAGCTTGTTGTTTTCTTTGGAGAAAGGGTCTCACTATATAGTACAGGCTGGCCTTGAACTTACAGTGATCCTCTTGCCTCAGCCTCCCAAGTAATAGGATTACAGGCGTGTACCACCATGCCCAGAGAAGCAAAGCTTATTTCTGTGGTAGAGTTTATTGGTATTTTCATTGTAGGTCATACAGGAATTTATTTATGTTATCTTTTAGGTTATATATGGAAATACACAGCTGATGTGAAAATGTTGATGTCTATTCTAAATGCACAATACATATTAAGAATTTAATAATTTATTTCATTGGCATTTTATGTTCCAGTTAACTACACACTATATAACCTCCCAACAAAAAAGCAAGACTACTGAGATGTCAAGTATGTCCTACAAAAAGGTCAAGAAAGCAAAAAACGTGCTGTCAGTGTAAGCGATGCATGTGTATGGAACGTGCTCTTATCATGTATGTAGATTGCCTTAGATATGATAATTAAGATAAAGATTTTTTTCTAGAGCTTCATTGTAGTTCATATGGGAATTTATTTCTGGTGTTCTTTTTAGACTTTGTACACCAAAAACCAGTAGATGTAGAAAAATTTGATGCTTTTCTATAAACTCAATAAATATTAAAAACTCAGTATTTTTGTGATTTTTTCCTGTGAAGTACTCATTACTTAACATAATAAAACTCATAAATTAAAATTAATACATCAATAAAGATATTCTAAGGAATATTTAGACAGACTCACATTTATGCGCCTTGATGACAAAATGAGTCTCACGTTCTGAGGGTGATGATGATAACAGATGTTAACTGCAAGGCTTTATGTCTTTTTAGAATGTCCCCGCTCACCAGGCCTGGCCTCTCTGAACACTGAACCAACTCTGGTGTGACTTACACAACTGCCTTCAGAATCATCTACACACCCATTCATAGAGGGTTTGGGACATACAGTGTTTTTTAAGACACTATTTAAATGGTATTTGCATAAGCCACTATAATATGGGTTTTCAATGTTTCTGACAAGAGTAGTTGTTGGATCATCACTATTGGGACAAAGTAAAATAAGCAAAACTTCCAGGCACACTGTGAAAACAATACAGAGAAATGAGACTTTTTGAGACTAGTTTAAACCTTGAATTTGGGCTATCAAGCTTAAACAAACGTGAATAGCTATCCTTCAAAGGAAAGCAGTGATAGAGTTTTAGTGTACTACAGAGGCTCACAGAAGAGAAGGAACCACACATTTTCCATCAGTCCACAATGGCACCAGTCAAGAGTCATAAGAGCATGAAGACCAAACCAACTTCACAAACAGATCCTGTAAGTTTGGGCTTATTTTTCAACAACTAGAAAACTTCAAGTCTACTCTTTTCCAAGAAAAGCTTAGGGTGAGTGTATTTTTCTATATCTGTGCCAGGGGAAGGCAGCCCTCTGCTGACGATCACAAGAGCTGAGAACTCTTCTCTCCTAACCTATCAAAGATCACACCCACCAATTCCACTACTACCTGGCTTCCAATATCACCAAGACTAGTGAAGTATGCTGAGTAAGAGATCATCAGCAGGTTAAGACCAATGTGGGGCCAGAAGCCTAAGTCAAACCCAGGGATCTGCACCTACAAATACTTTAAGATGGATTTTCTCTAAAAGTTTATTTCTTTCACATGAGAAAGAAGTTTGAGGGGCTGGGGATATAGCTCAGCAGCACAAGTGCCTGTGTGGCAAGTACAAGGTCCTGAGTTCGATTCCCAGTACCTAGAAAAAAAAAATAAGAAGTTTGAAAGTTCAACTAAGATGAATGTCTGCTCAAATGTCTTACTAGGAAAAAAAAAATCTTCAAAAAATAGCATCACTATTTTCTCTTCATTATTAACTAAAACCAATTTTTTTAGAAGTAAAACAGAGTAGCTTTTCTTCTCTACAGGCACCCAGAGTTTCAAAAATAGCAATCTCAAAAATTCAAAGACTACCCATTTGGATTAAGCCACAAGAGGATATAAGAGGGGAAACATAAATTATTCTATTTAACTCAACTTATTCTGCCTACACCACATTTCCATAAAAAAATAAAGAAATATCAATCACCATAAAAAGTATCCTATTCATAAAACTTTAATTTACATAAAAGTTAATGAATTGCTTGCAAGGAGTGACAGTAGTGGTATGGTATTGATGGTGAATTCTGCTATAAAACCAAGACAAAGACAGAAAAAAATCCTAAAGTTCTCTACCTAAGTTAAATTTGATGAACACAGCTGCACCTATTCATTGCTGACCTCTGTTAAGTAGTAAAAACTCTAAAGATTTTCACTTAAATTTATACAATATACCAGGTGTGGTGACACATGCCTGTGATCCCAGCACTTAGAAGGCTGAGGCAGGAGGCTTCAGCTCAGCCTGAGCTAGACAGTGAGTTTAAAGGCCAGCCTAGACTATATAGCAAGACCCTGTCTCAAAAAACCAACCAGCCAACCAAACATAAAACCAAAACCAAACCAAAGCCAAAAAACTACACAATATTTTTTGAAGAAACAACTCGGTATGTAAAAATGAACTTTTACGTGTGTTAGTATGTATGTGTTAGAAGATTTCTAATTTTCACTGGTTAGTCTCTTTAATATAACTTCTTTGAAAGACATCCAAAATAGCTGAATAACTTACTTTGAGATAATTAAGGCAAGGGAAATATAAAATGTTGACACACATAGCCATTTTATTTTGTTTTACTTGGAAAGGATCAATTAAGATTCAATCTCTGAAGTTCATTTAAAAGGAAATACTCCCAGGAGGGTTCTTTGAAGTTAACTTTCTAAAGCCATTTTCCTTAGGAAATTAATTTCTCTAGTTCCTTTTTCTGGATGAAATAAGGACAGACATTCTTTTAATATGGATTTGTACCCTCGCTCTAGCTTCTTGATTACACCTTTACTTCAATCCAAAATAGCCTCTGACTTTCTAAGAATCTATACTGCCTTTTTGGTTTTCTAGTTTTTCTTTTTTTAAAAGAATTATTTTAATTTTTATTATTTTTACTCTTTTCTCTAGTCTCACTTTAAACTAGATTCATTTTCCAGTCTTTTAGTCCTTTGCATCTCTCATTACCCTTGCTCCCTGCTCTCTCCTTTTACCCCAGCTGGGAAAAATATTATCTATCTAAACCTTGGCACAGAAGGAAAATGTAAAGGAGAATACAGAAGATTAAAGATGAGTTAAAAAACTAGCTACTGGTCTTAGGGGTCTATTATAGAGACATAAGACTTGGCAGTGCTTTGACAGTCAACTATTCAGAAGAATTGTGAACAGGTGTTATTTGGAGGACAGAATTTCAATTAGACCTCTGGAGAAGCCCCCTATTTTTCATGGGGGTTTGTAAGCACCACAAAACCATAGCTGAAAGGAGAAAGAAAACTCCACACTGGCCTTTTTCCGAGTGTGGCCGCCTTCTGCTCGGCTCAGGGCCCGCCACATGCCCAGGAGTGCGTCTGGATCCTTGAAGGGCTCCCTTCGCAGGTGGACAGTGTTTACGCTATACTGCAAGAGAGCCAGAAAAGTGCCCATGAGAACCAGAAAGCAAACTTGCAGCCAGTAGGATCATCTCTCTAGGCATCAAAGATGGGGAAATCAACACAGACATCTGGGCAGCATTTAAATGCCAGGAAAGGTGAGGGAGAGGCAATCCCCCAACCTCTGGCTCGACCTAATAGTGGGAGAAGGAAAGAAAAACACATTTTTTGTGTGTGATCTATCCCCTGAGAACAAGACAGAGAAGACTGAGCTGGAAAGATAGCTCAGTAGTGGTGTCTGCCTAGTATGCATAAGTAGCTGGATTCGATTCCCAACACAAAAAAAGAAAAAAAAAAGACAAGACTAAGTCAAGGTCAAATGATGGGGGAAATATCTCCATTTCTAATAGACAAAAAGAAATAATTCAAGGAAGAAAATGACCTAGGGTATACACCTAGTTAGATCAGAAAGTGTTAATGATATCGGTGGATTACTGAATTAAAGCTAATAATGAAAGTAATGCATCCCAACACTTAGGCAATGCTCTTCTTCAAGGAAAGTAGAAGAAAAAGAAATGAACTTTATTCTGAGATACAAAAAATAAGAACAAATACATCAAAAACAAAGAGATGACATTTTCAAAAATCATGATCTTACCATAAGCCAAACAAACAAAAATAAATTTTAAAAAAGCTGATGAAGCTGAGTAGAGCAAATTAAGACTGAGGTAAACGACCTTTGGCAGTCGACAACCTGTGCAGTCTTTAATTACTATGATTATAAGATGCTTGATATGATGCTGCTAATAATAAAACAACACACTAACAAATCAGAAAATTTTAATTTTTATCCTGTTTAGGTAGGACTAAATATCTGCAAACTCTGTTGGTCAAATTCAAAATCTCAACTCTCCTGTAAAAATGAAAGGTAACAAAAGTATCTGCTGGGGGCTGGGGATATAGCTCAGTGGCACAAGTGCCTGCCTGGCAAGTGTAAGGTCCTGAGTTTGATTCCCGGTACCAAATAAAAAGAAATAAAATAATTTTTTAAAAAAGTATCTGCTGGATATTTTAGCACAGAAACTTCCAAATTTTCGTGTTTTTTTTCCCCCCTGGTACTAGGAGTCAAACTCACGACCTCCTGCTTGCCAGGCAGGCACTGTGCCGCTGAGCTAAACCCCCAGCCCTGGAACTTCCAAATTTTTAAGTGCTGTTCTTTTCAATTTAGGATGAGACTACTGTAAAAGGTGGTAATTGATACCATCTCCTCATCTAACTAACCTTGCTATAAGCTTTAACATTCACAGAGGTTTGTTGGGTTTCCTGAGATCCAACTGACTGTGGAAAATGGCAAGCACAAGAGTTTAAGAAAACTATTCCAGGAGACCAGGCTGATGAAACAAACTATCTCAGTCTTTTGCAGACTGACATACTATGAGTCAGGCGGATCTTTCACATATATATACTTCATTGGCTTAAAAGAATAGGTACTTATTCTGTAAAATGCGGTAATTACAGTAATTGTAGCAAGTTATTTCTTAGAAAATATCAGAAGGCACACTAAATGATCAGGATATATTTTGGGCTCTAGCAACTCCATTTTCCACGACAATTTCTTCTTAAAATCCCATTGGTACAATTTGACCAAAGCATGTCAGCTTCTGTTCTTTTAAGCAGGAACTTACAATTAAACTGTGCCCTTCCCCTACAAGTTAAGAGATTCTTCCACTTAATCTTCAAGACTAGGGTCATCAGTGACAGCCAAGAAAGTAGCACAATTTTTTGGCAAAGGAAACTGACCAGTTAATCTTTTTTCTTTCTTTCTTTTTCTTTTTTCCGTTTTTTTTTTTTTTTTTTTTTGAGGCAGTATCTCACTATACAGCTTAGGCTGACCTTGAACTTTCGATGATCTTCCTGCTTCAGCCTCCAAAGTGCTGGGATTATGGGTGTGCACCATCTCCGGTCAGACTGGTTAATCTTAAGGATTAGGTGGGACCAGTCTCCTATATAAGGCAACAATAAATGGTTCATAAAGTGTGGTTATTTAAGAAGACAGAGGGACTAGATCTGGCTGTCACCTGATCCTGTGCCCTATGGAAACAAAAAGGATTTAAAAAACTACCAGAACACTGGTAACACTGGTAACAGATAACAACTCCCAAATTTTTCATTAACTTCAAGTTTTTTTTTTTGTTTTTGTTTTTCTCCGGTACCGGGAACCGAACTCACGACCTTACGCTTGCCAGGCAGGCGCTTTTGCCGCTGAGCTAAATCCCCAGCCCCAACTTCAAGTTTTAAGAAAGAATGTTTCCTAAGATTAGAAAGCAAGGTTTGTTCTAGAGAAACAAAACTAAAATATAAAGCAATTTCAAGAGTGGAAAATAATTTATTCATTCATTTGCAAGAAAGGCTCATCACCTTGGCCTTCAAGGCTTTCTAACAGCAGGAACAGTATCCTGCCAGTTTTATCAGGCCAAAGAGTTTGCTAAATCCTAGTGGTGGTGGTGGTGTTTAATCTTTTCACGTAAAGAGCTACGGCTAGTGGAGCACAACCTATTAGACTGCGTTCAGAAAACATCTGAGCCAGACAGAATACTAATGTAAGATAGGAGCTACTCTGGACCCAACAGCAAAGATAACTTGTTAAAGGCCACAAAAGAGAAGGATATTGTATCTAAGAAACGAACCACCATCCTCTACTAAAAGCAGATACAAAAAGGGGTAAATCTTTATAGTCTTTAACAAACGTAAGAAACCAGCCTATTTTAAAGCTCAATGCACTACACTCAACTCCAGAGACTTGATCCAACCCTGTAACCACATCCTAAACCTGAGTCATATGCCTTCCTACTAGACCACCAATATCAGGTTACTGTTCAAAGCCTCCCCATACCCAGAGTATACACACAGCACATTACCAGGAAGTTATGGGAGGGGCAGAAGAGTTGAGGAAGAGCCCATTTATTTCCCACCAAGGGCTCAGATAAAATTTCTGCACTTTTTGAAATTTAATTTCAGATTTTAAGAACCAAAAAGATAGAGAAAATGGGAGACCAGAACTTGAAAAAGACTTCAGGAAGTTTATGACTGGCTTCGTTTAAATGAGATCATGACATCTGACTGGAGCTGAAGAAGAGATGAAAGCCAAAGTGGAGCTATGGACGGCTTAAACACAACCAAGGTTCGCGTTTCCTAAGTGTCAGACATGCATCTGGGGCACCAGAAACACTGGGTATCATTCAGGGAAGGTTTAGTTACAATCAGTTTGCATCAGACCATCAACTATACTCATACAGCAAATTAAATCTGATGAGGTTTCTTGGTTCATCATTCTTCCTTCTTCAACCCAGGAGAGGCAGACACATTCATGTGAATAAAGGAATTTTACCCAGACTATAAACCCTCCACAGATCAATTTATGCATGGCTTTCAAACCACCTTCTCCTACACCCTGGTTCCTTCTCTTGTAGGGTCTGATATATTACAGAACAATGACAACTACAACTACAACTGGGCTTTCAGCATGGTCCTTGTTAGATGCCAAATCTCAACATATTTCGAATAGAAGGGAAATTCTTGCTTTCAATAGCTTTTTTTCATGAATATAAAACTAAATTTCAGAGAGATTTTGTCTTCATTTCCTTCCAATGAAAACAAATCGAGTAGGAAAGTTAACTCAAAGTTTTGAGTGAGATTAGTCGGACAATTTCTCCTATTTCTGAAGAGGCCTAAATTTAAGGAGCAGTGGAAATACTCTTTTGAGTTGGAGGATTCTGAAAACTTGCAGTTCAGTGAAGCTCTGACCAGATGTGTTTCTTACATAGAGATCAAGAAAATTTTCCCTTCTCCTGTTGTGGGATTAAAATGTTCTTTGTAAAGTGGCGATAGTGGATTCGATGAAAGCCGACTCAGCAGGAAATTAACAGAGAATCTCAAACCAGTAGTTTATTTGCTTCCCCATCACTTTAAAGCACATAACAGGATGGGGACAAAGAATCAAAAACAAAGGAAGATTGGTTGCTTCACACAGAAATGCACACAAAGGCATTTAACAATTGCAAATTACTCTGAAAATAAACGGGGAATATGGTCAGGAATATGAAGCAGCTGTATATATATTTTACTTAATCTCTGGGAAAGCACGAAGGGTTTAACCCAGTCAGTTCAAAATTCAGAGGCAGAAACTTGTTTGGTGACCCCCACTGAGCCTCGCTGTCTTCTCAAGGCCCTGCGCCCTCACCACTTCTAACAGCTCCCTCTGCTCTAATCCTAGTACAACCGAGCTGAAGAGAACAGCGCATGACCCTGATCTAAACTCAAACAGTATTTCCCAGACCGCGCGACGCCCACAGCAGCGAGTCGAGCTCATCTCCGTCCTCTGCAGATCCCAGGCTCCATCTATCCTTTCCAGTCTCCACCCTCCCTTCCCCCCAGGCTCCACCTCCCCAGACCCTCTCCCTGCACACGCGCCTGCCCTCTCTGGGACGTCCAAAGTCACCAGCGACATCACCCTCTCCCCTCCAACTCCATTCATCGGAACCCGGATCTCCACGGGCTCAGGCTCCCCCATCTCCCCGGCTGATCCCGAGCTGCGGTCAGCGGATGAAGCGGCCGGCCCAGGCAGGTCCGAGACATCCTCGTGACGGTCCCTCCTCACTCACCCTCCGTCACTTCCAGCACCTTAATCTGTTCCTCGGCAGCCGCCCGCACCTCCTGCACTGGGGACAGGATCCCAGTGAGCGTATCCACCAGTGCCTCCTTCAATCCCTGCGCTACTGGACCGGGTAGCCCGGAGGCCGCACCAGCTGCCGCCGCCGCCGCCATCTTTTCTCCCTTCAACCCGCCAGCCCCGCGGCCGGGACCCGCCACCGAATGACGGCTCCCGCGCACGGCCAATCCGCGAAGCCGCGCCTGCGCACGAGAGTCCGCGGGAGGAGTCAGGGGGCGGGGAAATGGACGAAGCCGCCAGAGACAGCGCCTCCTGCTGTCTAAACGAAAGCTACGCCTTTGTCGGCCAAGAGCACCTGAGATTTATGCAATGAGACCCAGAGATGTCTGGGCTTTCCTAAAGTAGTGCAGTACGCCAGCAGTCTCAACTGTAAGAAGTGCCATGATGTATGACTTTAGACTCATGGGTCTTTTAGATATAAGATACTGTCTTAGGAGGGACGAGGTTGGGTGGAAATGGATGTAGAAGGTTTTAAGGAGAGGTGTCTCGGTTGGAAATAGAATCTGTTCTAAACCAATCTTCTTTTTTCTCTCAAACACTGAAAAAAAAAAAACCGAGTCAGTTGGTTCTTTTCATTTCTTAGCCTCAGGAATCTAAGATGGAAGGAAAAAAACGGAAGCAAACGGGGCGGGGCGGGTATCACCTTAGGGGAGGGTGCAGTTCCTTCGGTATCTGGCCCAGATGAGTCCAACCTCAAAATGACAAAGGGGCTGGGCAGGGGAGCTCACCTGCTTGAGAAAGGGTATTTTTTCCAAAGTGATATTTTATGTGCCTATTTTATTTTTATTAATGTGCCTATTTTATTTTTATTAATGTGCCTATTTTAATATGAATCCTGTTAGCTAAGAATTATAGTTTTATCCTGTATAAATTATGACCGGACATACAAGGACTGGGGGATAAGAGCCGGTATTAGGGGCTGGTAATGAGAAATGGTCCAAGATATAGAGACACCACTCTACTGGAGCAGGTAGAGCGACTTAGAGCTAGAGGTTAAAAAAGCAGGATAGAGTGGCAAGATGTAGGGGCAGCAAGAACAAAATGGCATATGTGAACAAAAAGGTAGAGGTATATCCTAGCTGTTTGGGTTTAGTGCATCAGAAGTGGTTTCCAGAAACATTTACGTATTCTTATTCCCAAGTGGCAAAGGAAACCAGTTAGCATTTCTTAAAACAGTTCCCAATCTGTGGATGCTAAACGGGTTAATAATCAAAGATTAATTCATCTCATTTTAGGATTCTTCCAAAAGAATGTTCCGATTTATTTTGAGGAGTGCTGTCAACACATTTGTCACCACCATCCATGTTAGGAGGGCAGAGGTGGCTTCTCTTACCACATTTGAACAGAGAAAAGATGCTTCTTGGGCCTACAGTTCCACTGGAGAATGGTAAGGCGTATTTCCCCTCTCCCAGTGGCCAAGAGAAGCTCAATACCATTAGAACAACTTCATTTCTTATAAGTCAGTTCACTTTTACCTCAAAAACAAAACTTAGGGTTGTCCAGAGGGTGGGATGTTTTCAGACTTTGTGGCAGTGGATGGAGGATAGAAGAGCCCTGACTTTTGGGCTGAATGTTTTGAATTCTGGTGAAGGACACTATGTCCACAATGTGCAAAATGGGGTCCCTCCACTCCCAACCAAAGGAGTTAAGAGACTCTTGCTTACTATTTGGGGGTCAGACATTTTAAGGCCCGTGAGTTTTGTTTCTGTGTTAGCAAATGACCACAAGCAGCCTCACCTTCCAGTTCAAGCAATGGACGGTAAGATACATGGAGACAGAAACCAGGCAGAGAGGGAACTGGAGAGAATCAGTGACAATACAGGAGATAACTTTATTGAAACGCAAATGGCCTCAAACAGATGAATTTTGCTGGGAAGAGACATGCCTGATGGACAGAGGGCCCCTATGAAGGGCCTCTTTGATAATGAAGGAAGGCCTCTTCAGCTGGCCCAGGCATGAATTTAATTTTCAACTGATTTGTTGTTTAAAATGAATTACTGTGGGGACAACCCAGCGCTCTTCATGATTGTTACCGCAACTATATACAACGGTTTGCTTTCCAGATTCAGCTTTGTTTTTTCTATGTTTGATAGAAAAAGGGGGTAGGTTAGAAGAGGTGAGGGTCAAATGAGAAAAACAAACAAACAAACAAACAAACCATAGAACACACACACATATCCTGATTTGGGGTTTTGCAACCAATAAATTAAAGTGATGTGGAAATTCCTGCCCACCCTCCACCTGAGGAATGCCATGCATTTGAGAAATAGACTCCGTCACATAAACAATGCTGCCTAAAGCAGGATGGGGAGGAGGAAGGAAAGGAAGCTAGCAGGGGCTAGCGGTCATTAAAAATGATTGCTTTGTTTAAAAAAAACACACAAAAGAACACTAGGAAATGAAGTGGGGGTGGGCACTGCACAGCAGTAGCCCAGACTGGCTGCGATTTGTGAGCTTGTTCTTTATTTTATTATCTTCCTTCTCAGAAAAATGGCAGGGAAGCAGGATGACCCCACAGGAGATGGCCAAAGGACCCATTATGGTCTTCCGGGGACCAAGGGGGTGATTTTACTGCAGTTGTTTACTCTTGTCTTCCTGAGGCTTTAGTCCTCCAAGTGTCACAGTTCAGGAGAATTAGTACCAGTATGTTTCTTTGTGCTCTGCCCCAAAGCTCCCTGATTCGCAGTTGAATCAAACAACTTGGAACTAAGCCAGTTTTAAATAGCCTCGTCCTCCCCATGGCCCCATCAGCTGGTCTGTGAGTTTGGGAAGATAGGAAGCTCCTTTCAGATTCCTTTTTAAAAAGGATTTTATTCTGTCACTTTTGCCGAGTACTTCTGTATCCAGGTCCTAGTGTGAGGAAAAGAAAAGGTGAGCCCATGGACATAGGTGCTTACTACTGTGTCCTCATAGTAGGGAACTCTCTGCCGTGCCCTGAGCAGAGCATGGACATGGGGCTTCCTGGGGTACTGGAGCCCTAAAGTTGTTACTGCCCTGGAGAGGTTCTGGCTGGGTTCTCAGACCTAGCAGTGCACTTTATACTTCAAGTAAGGGCGAGGTTATGTTGCTGGCGGAACATCTTATCATGGAAATACAACTTAGATTTTTTTCTTTTTACTTTCCTCTCCGTTACATAATCAGAAAAAGACTCAAAGTAGACACAAATAATCCAGCGGAAGAGCAACCCAGAGAGACTGCCTTCCTCTGGTGAAGCTCCTTAGTTTGCCTGAAGGAAATTTCAGGCATAAGAGATTTTTCTCTGAAGGTTGCATTCAAGTGGAAAAGATACATACACTCACCTAACTTCTGCCCTGAAGTGCACATATTGTTTCTTTTGATAATTTGAAAGAAGCAAACAGAAACATAGGGAAGTATGAGAAAAGGACTTTGAAATTAATGTTAGCACTCGGTTTATAACCTGGGACCTTATTTTTGTTCCCAAAGCCCCCTGAGTAAGGGCTTTGCCCCTCAAGAGCAGCTTTACCTTTAAAACAGCTGAATCTCAAACTTTAGCAACAGTTCCACTGTATGTGCAGGGTGGTGCTGTTAAAGCATGGATTGTTGGGCTCTAGCCATGGAGTTTCTGATAAAGTAGACATGGGTGAGGCCTCAGAATTTAATTTCTAACAAGTTTGCAGATGCTGCTGAGTACAGTATCAGTTTGCTGATCCTTTGAGTACCACTGTTTTGGGGGGTGAATAGTTGAATCAAGAAACCATGGGGCACTCTTCATGGTCACCCTTGTCACAGAAAATTCTCCATGGCTAAGAGAAGTGGCTAAAACATCAAGATGCATAGAGCCAGTATAAATAAGCTTAATTTTTAACTTGGCCAGTTTCAGCTATGATTTCCAATTGGTTTCCTTACTTCAAGGCTCCAGCACTTTCCACCTTAGTCAGGTTTCCCTAGGGTCTACAGTCACAGTGCTTGCTTCAGTGTGCAAGTGATGCAGACACGCACACCCTTTGCAGTGGGCAGAGTAAGTTGGCAGCTCCATATATCCCTGAGCAGGTTGATTGAGGACCCTTGAATATATAAAGCAGATTCAATTATAAAGGGCAATAGCTTCAGACTTTGGCCTTTTGGGAGCATAGTGCCCCTAAGACCCTTTGATTACTTATGGCCTTTTCAGTGGGGTATGGATCAGAACTTGTAAGCAGTTCTTATGGTCATCGTAAGACTGTACTAGCATTCCACTAGTACACCCATTTCCATTAGTAAACCCTCTGCAAAACCACATTTTTTCATGCTATCCAAGTTCAGGTTAGCTTCAGGTTAGCTACTGCCAAGGATTAAGGAAAGAAAAGGTAAATGATGAGCTGCATTTGATGACCTGGGATGCTTCAGTATTTGAACCCTGTGTTGAATGTGTGATTAGGACTTCTCCTCTCATACATCTTGTAATAAAGAATCCTTAAGGCCTCATATAAGTGTCTGATCCTGGTTTGCAGGACTGAGTCTTTTCAATCAAGCAAATTTCACTAACGTGCTGGGTTGCTGTACACAGGTGTCATCCTAGGTAACAGGAGGTGTTGGTGAGAAGTGGCAGGCTACAGCTGCTCTCTTCTCACTCTTTTGGAATACTACAGGAAATAGAGTTACTTCTCAGACCAGTGCGAGGGGATGTGCCTCTGAATATTGTGACTCTTGCCCCAGGAAGCTAGAAGTAAGCTCGTGAGACTGGTCCACTTCGACTCTTGCAAAGCAGGAAATTGAGAATGAAAGAAATGAAAAACAAAAATTCACTTTATCTTAGGTCCTTAAGGAGTATGGGTAGAAAGTTGGTCATTCAAGATCAAAATATAGTATTCCAACCAATAAGGACATCACTTTAGGGCGTCTCCTGGACATTTAGCTAGTTTTTCCCTGCCAGCCTCCACCTTCCCAATGGTTAGACTAGATGAAGGACACTAGTATTAGGATTTACATGAAGACAAAAATAAGCACCGTAGAGTTGTCACAAAGCATGGATTTTTAAAAAATACTCTATGAAGCCTCAGAAGATAGGAAACGGCAACAGAAAAGTGCTCTTGTGTCACACACACACACACATACATTCACAAACATACTCATACAGACATCAGGTCCCACATTAGCCTCCAATTACCTAGTATTTTATGTTTAGTGTCTAGGCAGGGACTGAGCAACCAATACACCAGACACATCTTGTTGGTCTTCTTCCTAAGTGAGAGGGTCTCTGCCGAGGAACCTCTCCTGCAGCTGTGGCTCTCTTCAGGGTCATGTTGGGTGTTAAACCGTGTTCTATACTAGCCAACTGTGGTGACGGATGAAGTTGTGGGGTGGGTGGAGCGGAATGGAATAGCACAGATTCCAGAATTAGATAGGCTGGATTCCTCTGAAGGTGCTTGGGGGTTGAGAATTTAGCTAGAGGACCCAGTTTTTCTCTTCTTCGGGATCCCGAAAGTCTCAACCAAGTAGGTGTGAAGGCAGGAGAGAATGCTATGGATTTGTTCCTTGCTGTTAATTCTAGGGCAGCGAGGGGGAAGCTTGGCTTTTATGCTTCGGAGAAGTCTGAATGAGCGCCCCAAGGGGCTATAGCACCATGAGGAGGCTCAACCTTCTGCAGTTGCCACATAACCGCAACTCTTTTGTGAGACCGAGGTGTCCTCGGTCCCCACCATGAGAGGCCAGGACGTGCAACTGTAAACAGGGTCTCGGGCTCCAGAGGGAAAGCGGAGCTTCACTAACACTTTACCGGATGGGAACACACCTTCTGGAAGAAAGCAATTAAGAGACCTGGGCTAAGTGCAGCAGTGAACTGAGAGCGGATGGTGGTGAGTCCCAGGAACAGAAACAAAAGCTCATAGCATGAGGCCTCCAGAAACAGCCTGCTGAGGAACCGAAAAGATTCACGGTGGTATCCGCAGTTACCAGAGACACAAGCATCCTTCTGTGATCTGAGGCAGTTGGAACAGAAGAAGGGGTTCTCCCCGCTCGTTTTTCTCAGGTAGCCAGTTACATCCATGTCAGAAGGCACTGGCTGGGCAGCACCAGAAAACAGAGTTAGGGGCTCAACCATCAGGTTAAGGTGGCATTAAAAGTCTGAGCCTTGCCATGGGTCTGGAGCTTAGGCTGGGGTTTAGAAGAGGCCTATGCCCAAAGTAGGCCTGTTTGGTCTTCCTTGCCTTCTAAGTTGGAACACCCAGCTCTGTGGCCTCCTCATTCTGCATAGCAGAGACCTTAAGGCAGTGATTTCAGCACCATCCATAGACAAACAACCTCTTCCCGCCACAGATTGCATATTTTACAGCTGAGTTGGCTGGGGATCTTCACAGCTCATGGAATTAGCAGCAAGAGCGATTATAGTCTCCAGCACAGAGGACCCTGTCATCCCTGGGTGCTATCAGGTGAAATTACCAAGCTTTTCTGGGGTGCAGACCATCTTGTTGACCTAAATGAAAATATTCTGATATAAAGATTTGGATGCATCTACTCCTAGGTTGGTGGAACAGAGCAATCCAAGTTAGTATGCTTATAGATTCTGATAAAGCCTTGTACTACTTAGGAATCTGAAGAGCAAACACTCAATCCCAGGCTCATCTCATATCCCTGATCCACAAGTGCCCTGAAATTCAGCCTATTGGGCAGCTGGGCCTGGAATCTGGTCCCATAGGGCTTTCAGAAACGGCAGGAATAGACTCGCCCACTCCACACAAGCAAGATTCCATAGTCCTTCAGATCTTAATTGATCCCAGATCTTCTGCCCCAGTGTACTGGACATCTACTCAAAGGCTACTTTTTAGCTGACTCTTTGAGTTTCAGCTACATTTCTTAGCTGATCCTGAAGGTCCAGGTAACAGGGCGCGTACACCTAATGGATGGCAACATTTCCTACCAGACCATGAACCTCAGGGTCCAAGTCTTGTCTCTTTGTTTTCATCTAGTGACTGGTACACAAGTTAAGTGTTCAGTAAGTACTTGTCAAAAGAGGGAACATGACTGCCAGACCTTCAGGGTCACAGGAAAAGGACAACTTTTGCAAGAAGTAGGATCTCTGTGGAAGGCAGCTATTCACCACCAAATCAAACTCCTTGAACCATACACTCAGATTTGGAGTATCTCATATGGATATTCAGTTTCTTATAAATGAATATTCACCTACCAAAAACAAATACGCAGTTAAGGGCTGATAGGGAATTTTGATTCAGTCAGGCAAAATGCCTACCATCCAAACAGTACATGGAGTTGGCAAATGGGCCACCAGACAGAGGAACATTTCCACTCTCCGGCGTTTCCTCCAGTCCACGATGACGCTCAGAGCAGATCTTCTACTATGCCAGAGGCTGGCAGTTGAGCTCCCAGGCAGATCATGTGTTTTCCCAAAAGGAAAGTCAAGGGAACTGAGTGCCTCTTCTCCTATTACTGGTGAGCTGGTACTTCGTGTCTCACATAAGCCCCAAGGATGCCAAAGACAGTGGCATGGAGGTGTTTAGCTGGTACCAATTAGATGGTATCAGATTCTCCATGGAAAGCCCACTTGGAAAAGCCCAAGTAGCCCCTGGAAAAGCAACTCAAGTACCTCATGGACATGTGAGGATATGGGGGAGAGGGAGAGAAAAATAAATAGGCAAATGATAGAAAAAATAGAAACAAATTAAAAAATAAAAAATAAAAAAGTAGGGTTTATTGACTCTCACGAATGTTAAATTAGAAGGTAGAAAGACAGAGCTAGTGGTCTTTCTCTGAAGGCTGTAATATTACTTTTGTGATCTGGTGACTTCTTAGATTTGGAAGCTGCCTTGTCAACATCCCCGATGTCATCCAGAAGGCAAGAGCTAGCAGCTCTCTTTCTACCTTGGCAACTGGGTCCCCTTTCTCCAGCTTCATCTTTTCCATTGCCTGTTACCATTTACAGGTTGATTTATGCATTTTTAAAACCACATGCTTCTTTTCTGGGCTCCAGCCAGATCTCTGGGGGAAGAGTCGTTGGCAGTGGTGATAGAATTGGGAAGGGTCTGTGAGAAAGTCAGCAAGCGAAGCTTCCTGCCTCCTCAGACTCCCCTTCCTGTGACTGTCTCAGAGTTGCTCATGAGAATCAGCTAGGAACTGCTGCAGTCTCTTGATGTCTTCCGAACCCTTCCTCAGAAAGCCCAGGAGTTTGTAATTGAAACAAGAAAACAAGGAAAAGACCCAGAATTATCTTTTCCCCCAAGTCATGAGAGGAGGTCAGTAAATCTGCTTAGGTGACACAGTTCCCCAACGCCACCCCACCAAATCCCTACTAGGAAGTTCTCAAAAGTGCAGCACCAAGAACCTGCCCCTCTTCTTGCCTTCCTCCTCCCTCCTGTTCTCCTCCCAGGGCTGGAGAGCCAGTGCTTTGAGAGAAGAGGGGAGAGGAGGAGCTAACAAAGCCGATGCCAGCCTTCTGCTGTCTGGGGTGACAGTGACTCTGGGACCCTCAGAGCGTTGCCTGGAGGTTGGGGTCCAAGATGGTCTCTCGATCTGGAGACTCAATGTAGTTGGCAGCCTCCTGAAGTTTCAGCAGCATGGCCATCTAGAGAGGGAGAAAGACGCATTAATGAGAGTTGGGACACGGGGTCCTGCCCAGAGAGGGGAGACAAAAAACCTAGATCATAGGTCTGATGCATGGTTTGAAAGCTATTAGGAGCTTAGAGTGAATAGAGGCAGATCATGAACAAAACAGTGATGACTGCTTCATGTGCACATAAAGTCACCTGGGGTATGTCCGCCCTACAAAGCGCTACCTGTGATGTGTGGGAGGAGAATACCAAAAGTGCATGACTGCCTCTGCCTCTGCCTGCGTGGTGCCTGGACTCCAGTGGAGGACAGCAGGTGTCATACCCCTCATCCTGGGACAAGTGTAGGAACATCTCTGTCTCTAACGAGATGTTATAACCCAATAGGCAAGGCTTTATGTTATTATGAAGTTGCTTCTTTCCAGTCCACAAAGCCTATGTAAAGCTGACACACTTCAGAGTATTTACCTCTCATTTCCCTCACTGTCTTGCCTCCATCCTGGGCATTGAACCCAGGGGCTTCTGAATGCCAGGCAAGCGCTTGGTGACTGACCTACCTCCTCGGCTCTTTGGATTCTTTATTTTGAGATGGCGTCTAGCACTAAGTTGCCCGGGCTAACTTTGAACTTGTGATCCTTCTGCCTCAGTCTCTCAAGTGGGCCACTCAGTTTGGCCTGGAGGACAGCCATGAGGCACTTTTCCTGGTAGCTCCTTCTCTTTACCTATTTTTTCCCCCCTTGACACTTCAAGTTTGGAACCCTCTTTTTCAGCTAAGTAAGCCTGATTGATTCTAGAAAATCTGCCTTCCACATTCTTCTACCTACTTGATTATTATTAGTCTTCCAATTTAAAAGCGTTTTTAACATAAATTACATCTGTTTTCAACAAAGTCAACATTTAAATAAAAATGTGACCAAACTGGAAGACTGTGTGTGTGTGTGTGTGTGTGTGTGTGCTGGTCCTGGATACTGAATCCAGGGCTTTTACAATAAGCTACATCCCCAGTTGTTTTTTATTTTTTATTTTGAGATAGCGTCTTGCTAAGGCTCCTGCCTTAGCCTCTTATAGTGCTAGAATTATAAGCATGTACCACTTACCATGCCTGGCAACTGAATAAAATGGTTATGCCACAGGATTTGTGTATGTTAAGTTTTAATATAATCTACTAAATTATGCTCCATGTACCTTGAGTCCACACTCTTTTTTTTGTTGTTATTTTGTTCTTTTAATAGTTGCCATCCCAGTAAGGGGGGGTCAATGGGTTTCTCCCTGTGGTTTCCTTTCTTTTTTCTTCTTCTTCTTCTTTTTTTTTTTTTTTTAGGATATTATCAATGGTTGTTGTTTTACATATTGTGTCTTTTTTTTTTTTTGAGACAGGGTTTCTTATGCAGTTCAGGCTGGCCTTGAACTCACTTTATGGTCCAGGCTGGCCTTGAACTCAGTGAGCCTCCTGCCTCAGTCTCCCTAGTGCTTGGATTACAGTCATGTGCCACCAGGCCCAGCTGAGTCCATGCTCTTCACCCCCGCCCCCCCCCTCCGGAAATCGAACTCACAACCTTGCGCTTGCCAAGCAGGCACTGTGCCGCTGAGCTAAATCTCCAGCCCCTGAGTCCATACTCTTAAGTGAAATAAATCAGACACACGTGTGAATATCAAATTATTTCTCTGGTGTGAGAAACTGAAAGTGTAAATAAGGACCAAAATGAATTTTGAAATAGGAGGGAAATGTTCAAATGGGGAGGGGAACACGAGACATGGGAGGGGGAAAGGAAAGAAGGGAAAAGTAAAAAAAATGAGAAAAGAAGGAAAACATAGAAACAAAGTTTTGTAAATGGGGAGGGGACAGGGGTAGGGGGATAGGAAAAAAGTAATTTATATCATGTACAGGTACAAACTCTCTATGATGAGTATGCTTGTTATGTATATCCAAAATGTACCAATAAAACCAAATGAAAAAAAAAGTTTGTGCTAAAATCATTTGGATAATTTTTTTTGCCCATATCTTGTACTTTGAGTAACTATTTAGAGGAAAACATTTTGCAATGTGTTAACAATTGTTATTCTCCTACTATTTTGTTTTGAAATTTTATTTTACATTTTTTCCATAAAATAAAAAAAAATCTGAGATCTATTTCAAGAAAAAACGAATACATGCCTATATTTGTTTATCTGAGTAACCAATTTGAACATATCAATATGTAATACAGCCACCATTGTTAATTTCCTGTCACCTTGTCTGAAAATATGTATTGCTTGTATTATTTTTGTGTTATTTTGTAAATGTCTGGGTGTCTGTTAATATGTTTTCTTTCTTTTATCTTTAAAATTAAAAAGAAAAGAAGAAAAAATAAAGAAATAATCCTCCAGGGGCTGGGGATTTAGCTCAGCGGCAAAAGCGCCTGCCTGGCAAGCGCAAGGTCGTGAGTTCGGTTCCCGGTACCGGAGAAAAACCAAAAAAAAAAAAAAAAAAAAAGAAATAATCCTCCAGAATGGTTTTACCAGTAAACATTACCAAAAGTAGAGCATGAAAATCCAAGCTTGCCCACACTATTTTTGCCAATGTAAAATACTACTTTCTTGTTTTAATTTTCTTTTCTTCATTTTCAGAGAGGTTGAAGAATGTTTAAGGTTTTTATTGCATTTTATTGCAATTTTCTCTAGTCAAATGCCTGTTTACATCCTCTGTTCTGTTTGAAAGTTTTCTTTTAAGTTTTCTGCACTCTACTAATCAGTATTCTTTTGGCTACAAGTAGTGCAGAGATACACCCTGGCCCCCACCAGTCTGTCATTCATGGCCACCTGCTTTCTATGGAGGTTGCTTGGACCCACTTAGCTGGGGGAATCTTCAAGATAGTATCAGAGAAGAGACAGAAGTAAAAAGAGTTTTAATGTGTTTTTTTTTTTTTTTTCTTTACTTCTTTGCTAAGCATTCCCACATGGCATCTGCCTGGAACTTGGGTCTTTGCTAGACTACATCTTGCTGGGATGTGTTAACACTTAGCTTAAGCTAGGTCTCAGGTATATGAGCTATAGTCAAAGATTCTGAAATTCAAAGCTCTTCTCTAGACTTCTGGTATTGGCCTCGCTGAAACTCTGTGAAGGATTCAGTTCTGTAATGTTCTTTTCACATTTGAATGGCTTCCACTCACCAGAGGGTCTGAGTCCAGAGAGCTCGGGGTGCTGTCTTTGACTGTCCTATCCTCCGGAGGTGAGGCAATGCTATGAGGACCCACAGTGGGTGGGGGCAGGTGGTACAGCTTCGACTGGTCTTGTTGGGCTGATGGCCAGGGAAGAGTGTCCCGGACCCACTCCACTGGGTCCTCCCAAGCAGCTTTCTGTCCGTGGACCTAGAGAGAAGGAGAACATGTTAGAGGGTCTCTTCGAATTCCCACAGTAAACACAGTCTCTTAGAATTCCCACAATAAACATGCTCTCTGGAAACACACACTTCCTCAAGCATAAAGACTTGAGGCTCTGATCCTGTCAAATATTCCTGAGCTTCCTGACAAAGAAAAGAAGTTACACGAACTGGTAAAATCATTTTGGAGGATAATCTAACAGATTGTATTAAAACTTTAACATTTCTTCCTTTCTTCTTTCTTTCCTCCCTGCCTTCCTTTACTGCCTCCCTCCTCTCCTCTCCTTCTATCCCTTCCTCTCTTTGCTTTGTTTTTTGATATAAAGTACTGCTACATAGCTCGGGCTGGCCCTGAACTCTTTTGATCCTCCTGCCTCAGCCTGCCAAGTGCTGGGATTATGGGAGAGTGACACTGTGGCTAAATTTTTATCTCAATTTTTAAAAATTTACAAATAATGCATGTTGAGGTCACATACTTATTTTTCATTTTTTGGGGGTGAGAACACCCAAAAAAGTACATAATACATTGCTATTAACTAACTATACTTATCAAGGTGTACAATAGATTTCTTGAACTTATTGCTGTCTAACTGAAATTTTGTGTTTGTGATGGTTACTCTTCTTTTTTCCCCCTTTTGTTTTTCTTTTTGGTTTTTGAAACAGGCTTTCACTATGCAACCCAAGCTGGTCTCAAACTTGTTATGTAGCCTAGTTTAGCCTTGAACTCGTGATACTCCTGCTGTAGCTTCCTGAGTGCTGGGATTACAGGCACGCACAATCACTAGTCCATTAGTCTTCACTGTCAACATCGTTGGCTCGAGAGATGTCTAGGAGATTAATTAGTAAAGCACACTTGTGAGTGTGTCTGGGTGGGTTATGGGAGTGTGAATTTGGGAACTATATCTGGTTCCTGTCCCTGTCCTCTCTGGCTCTTTGCCTTGTTTGCTTCCTGAATTCTATGAGTTGAGTAGCTTTATTCTACCATCCCCTCTGGCCATGATGTTTCTGTCTTAGAGACAACTAACTGTGGACTGAAGCCTCTAAAATCATGAGTCAAATAAACATTTTCACCTTTAAGTTGTGTATGGAAGGCATTTTGTCCCAGCAACAGAAAGCTGATTAATACAGTATCCTTTGATCAACATCTCCCCATCCTTACCTCCCCAAACCTCCTCCTCTCTCTGGTTAGTTACCACCGTTCTCTTCTGCTTCTATACATTCGTTGTGATTTCACATATAAATGAGATTATGCATTACTTGAGTTTCTGGGCCAGGCTTATTTCACTTAACATAATGTCTCCCAGGTTCATTCATGTTCCAAAAGATTTCCTTTTTTGTTTGAAGGCTGAATGATATATGTCTGAGTATGTATTGCACATACATTATCCATTCTTTATCCACTCATTTGATGATCAACACACAGGTTGCATTAAAACTTAACATCACAGTTTTCTGTTGTTTTTGAGCCAGGGACTTGTTAAGTTGTCCAGGCTGGCCTCAAACTCACAATCCCTCTACTTTAGCCTCCCAAGGAGCTTGGAGTGCAGGTATGTGCCACCAAACTTGCTGCACAATCTTATCACCTCTTAATTTTACTTTCCAGGTAGGAAATTCTTCTATTTAATTGTAGTACTTAACATTTTTCACTTTCTTGAAAATATGTTATTTGTGTGAAAATGCTTTAAAATTAGAAACCTATTAATAACATAATATTTCCTTAAAATATCACAAATTTATAAATGAAATGATTCCTGGCATCACCCTAATAACACGCCTAGAAATTTACTATATCATCAGGATATACCTAGAGTAATAACAAATTACTTTTTTGGATAATATATGACCAAAAGGGGTCAGTTATTGCATCTAACTTTATTTGTGTGGAATGGATGTTAACAGTCATTGCACCCTAACTTACAGGTGAGAAAACTGGGGAGGCTTTGAAAAAATATCTAAATAGACAATAGACTTAACCAGACATTTCTCAAAAGAAGACATAAAAATGGCCAGTACGTATATGAGAAAATGCTCAATATTACTAATCATTAGTGACCAAAACAACGAGGTATCACCTTGCCCCACTAAGAATGGCTGCTACCCAAAACACTAAAGATCTGGGCTTGATGGCTCATGCCTGTAATCCTAGGGCTCAGGAGGCTGAGGCAAGAGGATCACCACAAGTTCGAGGCCAGCCTAGGCTACAGAGTAAGTTCAAGGCTGGGCTACACTACATAGTGAGACCCTGTCTCAAACAAAACAAAACAAAACAAAATAAAAACAGACTAACTATCACAACTACAGTACTAATGAGGATGTAGAGAAAAGAAAACACTTGCACCCAGTTGGTGTAAATGTAAATTAATATAGCTGTTGTGAAAAGCAATATGAAGATTCCTCAAAAAATAAAAAATAGAACATTATGTGGCCCAGAAATTCCTCTACTGGGTATATAGCCAAAGGAAATGAAATCCATATGTTGAAGAGTCATCCACATTCCCATATTTATTGTACACAATTCACAACAGACAAGATATGGAATCAACCTCCATCGACTGAAGAATCAATAAAAAATGTGGTACATATTCAAACTGAACTACTCAGCCATAAAGGTGTGAAACCCTGTTATTGGTGATAACATGAACAGAACTGGAGTGATAGTTATGTGAAATTAAATAAACCAGACACAGAAAGACAAATATTACATGATCTCACTCATGTGTGGAAGAAGAAATGTTAATCTCAAAGAAGTTGAGTGGAATGAGGCCAGGTGAAGTGGTGTGTGCCTATAATTCCAGCACTTGGAAGGTTGAGGTAGGAAGACTGCAAGTTTGATGCCACCCTAGGCTGTATAGTGAGTTCAGGGTCAGCATGGAATACATAGTAAAACTCTTGTCTCAAAAAAACAAGGGAGAGGGAAAAAAAAGTAGAGTACTGTAGAATGGTAGATACCAGAGGCCGTCTACCTAAAGAGTTAGGGAGCTGGGCGTGGTGGTGCACCCCTGTAATCCCAGCACTCTAGAGGCTGAGGCAAGAGGATTACTGTGAGTTCAAGGCCAGCCTGAACTGCATAGCGAAACTCTGTCTCAAAAAGACAAAAACTAACCAAATAAACAAAATTAGTAATAATAAGAATAAATAATGACAACCTCTTACACAATTTTTTTGCTTTTTTTCAGTAGTACTGGGGATTGAACTGTGTGCTAGGCAAGTATTCCATTACTGTGATTTTTCTTTTTCCTCAACTCCTTTTTAAAAATTAAAATTGAGACAGGGTCTTGCTAAATTGCGCAGGCTGGGCTTGAATTTGTGATCCTCCTGCCTCAGCCTCCCGAGTAGCTGGGATTATAGGCATGTTCCATCAATACTGGCTTACGAAGTATTTTAACTTAAACATTTTTTTCTTACATATTTCATTTTGTCTTCAAAATAATCCTGTGATTTAGGGAGAGCAGAATTTATCTCCTTTTTTACATATGAAGACGTTGAAAAAGATTAAGTAACCAGTCAACATAAACTATTGATTTGTAGTCAGCAAGTAGCTAAGGTTATAAAAAGGTCTTGCTTAATTTGTAGCTCAATTGTTTTTCTGCTGTTTGCTCTGACCACCCTCTCCCCAGTGGTCTATACTGGCTCAGAGCCAGAAGGCCTAGACCGCAGCAGAGAGAGTAGCTGTTGGGCCACTTGCTGGAAGGAAAGCAGCTCATTCTACCCAGTTCCTGGCCCTAACTTTTGGAATGAGAGCCTAACCGACCCCAGTAATGCCATGCCTGACAGGAAAGAAATGCTGCTGTTCTATTAGGAAGGCCAGCCTGACCTTGGAGTTTGAGTGCAGTCAGAGGGCGAGGCTCACCTTGATCCCATCCTTGGCTCCTTCCTGTAGGTAGGGAATGATGGAGTTGTTCCACAGGTCGATGAACCAGGTCCGGAAGTCTTCAATGCCAATTGGACAGGACAGAAAGAAGCAAGGGCCTAGGAAAAGGACGGGGCTCTGGAGATGACTGAGAAAACCAGCTCTCCCCAGGCTCTGGCCTCTCTCTTTCACTCCTGAGTACCAGGCAGAGGGCTCTGACATCCAAAGCGTTAAAGGAAATTTAGAGTCCTCGAGGCCAGGGGATGCTGATGGTCTGGCTGACAGTCTCAGAAATTATGCACAACACGGTGCAAGTGAGACAAGGAAGTAAGGGAAGCTTCCTGATTCCCTCCTACAGATTTTCTCTCCTTTGTTCCATTAATTCTAAGGAGGGGTAGCTTTCACATGCTGGGCAAGTGCTCCACCATTTTTATTTTTTAAACATAGGGTATAAATATGCTGCCCAGGTTGGTCTCAAGGAATTCTCCCACCTCGGCCTTCCAGGTGGCTTGGACTACAAGTGTGTGCTACCACCAGGCTTGGGGTTACTTTTGGAAGGTTGAAGTGATTGAGCCAATTCACAGTACTAACTGAACTGTAAAGTGCTAGCTGAATTATGACTTCAGTGGTTTTAAGTAAGACCGCCACAAGACTTGCAACTCCTTTCCAGGCTGAAGACTGTGGAAAGCAAAGGAAGTACCCTGCCAGGTGGTGAGGTACAAGAGGGAAGCTGCCTCCTGCCCCCGCCCCCAGGGAAGCTGGACTCCAGTACCGATGAGGAAGTCTGAGGTGCTGTGCTTCTCAAGAAAGGTGTGCAGGTGATACCACAGCTTGGGCACCCAGTCCAGCACCCGAAGCAGCTCTTCCTTGTTGGCATTGACGTCACTGTCTGACTCTACCAACTTCCTTCGCAGGTAACGCACCAGGAAGCCGTTGGCTGGCTCCACGTTGTTGGAGAAGGTCAGCATCCTGCCGCCAGGGATGGGGAGAGATGGGTTACAGTGGCCATGGGAACACTGTCAGGGGTCATTCACTGCCATTCCACCCCTTCTGCTTGCCTCCCACTTATGCCCACTTGTTTCTTCTCAACTATTAGTGGTGACAATTGAATTCAGGCCAGTAGCTCTGACAGGCAGAGTGGGTTCTCAAATTAGTGACACACTTCAAATAATCACCTGGGGGCTGGGGATTTAGCTCAGAGGCACAGCGCCTGCCTGGCAAGCGCATGGTAGTGAGTTCGATTCCCAGTACCGGAAAGAAAAACCAACCCCCCCCCACCAAAAAAAATCAAATAATCACCTGACTTCACTGACTTCAGTAATCGTGGACAGGCAGAGAATCCCATTTACAGCAGCCTTCCAGAGTCCTAATAGCTCCCTAGTTCTGCAGTCCCTTCCCCTCCCCTCTCCTCTCCTCAAGCACCTCTTCCCACCTTGTAACTGACATGCAAGTGTGTCTATTTTCTCTTCTCGGCCTGAAAGGCTCTGGCTACTCCTCTTTCTTTCTGCTGCTTGTTGCTCTTCTGCTCTCAAAGCCCAGGATTTAACTGTTTATAGACTCTTGGGTAGGGCCAGAAGGCTCATCCAGGGTCATAGTTCTTACCTGAAACTCAAGTGCAAGCCATGGTTGGGTGTCATTTTTACAGGCTGATTGGTGGTACCTATAATGTAGGGACTGTGGGAAGGGAAAAAAGATTCATTTAGATTTGTCTTAGCCCTTGCTTTCTGCCACTTGCCTTCTCTGCCATTTGGTCTGGACTGAGTTCTTCCTCTATCTAAACTGTGATACGTTTGGTCCCAACCCCAGCTTACCATTTGTGATACTTGCAAGTGAGGGCCCCATTGACCAGCTCACTGATGGAGCCTGCTTCACTCAGATCATCCAGTAAAATCACCAAGGGCACATCCCCAATCCCTGTTTCCCGGTCTATCTGGTTGGCCAGGTTCGAGAGGTACAGTTGTAGATCCTGGAATAAAAGACAGGGTGTTAGCACTCAGGAATCAACACCTACAGCAGCCTCAGAGAAAGGACTTTTGGAGACGCTTTGCTAGCTCTGGATTTCCCTGGGGCCTTTGCTTCCTGTTTGCTACCCTCACATATTTGCTCACAGAGACAATTACCAGACTGATAAACTGGTCCCAGAGGTACTCAAGCACCCTTGTTAAGCAGCGGTCGCTCAGTCCTCCAGAGGTGGGAATACATGCTGTTCTTTATAAATCGTTTTTCACTGAGCTGGTAGCACAAGCTACTATTAATGGATGTGCCTCCCGCAGCTGAGGAGAGCCAAGATTTGAACCAATTCCATAGTATTAGAGTATGCTCAATAGACACCATGAGGCACAGGGACAGGGCTCCAATGCAACATTTAATTCTGAGTGCTTCCTCCCCAAGAGCCCAAGGCCAGAGAGTAATACTGAAAAGAAAGGAAGAAAACAGAGAAGGAGTGGGATTGACAGTGTCAGCAGAGTGAGGTGCAAACAAGGAGGATGCAGTTTCTTCATTGATCAATTAAAGGGAAAGTAGCTTAACCGGGGTAAGAGAAAGTGCAGAGAAAGAAGTTACAGGGGGAAGAAGAGGGTAAAGGGCCAAAATCTGGAAAGAAATTGGGGGTAGAGGAAGGAAAAGACTAGAAATAGGGATGGAGAGGGGTAGGAAAAGATAATTGAAGAAGGGGAAAAGGTTAAGGTGAGGGTGAGGAAAAAGGAGAGGAGAGGGCAGTAAGGGATCCGGGCTAGGGCTCAAGTGAGGCTGAGGCCTAAACAAAGACTGGTGTGTGTATGTGTGGGGGGTCGCAGGAGGCCCCCACCTTGCAAGATTGCTGGTGCATGTTGAAGGTGCTGACGATGCCTTCAGTGACCTCACGGCCTGAGCGCTCCACCAAGTATTCAGCCAGTCGATTGGTCAGGTAGGTCTTGCCTGTACCACTGGGGCCCGAGAGCACAAGACGACGGTGCTTGAGCAGGAGACTGATGTAGTGCTGCATCATTGGCTTGGGGATCAGCGTCTCGAACACCAGGCTGTCCACACATTTCTCCTTCAGACCTGAACCCAGCCCCAGAAAGCATGAGTCTTGGCCATCACCATCAAGATGGTGAGTGACCTCAAAGAGCTTTTCTTTAGCTGAAGCTCACTGAAGAAACCCAGAGCCCCTTGCCCCACAGTTCCAAGGGAATTTCCTTCTTCCCAGTTTTGAAAATGTGGATCTCATTTTTAGAGATATACTCAGAACTAGAGGTAAACGGACAGAGAAACCCATGCTTAAGAAAAATATTCCTGGGAACAAAAGTCAGGACCGGGTTTGTCTTGCTCATCTATTTATATCTCATGCTACTTAAACACCTTCATATCATAGCTTCCCAAGAAGTTTCTGTTGAATGGATGCATGCTGCTGTACTTTTTTTGATGATGTTCTCCCTCTGCTTGTGCCATCCCACCTCACTCCAAGAGACAAAGTTTGTTATAGTTTTTAACTAGATATACCCTTTTTTTTGTACTAGGAATTGAACTCAGGAACTTTGAGCTTGCCAGGCAGGTGCTGTGCAGTTGAGCTATATCCGTGGCCTAGATGTACCCTTAAAACCTCATTTGATTGGAGGCAGGACCTTTGGGAGGTGATTGGATTATTCGGGCATTATAACTGACTTGCTGGTAGGAGGTAGGGCCTGGTTGGAAGATGTCACTGTGGGCTTGACCTAGAAGTTTATATCTCCCTTCTTTGGTCCTTCCATGACTGTCTCTGCTTCCTGGCTGCCAAACCATGAAGGTACTTTTGCCATGCCATGTCCCTTTGCCATGTCATCCTTCCTAGGAGTTAGTGGACTCCATGACCTGAAACATGAACCAAAATAAACCTCTCCTTCCTAAAGATGTGGGCTAAGTACTTTGTCCCAGCAATAAAGGAAGTAACTAAGACAGATTTTAGTACTAGGAGTGGGGATGTTGCTGTGATGCTACCTGACCATGTGGTTCAGCAGCCTTTGGAACTGGTTCACTGAAGAAATCTATAAAGGTTGGAGATGCTGGCTTGTGAAGCAGCCCAGAATGTTGTAAGTCAAGCTTGATGGGAGATTCTGGTCAGAGCACAGAAGACCAGAATGGTGACAGAAATGCAGTTGGTGAAGACCAGGCTTAGAAGGTATCTATTGGGAACAAGGATTTCATTGGCAGATGGATTCCAGGCCATATGTGTTATGCTTTGGCAGAAATTTGTCTACATTTTTCTCATGTGAGACTTTGTGAGAGACTGCAATTAAGGGTGGTGGGCTAATCTGGTAGAGGAAATTTCAAGGCAGTCCAATGTTGAGGGTGTGGCATGGATGCCGGTTGCTGCTTTTAGCCAGGCTTATACATTATGAACAAAAAGCCCTTTTGAACAGTTTTCAGACAATGTAAAAATGGCTGAAAAGCATGTGAGGAATTAGCAAGGTTCCACCCTTTACAGCCTCAGAACTGAAAAGTGAAATAATTTGCTTTGAGAGGCCAACTCCAAGGCACCTTGCTTGAGAAAGACCACCTGGAGAATTTGTTTCCCAGGATTCAGTTCATAGCTCTTAGCCATCCAGGCTCTCAGAGACTTCTACAGTGGTGACATAAAGAAGTCCGGCTACTACTTGAGCTGGCAGCAGACTAGTGTCATCTATGTGGTGTGGGTTTTACAGGTATGCAGAGTGTAATCAGGGAGGCTTCCACCAGATTTCACAAAAAGGTTGGGGAGGCTAGGTAGTTCGAGGGTAGTACATAAAGAGGGTAGTACATAAAGCTGTAATTTGAGAAGCCAAAAATGTGAAATATCTGAGGAAAGCTAGAAGGAATGAGCAAAGCCAGCCTGAGAGAAGCCATGAGAGCTACGACCACTGGCAATGCCATAGGGGTGTAGCTGCCCTAGCCCTTTGGAGATCAGGTGTTACCACACCTTGCTCTGGATGTTGAACATGGAATTATAGGATTTGATGTTTGCCCTACTGGGTTTCTGTCTTGCCTTCATCCAGTTTCTTTCTATCCTCCTGTTCCTCCCTTTTCAAATGGGAATGTTTACCTCATACCATTGTATAACTCACTTTCGATTTTTATAAGGGCTCACAGCTAAGAGTCTGCCTTGTGTCTCCAAGGAGACTCTGGATTTGGACTTTTCAGCAATGTTGGACCTGTGAGGACTCTGGCAACTTGCGGAAATGGACTAAATGCATTTTGCATAAAGAGATGCACATGAATCTTTTGGTGGTCAAAGACGGAATGTTATGGCTTATGTCTAGATGTAACCCTAAAGCCGCAGGTGTTCATAGGGAGGTGCTTTGATTATAGGAGGCATTATAACTGACTTGCTGTTAGAAGGTAAGAGTCTGCTCAGAAGACCTAGAGGACCTGGGCCAAACCTGAAAGTTTATATCTCCCTTCCTGGGTCCTCCTTTGGCTGCCAAACTATGAAGGTGCTTTTCCTCTGCCATGCACCCCTGCTATGCCATCCTTCCTGGGAGCCAGTGGACTCCATGAACTGAAACATGAGCCAAAATAATCCTCTCTTTCCTTAAGTTGTGGGTATCAGGTATTTTGTTCCAGCAACATAGGAAGTAACTAAGACACTGACCTTTGAGGGAGACTGATATGTTATTGACCCCTCGACGGCATGGAGGCATCTCTGGGGGTTCAGCATCCAACACTCGTTTCACATGGCTGAGGCTGTAGCCATGGATGGACTCAGTGCTTAGACCCAGGGTGGAGGCTGGATCCATTTTGGATATGTAGTCCTGATAGAAGAGATGCAGTGAACAAGAAGGTGAGACACATTGCTAAGATACAAATACAGGTGGAAATGCCTCAAGAATGAATAACTATCAGAGGAAACAAAAGTAAGTGGGGAAAGACAAGGGTGTATATTTTGCCTATGAACAAAGCGTCAAGGTGTCCAAGATTCTCACTGCATAGAGAGCTCAAATATCCCATGAGAGGTGAGTACATGTATCCCTTTACCTTGAACACTTGGAAAACAGCTTCATCCAGCATCTTCCAGTCAACTTTTCCACTGACCTTGCTACATCCCAGGAAGAATTCCTGCTGCTTCAAGTCCTGAAAGGTTAAGGTAGAAGCATGTGAGCCTTAGTGCAGATGATTCCAAGGAAAGAAAGCTCTAGAAGGCCTTGGGAGTTAAAGATGGCAGTTTGGGAAGTATTCAGAGTCCAGCATAAATATGACCAGACAGATACTTCTTGATTTACAGTGGCATTTCATCCAGATAAACCCATCATAAGTTGAAAATATCATTGAGTCAAAAATGCATTTAACATCCCTAACCTTCTGAACATCATAGTGTAACAATATAGTTCCCTGTAGAATATTGGTTATCTACCCTTGGAATTGGCTGACGGGGAGCTCACTCTCATGAACCAGTATCTTGAGGAAGCTTCATACCACATGTTGTCAGCCCAAGAAAAGATCATAATTTAAAATCTAAAGCACAGTTTCTGTTGAACCATTTTTTTTGCACCATTGTCAAGTTGGGGAGCATCTGTGTTTATGTTGATTCCTGTCCTGGCTCTCCCCAGAGTTCCTTACCCCTTTGATAATATGCTGAGGGGGCATCCGTACCACCACCCGAAGGGATACTTCCTCCTTTGGACCGCAGGTGCTGATGCCATCCATGGGTGATAGGTCTGTGGGGATTGAAAAAGACTAAATTGTTTTAAGGGTACCCACAGATTTTCTTAAAATTTCCAGTCATTTCTTTTCCAAATAACTATTTATCACAAATAGGAAATGGGAGCCCCAAACTGAAAAGATATTAGGGTTTAAAAACCACATGAAGCTGGGTTAGTGCTGCATGCCTGAAATCCAAACACTCTGGGAGGCTGAGGCAGGAGGCAAGTTTAAGCCCAGCCAAGGCAACTCAGTAAGACACTGTCTCAAAACAAAAAGTTGGGGATATAGTTCAGTGCAAAGGCCCAAGGTTCAATCCCCAGTACTGCTAATAACTCTGACCATCTCTTGACACTGGCATTGCTTTATTTGGCTCTGTTACCTCTCAAGGAAGAAGGCACAGCACAAGTGGAATAGCAAGCAGTGAAACAGACCTTTCCTTGTCTCTACACTTAAGATGCCCTTCTCCCAAACAGGTACCTGTGTCTGTGAGGCTTGGGCTGAAGGAATGGGTAAGTGCAAGGCCGAGGGACCGGCGAGGGGATGACAGAGCAGAGGATCCAGGGACCTGCCCTGGAGTGGAGCCTGAGGAGGGGCCAGGGGCGACCTTTAGCCGGTCATTCTCTGCTTTCAGCAGGTCCACCTCCAGCTGTGGCAAGAACAGATAGGGAAGGGTGGCAAGGTTGGACACATCTCAGGCCTTGGGCTCCCCTCCGCTGTAGCTCTGCTCAGTGCAAACCTGCATGTTGTGCATGGTCTCCCTAAGCTGGTCCAGTTGGTGGGCAGAGTTGAGAGCCTCCAAGCGGATGTCTGTAAGCTTCATCTCTTTTTCCCACAGCTCAGAGCGCAACTCTGATACCTCCTTCTTCTCCGGCTCCTCCTCCTCATTGGCGTGGAAGAGCCTTGTGGGGGGAGCTGAGTGAGCAGGTGCCCTGTAAGAAAATAAGGGTCAGGGCTAGGGATATAGCTCAGTGGCACAGAGCCTGCCTGGCAAATGCAATGTCCTGAGTTTGATTCCCGGTACAAAAAAAAAAAAGAAAAAAAAGAAAGAAAAAACAAGGGTCAGCCAGACTCCTAGAGAAATATTACCATTGGAGATACTGACATGTGTCATGGGCAGTCTCAGCTTCTCCTGCCCACAGACACACAATCGGTATGACAAGGTCCCCTGTGGGTTTCATATGGCCAGGAAGAGGCCAGCAATGCACACTGGTACTAGGCTGGTGGCACGTAGTTGGAGCACTTACTCAGGGACATCAGTGCCCACAGATGACGAGTTGGAGGACTTGATGGAGGGTGAGGCAGTCTCTGTGGAGCCATGCTGCAGTTTAGGGGAGGAGGGGGCTGAGGAGTCAGGTGTGGCAATCTCCTCGATATCAGAGTATGAGGAAGCTGACTTGGGTCCCTTTTTTATACTGAAGGCTTTGTTGAAGGAACTTCGAAGCTAGAAAAGAACAGATTCAGGTAGACAGATGTCAGGGATCCATTCTGGAGACGGGGGAGGACCGATGTGGGACTTCTAGGACAAGGTGATATGGAGGCAGGGGATGTCTTTGTTGTAATTAAGCCTGCTATATGAGGCTTCACATGGTTCATAGCACATGGACAGAAGAGTTGCTCAGAAATAAGGACTGAAAAAAAGAATGAGATCTTTTGGCTTGCTGCCTTTGTAGGCTGGGGGAATTTCTTAGGTCTTTTCTTTTCCATTGGGTAGGAAGACAGAGAGAAGTCCCCAGAGGTCACATGGCATACCTCTTAAGAATTTAATCCCACCTCCAGCAGACCAATGACCGCTCAGTCTAGAACTTAGTTCACTTTAGGTCTCAGGATGGGACTTGGGCTCATCAGCCTAGAATCTATTCATTGCTTCACAGATCAACTAGACACTGACAATACCATTCTGTGGAGATCAAGAGAAGGTGGTGGTATCAAGTTTCATTTAGTATTCTTCTGCCTATCACACCACAGAGTAGTTTAGAAAATCAGACATTAGCACTTTTTTTTTTGTCTTTTTGAGACAGAGTTTCACTATGCAGTTCAGGCTGGCCTTAGACTGTTCCAGTGATACTTCTGCCTCAGTCCAACGAGTGCGGGGATTATAGGCATGCGCCACCACATCTGGCCTTAAGCACTTTTTACTGTTTCAAATATCCTAGAACAAGTGCTATTTTGCAACACTTCCACAGGCTACTTAGGGCATTATAACTGACCACAGCTTGTTTATCTTGGTGTTGATGAGCATGAGTGTTAGGGATGTGAGCTGCAAGTGCAAACCAGGGTGTGTCCCACACGCCCTCACATGCATCCGTTCAGCATGCACACACACACAAGGGACGCCATGGAACAGTAGCAAGAGACAGAGCAAAGGAGGGGTGGGAGCTATGGGGGACAAAGAAAAGCCAGACCTTGGGACAGAGAAAAAAGAAGAGAAAATTGGAGGATATCCTTTCTCAGAATTTCTCCTGGAGCATGGAAGATTGTTATGCGATGGATGGACCTGGCAGGTGGTGTGTATGTAGTTTGTATTGGGCAAGGTATAAAGGAGGACCAATCTGGCTGTGTGAGGATATGAGGGGACAGTGTGTGCAGCTGATTGCTTTCAGGGACTTAAGATCATTCAGCACACAGGGCTCAAATGAACCATAAAGCTTAGTTCTCTGTAGACATGAAGAACTAAGGCTGAAAAGGGGGTTGACTCGCTTGGTACTGTATAGCTGAAGGAGACCTAGGACTGGGATTTGGGCCTCCTAATTTTTAATCCAGTGAAGCTTTCTCTGCACCATTGCCTCATGGAAAGGTTGTGTGTGTGTGTGTGTGTGTGTGTGTGTGTGTGTGTGTGTTTGTGTCCGTGTCCCTGCATATGCAGAAAAGAAATCCTGTGACCACAAGTTGTTTGGAGCAAAAGCTCTCTGAGGTCATTAAGATTCTAAGTGAAAATCATACTCTGTGTATAGCTTAGTATTCCACAGGCCAGAGCCACTGGGAGAAGTCTGGTGTTGTGTGGCTAATGGACCCATGGTTAAATGAATTCAGAAAATAATAGAGTAAGCAATACAAAACAGAATTCTTTACTGAGAGGCATCTCGGAACTTTTCCTGTGCAGATATACACTGTAGAAAATGCAGTGTTTCTCAAATTTATTTGAGGATGGTAGCACTTCTAAGGTGCACCTCAGTGGGTTAGTGATTTGTGGAACCTACTGTAAGAAATGCTAAAAATTCTGGTTTAAATGACCAGCAGGCCCTCCCATCTGTGCTGTACCCTACCCAGATAGGGCACTGGCTACACTGATCATTTCCTAGCTAGCACCACTGTTCTCTTCTGAGCAGACAGAGTCCATGCAGAAAGCATCTCAACACGTTCCTCACTGCTCAGCACAACCCAACTTTAGTGTATGTTTTACCTCCTTTGTGATGTTTTCCTACTCCAAAACCACAGTCTTTCTCACCTGTAAATTGCTTTAGCAATTAAACCTTTTAAGTAAGCATTTTACACAACTGGAATGTCACTTACTTTATATACACAATTTTTTTGTCTTCCCAGCAAAGCTATGGGCTCCTTAATAATTGAGATAGTAGAGTCAGTGTTTCTTATCCTTCATGACACCTAGTACAACAGTGGGTTAGGGTTACAGTGAACCTTAGGTATCTTTTTGTAACGGAAATTCCAGGTACACTTTCCGTTTGTCTTAAACTATTCTTTGGCAACTCCATGGATGCTTAAAAGGGTATTAAGCTTTGGGATGACTTAATTGTGCCCTAGACTGGACCAAATTCCTCATCCTGGTTGTTCTACTTCACAGTTATATCTTCAGACTGACTTCAACTGAACTGGCCTATGGAAATTGTGCTCAAGATAACCTTCACCCGGTGATTCTCCTCCGGGGCTTAATGGAACAGAAATTAAAAGGATCATTTTCTGGATAGGATTAGCTCAACCTGATTGCTTTTTTTCATAGGCCAATTTTGCAACAAGGGAAGACAGTAGGGAACAGATTTGGATTTTGTTTGACTTTCCCATTCGACCCACAACCAGACCACTCCTCTGTCTCCTGTGGGTAGCTGTGGATGGGCCATGCAGTGGAGTTAGGAACACTCAGGTGGCTGTTACAGTTAGTGCTATGGGTGGGTGTTCTTTTTTAGGAGAAAGGAGTTGCTCTGAAAATAGGGAAGGTATGGCAAAGGGAAATTAAAAATAAGGGGAGAGGAACTGGCTCTCTTACCTCATACACCTGGAAAAAAATAGGGATTTGAAGTCAGCATTTTGAAGGAAAAAAAAAAGAAGAAGAAGAAGCAACACTTAATCACTCATTGCACACGGCTACCTCCTATCTGCATTACACAAAGTTTGTGGGGACCGTCTTCCTGACTAGGGGATAGAGCAGCAAGATGCTCCTACCTGGGGACAATCTCCCTTCCACAGTCAGCCAAGATTGCTGAGACCATTCATGAATTTCAGAAAGGTCATCCAAGGCCAGTTTAGGATTACTGGGGAGGCATAAAAAACTGCTCATGGCTCAGCCAAAGATGATAATAAGAGTCCTTTTGAAGCTCCACAAACACTCTCCCAAACTGAAGAAGTTACCTCCAGGGGCATCTAGAATGAATGGCTTTGTTTATAAAATCTTTTTTCCATAATAAAGAAGGAAGTAGGGAGTGGGGGAAGGAACTGGCAAGTAATAACTTTCTGAGTATTTTCTCTATTTCCATCTGTGGCCATACACTTGGCCTCCTCAATAAGGAAAGCCCCGGAGAGCAGGGGTGTTTAAGGTTGCAGGAAGAGCCTTGTGACAAGGCGGGAACTGCCCTGAGCAGACAGAAAATAGTCTTAGGACTAGAAGGGACCGCTGCTTGGTTAACCCTGGGAGGATCCCGCCCGAGGCTGAGGTGGAGGTGTCCGCACTGGTCTATGTGGTTTCAGCCCCCAAACCTTTACCCACCCAACTCTTTTTCTTCTTCTTTTTGGCTTCAGCATCCTTGCTGCTGCCGATGCTGGAATGGCTGGTGATGCTGTTGAGGCTTGAGATGCTATCTGAGGAGTTCTGTCTCTTGATCCGGAGCTCTGGGGCCAAGACAAGGGGGTAAGAACATAAAATTTAGAGACAACATGAGATTCAAGGCAGTTCTAGCTATGGGAGAGAAAAGGGGAACGGAATCAACTGATTCCTAGGTACACGTTATTTGTTTTTTGAAACATTCACTCAGAAAACATTTGTAGAGTGCCAAAAACATTTCAACACTGAAACAATGCTAATGGTAAACATTAAGAAAGGATTCTTGTTCTCAAGAAGCTCCCAGGCTAGGAGAAACAGAAGTGTCATTAAGTGATAAATTCCGCCGGAACACGTCTGAGGACTTAACCAGAGTGGGCCCTCTACACTTTTGTGCAGGCATCACCCTCACATTTTTAATGATTTCTCCAGCAATACTTGGCTGCCTGTGGCCCAACGACAAGCACAAGTAGCCACGTGCCCTGCACTTAACCTGAATGGGCTTCATTCAGTTTTTTCATCTGATGGCTAGAAAATCTCAGCACTCTGAGAAGTCTGCAGTGGCATCAAGGTGATCCGCCTTTCTATAGCAGGGAAGGAAAGGGTCAACAAGAGAGGAGGTGTTAGAGTATAGAGAGAAGAGAAGGACATCGGATGGGGATACTGGATAAACATTCGAGGCGGAAGGAAAAGTACATGCAAAGGCACTGTGCAAGGCCTAACTGTGCTGTGCAGGACTTTGGGCATTCAGGAGCAGAAGCAGCCAGGGCACCTTCCAGAGCACAAGAAGAGGCAAACGTGGAGGTGTTGGGTCAGGAGAGGTCAGGGGAGCCCTGCGTGCCTTCTAAAGAAAACATGCCTTTGTGCCCTCGACTTGGTCACGGCAGCAGAGAGTCTGTGACAAGAGCATAGTGTTATTGGATTTTTAAAAGTCTTTTATTTGAGAATCATTACAGATTCATGAAAAGCTACGAAGATGTCCATGTGCCTTTCACCCAGTCTCACCCAAAGAAAGTTAACATCTTGCATAACTACCGTGTAATGTCACAAAACCTTTTAAAAAATTGTTAGTAATGAGCAAAAATGAAGAAGCAAGAAACTAGACCAGATATAGAAGACCAGTTAGGTGGCTGTTTGTAACTGTTCTATAAACAAGAGCTATTAAATCAGAGTATATTATTTGTATTTAGCTATTTCTTACTCTCTCCATTCAAAAAATAATTTTTTTTTTTGAGACACGGTTTTTTGTTTGTTTGTTTTTTTGTTTTAACTGTTCAAAACCTGGCTTTGAACTACGTAGCCAAGGCTGGCCTCAAACTCACAGTGATCCTCCTGCCTCAGCCTCCTGAGTATTAGGATTAGGGCTGTGCACCACCATGTCTGGCTCCAAAAATAGATCTTTAAACTACCATTTTTCCTCAATACTGCAAAGATAATGTGTCTTAGAATCCTGCCTTAGAACCTGTTGAAACTAATAGAGCTTTTAAACCAGAAAATCCGTTGTTTAATGATAATCAAACCAAGCTTATGGTACTAGAGTACTTTGGTTATTTTAGAAGGTGTGGAAAATTCTCAAGAAAATATACTGAGTTCAAGAAAATAAATAGTCATTTGTAAAAAAAAAATGGACTTATATTTGTTTGTATCTAGAAAGATGCATAAGAATTCTTAGCAGTACTTACCTGTGGGAAGTGGGATTTAAGACATAGTTCTGAGAGAGTGACTTTGTATTTTACCACATATCCTCTTTGGTAGTTTACTTCTATGGCCGACAAACTTTTATTGTAAAGGATCAAAGAGTAATTATTTCAGGCTTTATGGCCATAACATCTGTCTCAGTTAGTTAGCTTTGCTGTTGTAACATTAAAGCAGCCACATACAGTATGTGTGTAATGACCATGGCTGTATGTCACTAACATTTTATTTAAAAACTAGTGGTGAAACCAAGTGTGGTAGCACATGCTTGTAATCCTAGCACTCCGGGAAGCTGAGGCAGGAGGATCACAAGTTAGAGTCCAGCCTGAGCAACTTGGCAATTTAGTGAGACACTGTTGCAAAATAAAAAATGAAAAGAGCAGGGAATATAGCTCAGCACAAAGGTCCTGGGTTCAAGGTCCAATAACACACACACACCAAGTCAGATATGAATAATGGGCCATGATTTGCAGATCCATAGTTTATATTTGCCCCCAGAATATGTATTGCTTTTATGATAAAAAATCAATTTAATTGAATTTAGTAAATTAAAAACAAAATGAAGGATGGCTATAGGAGCAAGTACTTATCTATAACTTGGAGGTTTCAATTAGTTATGAGCCTATCAATTAAATAAGAATACTGTAATCCCAGTACTCTGGGAGCCTGAGATAGCAAGACTTCAAGTTTGAACCCAGCCTGGGCAACTTAGCAACTTAGAATCTACCTCAAAATAAAAAATGGAAATAAACCACCCTTGGGATGCAACTCAGTGCAAAGGCTCAAGTACAAGCCCCAGCAGCACAAAATAAATAAATAAGCAAACCTGCATAAAGTGTTTTTGAGAGCAAAAGATACGTTATAGAATTACTAATACTCAAAGAGTTAGAAAATCTTTTGTGCATTCTGACTTTTGTGCCATGTAAATTTCTTACCTGTTTACAAATAATAATAAAGTTAGGTATCATGGCCTCTTCCTGATCAAACTGAGCCTGGATCAACAAGAACTGAGGACAACATAAAAGCTCACAGGAAAAGAAAAGATTCATTCATTTAGCAAACATATATATATCTGAAGAGTAAAGTGTACTTGTGAAATTAGAAGTAGTGGAATAGTCCAGATCCATCATTTATGAGCGTGTTTCATTCAGTAAATAATTTTCTCTGATCTTAGTTTCTTCACTGATAAAATATACTTCATGGGTTTTTATCTGGAATAAGTGAATTAATATATGGAAAATGCTTCGAGAAGTGCCTAGCATATGGCAAGTGCTCAATTCCCATAGGTGGTGCTAACATAGGTGGGATAGAGCATACAAGAGAAGGGACGGGAGGTAAGGCTAGAAAGGCCTGGCTAGTCCAGGGGGAGAATGGAGTACACGCTAACGGGCTTGCAATGCATTCTTTCCCTGCTTAGCTCGCTTTCCTGAAATGTTTCAAATACACAGAAAAACTTAAAGCATAGTACAGCGAACACTCCTGTGCCCTCTACCTAACTGAAAATTTAAAGTATTTTATTATATTTGTTTTCTTTCCCGACCCCAAACACTTTCTCAAACAATTTGAAAATATGTTGCAGACAACATGACATTTTACCACTCCAGGATGCATCTTCTAAGTAGGAGGACAACCTCTCACAATATCATTATCTTTGTCACACACACACACACACACACACACACAGAGCAATATCTTTTTGCCTAATAGCTAATTCATATTAAAATTGGAATGCACTCTGATCTTAACTGATCTAAGTGAATTGCTTTGGAGGAGTGTAAAGGAAACCCTGGAGCAAGGCAAGACCACTTAGGACTGCACTAATCCAGAAGACAGAAGGAATGTAGTTGAGATGTGGAGGAGAATGAGAACTAACTTACTGTACAGGATGGAACAGCGAGGAATCAAGGATAACCCCTATTCATGGCCTAGGTGACCCGGCAGGTGATAATACCTGAGATGAACAAGCCCGCAGAAGGGAAAAGGTTGGCTTGAGTACTTGTAAATGGGGTAGAGAGGATGACTTTCAACTTTGGAAATGCAAAGTTAAGAGATACCTATGGCGGGGCGTGGTGGTGCACGCCTGTAATCCCAGCACTTGGGAGGCTGAGGCAGGAGGAATGTTGTGAGTTCAAGACCAGCCTGGGCTACAAAGTGAACTCAAGGCCAGCCTGAACTGTATAGCAAGACCCTGTCTCGCAAACACCAAAAAAAAAAAAAAAAAAAAAAAAAAAGATACCTATGAAGTCAACTAAGTGGAAATGTCCACAAGTGCACAAGTGTATAGAGGAACTTAGGAGTCTGACCTGGACAGAAAAACAGATTAGGCAGACGTTATAAAACTACTGAGTTAAATGAGGCCAGCAAGTTTGTAGGATACAAGATCAATAAATGAACAAAAATCAAGGGCATTTGATTTTCTTGGTGGCACTGGGGACTGAACTCAGGGTTTGCACACACTAGGCAAGCACCCTAACACTGAGCTGCATCCCAAGCCCTTTGTATTTTTTCAGACAGGGTCTCACTGAGTTGCCCGGACTGGACTCAAATTTGCCATCCTCCTGCCTCAGCCTCCCAGTAGCTGGAATTATAGGTGTATGTCACAATCCTTGGCTTGTATTTCTATACACTAGTAATGAATAATTTAAAAGGGAAATTAAGGAAATAATTCTACTTATACTAGTATAAAATAAGTTTACCAAAAGCAATGAAACTTTTATTCTGAAGGTTGTAAAATGTAACCAAGACAAATGGAAAAATATCTAAATAAATGAAAAGGCATACCATGTTCATGGATTGGATGATCTGATATTGTTAAGACGCAAATAGTTTCCACATTGATACACAGACTCAACATAATCGCTACCAAAAATCTCAGCTGACTTTTTAAAAACAGAGATGTCAAAGTAACCCTAAAGTTCACATGGAAATGAATAGTGTATGAAGTAGTCAAAACATTCTTAAAGAGGAGGAGCAAAGTTGAAGAACTCATACATTCCAGTTTCAACACTTACTACAAAGTATGTCTATGCTGATTAAGCATAGACATACAGATGTGTTGGGAGCTGCTGGAGTTGGTTGTTGGTCATGTGTCTGAGGGTGGGACAGATCCAGAGTGCCTCAGGCAGTCAAGCTACTTCAGTATTGAAAAAGTATCCTGCTTGGACAATTAGTCTTAGTCTTAGTGTTTGTCTTAGTCGCTAGGCGACATTATCTCTCAGGATACTACTTTGCAAGTGTATAAAATAAACTCCCCTACTGTTGGGAGTCAGTCCTCTTGCTCATCAGGCAAGAGGTAACTCCATCTGACCTCAGCTATTGTCTCTTGTCTTTATTTTCTATATCTTCTCACCGTTTTCTCCCAGGGACCACGGAGAGACCACCAACTCCCACACAGATGATTGGAATAAAGCTGTGTACTGAAGTAAACCCACACACTATCGATCAATTCATTTCCTAAAGAACACCAACACAATTCAGCGGGGAAAACAGTCTTTTCAATAAACAGTGCCTGGGCAACTACATACCATGTGAAAGGGCCTTAAGCTGGATAAACCATATATAAAAATTTACTCAGAATGGAGCAAAGACCTAATATAAGAGCTCAAACTATAAAAACTTTCAGAAGGAAACATGGATGTAAATCTTCATAAACTTGAATTAAGCAAGTTTCTTAGATATAACACCTAAAGCACAAATGACTTAAAGAAAAAAACAGAAATATATTTTACTTCATCAAAATGGAATATTACTGTTCTTCAAAGGACACCTTTAAGGAAGGGAAAATACAACACACAGAATGGGAGAGAATATTTGCAAATAATTTATGATAATGGTCTAGTACTCCATATAAAAAATTTTAGTTCAGCAACAATAAATGTGATTTTAAGACTGGTGAATGATCTGAATAGGCCTTTCTCTATGAAGGTACACAACAGCAAGTAAGGACATGTACAGATGCTCTATATTTTTAGCCATCAGGAAAACTAAAGTCAAAAGTACAGTGAGATGCATACCCACCAGGATGGCTATAACAAAAGAGAGGGAAGTAAAAAAGAGGTAAGGATGCGGAGAAATTGGAATTCTCACACACTGTTACTAGAAATGTAAAACGCTATAATTACTTTAGAAAATACCTAGTAGTTCCTCAAAAAGTCAAATACAGAGTTACCACATGATCCAGAAACTCTACTTGTAGTTATATACCCAAGGGAACTGAGGACATATGTTAATGCAAAAACTAATACATGAATGTTCATTATAGCATTGCTCATAATAGACAAAAAGTGAAGACAATTCAATGTCAAGCAGCTGATGAACTGATAAACAAAATGTAGTAGCCTCTTTCCCTGGAAATAAGATGTGGTCAGAAAATAAACAATCTTGAAAACTAGAGATCAAAAATGCTAGCCCAACCAGGCTCCCCTCACCTGCCATCACTCTTCCCTTGCTCGGTGGCTACTCTGTAAGGCAGGTAAGGCCAGGCTGACTGGGGCTGGCATTTTTGAGCTCTAGTTCTCAAGGCTGATTATTTTCCAGGAAACACTGTATCTACACAGTGGAATATTAGTCAGAAATAAGAAATGATGTACTGACACATTGATACCACATGGATGAATCTTGGAAACATTTTACCTAGTGAAAGGAGCCAACCACAAAAGACCACACATCACAGGATTCCTTTTATATTAAATGTCCAAAATAGGCAAATCCACAGACAGAAAATAGATTGCTGGTGGCCAGGAAATGAGAGGAGGGGAAATTAGTGAGTGCTACTAACAGGATTGGGGTGTCTTTCTAAGGTGATGAAATGCTCTGGAATTAAGTAGTGGTGATGGTTGTATAACCTTTTTTGGTGGCAGTTGTTAGGTGCTTGGGATGGAACCCAGAACCTCATTCATGCTAGGCAAGAGCTCTACCACTGAGCTATACACAGCCCTGCTAAGAATATGCTAAGAACAACTGAATGATATACTTTACAGGGGTGAATTTTATATGCTAAGAACAACTGAATGATATACTTTACAGGGGTGAATTTTATGGTATGTGAATCGTATCTCAATTTAAATAAAAAAACAGAAGATTATAGAAGCTATAGGACTAGCGGAGGAGGATTGGGCCAGCCTGGGCTACATGGTTAGACCTAGTCTAAAAAAAAAGTATAGAATAGATGTGACACCAGGAGAAGTGTAGTGAGGAGTCATAAGGGAAAACAGGTGTGGCCGGCACCTTGGGGATGTCAGTACTTGAGGAGGGTCCATGAAGGAATCAATGTAGAAGGAAGAGCCTGGGATGGGAACATGACTCTGAAGCTAGAAGAGTTTGATGAAGAAAGGAGATGTTAACAGGGCCAGATCTTGGAGATCTGGGGGATCAGCAGTGTGTGCGTGACCATGCATATGCATGAATATTAGTTTTTTGAGCACTTATGTCGGGCTGTGTGGCAGATGGTGATGGAGACAGAAGTGTAATTTTAGTGGGGAGGTAGAAAGGGAAGGTTGACCAGGCAGGAAGGAAAGAGAGGAAATTAAGTTAGAAAGGACCTTGCTTGATAGATCTTTTTTTCTCTCTAGGACAAGAGAGGTTTTAGTAGACTTGTAAGCAGAACTGGAACAGAGATTAAGAGGTCAGAGCCAGGCGTAGTGGCACACACCTGTAATCCCAGCACTTGGAGGCTGAGGCAGGAGGATCACTGTGAGTTCAAGGCTAGCTTGAACTACATAGTGAGACCCTGTCTCAAAAAGACAAAACAAAAACAAGCAAACAAACAGATTGAGAATCCAGAGAGGATGAAAGGAGAGTGCACGAGTAGGGGAAAGGTAACTGTTAGAGGGAGTCCCCAAAGCATTAGATAAGGGATTATTTGTGTACAGATGGGCTACCTCTTTCCAACAAGAGGAGAAAAAATAAATAATGATCGATGGAGGAATAGGCAATGGAGTTCTCAGTTGAAAATGTTCATTTCCTTCCTTCCTGTCTTCTCTTTCTTTTTTTTTGGTACTGGGAATTGAATCCAGAGCCTTCACACTGAGCCACATCCCCAACGCTTTTTTTTTTTTTTTTAGGACATGGCTGCAGTCCATAATGATAACATTCATTGTGGGGAGTTGGTATGTGTACACAACACATCTTAATTCTTTTTACTTCCATTTCTGGTTCTTTTTCCACTTGTGAAACAGCCCTTTTAAATTTTTATTTTGAGACAAGCTGCCCCAAGGGCCTGACTGGAGATGGAGCCACTGAGTTTTGTGGTATCCAATTACCAGCATCCAGAGTCTGTATCTAAGCCTGACCAGTTGCTGAATCCCAGGCCCAAGAGACCTACGTGCTCTTTGACCTGCTTCTCTGAAGAGTAGATCGAATCACCCTTGGACAACTGAAGTGAGGATGGAGCAAAATTACAAATGTAGACAAACAACACATTTGAGTAAAAATGTAAAGTGCTATTTTAATGATTGCTTTTGATAGCTCTTTGGCTCTGATCTAAAAGACAAGGAGATGACCTGTGAGGATGACAGGTCTCCCCCATGTGCCCTTATGCCAGGGATGGTGGGGCCGTGTCCCTGGCACAAATCACTGACCTGTCCAGGCATCACTGGAGGGCACCTCAGAGCCTTTACCTTTCAGAGACTTGCCAGAGCTGGCACATGATAGGCCCAGATGAAAAGCTGCAGTAATCTTCCCTCCACTTTTCTTTCCCTTTCTCCCACCACCTACCGCTGGGTGTCCTACCTTTGGGTGTGGTGTCTGAGGCATTCAGGGCTCCCTGAATGACTGCTTGAGCCTCAGAGTTCTTTTTCTTCAGAAAATCTATGGTTTCCCGCAAATCCAGCAGCTCAGTGTCCTAAGAGTGAAATGAAAGTAGTTTCATTTGTTATTTGGGATAAGTACAAGCACCTACAATGTGCCAGGCCGCCAGCTAAGCCCTGAGATTCTCCCAGACTTCACAGACAAAAGCAGGGAATTGGGGCCAGGAAGATGGTGACATTGCACTGAGGGGACACTTGAGAACCCAGATCACACCAGCGCTGGAAGAACTAACATTGGCGGGCAAGGGGAGGAGGGCAGCGCTGGCTGAGCCTGGAACCCCTTCTTGGGCTCTCACCTTCTCCTCCGCAGTCTCTGCCAGGTGCCGTAAGCGAGATGTCATGTTCACCAGGCTCTGCTCAAAAGCAGCCACTAGGTTAGCCTGGAACAAACACATAGGAGGATCTTAAACTGTGAGGGGTTGGGGGAAAGAAGACGCCTGACACAGGAAGTAGCTTTAACTGATTTTCTATGTCTCAGAGCTGACCAAGGCCAACACATCCCATGGTGGTTTTAAAATACTGGTTTCCCCGAGCAGACGGGAATCGAGGTAGAATCAAGATTTTCTGGCAGAAATCAGCTTTTTAAATAATGAAAAAAAGCAGGCTTTTGGAGGCTCCTGGAGATTTGAGATCTGGCACCTATCATCTACCAGAGGTGGGAGAGCCTCTCTGCTCTATGTGATACATGCATAGTGGGCTTGTGACATGGGAGGGTCACATCCCTTGGGGTCTGGTCCATTCCTTTGGTTTAACTCTTCTACTGTATAGGGGCTGGCCCCAGATAAGCTCCCAGGAGAATCTGTCTGGTAGGTCTCCTCCACCTCTGCACACCCACCCAGGGCAGCTCTCTATTCTTTGTTTTTTTTTTTTGGTTTTTCTCCGGTACCGGGAACCAAACTCACGACCTTGCGCTTGCCAGGCAGGCGCTTTGCCGCTGAGCTAAATCCCCAGCCCCGGCATCTCTCTATTCTTAACTCATCTTTGCTTTGGAGCTGTGCTTGTATTTATCTCCTCTCCCTGCTTTTGTAGGGCTGGAGGGAAGTAGGGAGAAACCTCAGGGCTATTTCACAGTTTGGACACTAGGTGTCAGGGCTGCTTCGTGAGGGGTGTAAGATAAAGGCAGGCTGGGCAGAAGGGGCTGAGAGGTTGTTTAAGGCCATGTGGAGCTGGTTTGAACTCTTAGTTGGCTGCAGGATGTATAGAAAAGATGAAGAGAATAAGGCATGGAACACTCAAGGGTGGAGAAATAGCCATCCGAGAGCAAGCTGGTGACCCTAGCAAGAATGATGGACACGTTCTAGGGAGGCCCTTCATGTGGTGCTCTAGGGGATCTCTGACACTCTCGCTGTTTCCTGTTGGCTTGGTCTACCACCCCGGCAGGTCAACTCTAGCTGTCACCCAGCGCCCTTGAAATATGTAGCGGTCTAGGGGGCTGGGGATTTAGCTCAGCGGCAAAGCGCCTGCCTGGCAAGTGCAAGGTCGTGAGTTTGGTTCCCGGTACCGGAAAAAAAAAAAAAAAAAAAAAAAAAAAAAAAAGAAATATGTAGTGGTCTACTTTCATTGGATCATGCCTACAGTCAATCCCTTCCCTCCCATCTGAGCCTTTCCCTCCACTTTCACTATAAATCTACCAAGGCCTCTGATCCTTAGCAGACATGTCACAACATGAGCAGCTCTCTTTCACCTTCTGTCTTCCTAATCTCAGGTCTTCTCTACATCCTGGTATGACCGTAGACAGGCAGTTTGTGATCTCTGGAATTCTACTTATGAGCCCCAAGAACCAAGAACCCCTGGCCTCCTGTGTGCTTTTTTCTGTGGGCCTCTCTTCATCCAGGGGCCTGGGGTTTTCTACTCCTCTACATTTCCTTCCTCCACTTTGATCTCTCCCTTAATCCCAATCTCAACCCAGGCTGCCTGTAGGCCCTGGCATAAAGGGGTTGTGCTGCACAGAGAGGTCAGCTTGGGAAGGGAGAGCGGCCTGGGCCCCTCCTGGTACAGGGTGTGCCCTCAGCTTCAGTAGCTTAGAAGTGCCATGTAACATGACAAAGTCTGGTTCGGTGCCAGGGGACCTTCCCAGGGTCCTGGTATCACATCTCCTGCTTGAGGGCAGGGCTCTGACCCTCAGTTAAAATCTGCTCCTAGACTCAGAACACACTGTGTCTGGGTGTTTAGTTTGTTCGCTTTTAGCTGAATGGAACTTCCTGTTCTAAGAAAAATCACCCTCTAAATTCATTTTCTTGGCCCTCGCCTAGTCTTAACAGCATGATGGCTGACAGATTGCAGTGTAAATGAATCAGATATAATAATGTTCACTGCCTCCCTGGCGCCTCTCCCCCAGCATCTCCCAGACATGAATTTCCTGGGGTGTGCAGGATGTGACCCAGGCCAATGGGCCTCGTGGGTGTGGCATGAGGGAGAGAAAAGATGAGTTTGTTCAGGCTGCAATTCCTATGGGTTCCCAAGAATGGGGAGAAGTGCTTGCTGTGATCCTTAAACAAACCAGTAAGTGTACAACTTATGAACTGATGGTTGGGGGAAAAAAAAAAAGATAATAACCAATGTGGTGAGGGAGCTGCTGCTGAAATATATTGGAAACAGGCACAACTTTGGTGGAGATTCTACCTGATTCCAAGGAATAGATCCCCCAAGCCTGACAGCTGGTTTCCCCAGAGAGGAAGGGAAGAGAAAAAAACCAGAAACTACTGCGGAAACTGGAGACATGGCTACTTTTGTGCAAACACTTGGAAAGCTCCTGCAGATCCGGCTCAGCTGTTGTTTACAGCTTTGGGGAAAAATGCCTCTTATGTTCTCTGCTTACAACTCGGTCACAGGGGAGAAACTACCACAACCTGGTTAGATGAGGTGGCTTCCTTTCTCCCCATCTCACAGAGTAGAAAAACTAAGGCCTAAAGGAAGAAAGATTCATTCTGAGTGGACATGGTGAGGGCAAGCTGAGGGCAGAAACAAAAAACACTGGCTCTGAACCTAAAGCTCAGAGCATCAGGTGGGTGTTTGTGAAGGATTTAGCTAGAGTGGGATTTAGGCTGCAAAGTGGTCACCAGGCAGGATCCTGGTGACTACCTCTGTGCTGCTCAGTTACACGGTGTGAACAGACACAAACACCCTGAGACAGTCAATGAGGACCCTGAGGACTGTATAATTAAATCCACAGTTGATGGCAAGCCCTTTGGCCTCCCCGCAGATCCCTGATAAACCTCTTCCCTCTCTAGGAAGGTCAAAGACAGCCAGACACCAACCCATCAAACCTGTCAATTAAGGTAGAGGCACAATAGTCCATTGTGTATGAAAATGGAGGCTCAGAGACGGTGAAGGACAACACCAAGTCCTCTGTTGTAGCAGAGCTGTGAAAACCCACCCCTTTGGCACCTAAGGCTAGGGCATAACCTTCCTCCTTGTCTGAATCTTCTTTTTTTTTTGTCTTTTTGAGACAGGGTCTTGTTATGCAGTTCAGGCTGGCCTTGAGCTCACTTTGTAGCCCAGGCTGGTCTCAAATTCACGACAATCCTCCTGCCTCAGCCTCCCCAGTGCTGGGATTACAGGCGTGAGCTACCACGCCCAGCTGGTCATGTTATCTCTTTTTTTTTTGGTACCGGGAATTGAATTCAGGACTTTGCGCTTGCCAGGCAGGTGCTTATGCTGCTGAGCCATATCCCTGGCCCCTCTAATTCTAGCCTGGTCTTTTTGTGCTTCAGGTACTCACGTTGGCAGAAAGTTGAGATGTCAGGGTGGCTACTTTCTCCTGGGATGATTCCAGTTCCCTACGAAGCTTCCGGATTTGCTGTGAAAGGAAGAAAAAGACAAACTCCTAATGGCCAAAGAAGTAGAAGATTTGGAAGGAAGACAGGGTGCAGTGGTGTTAACAAGCAGAGACAAAGGCTTGGACCCTACCTCAGATTGCATCCTCTCCTCAGCCTGAAGAAGGGAGCACAGGAAAGAAAGAGGGAGAGAGAGAGAGAAAGGTGTTACTATGGAAGGAAAGAAGCCAGGCCCCAGTGGCAGGGCAGACTTGAAGAAGCTTGATTCAAAGGTGCAGAGAAAGTGAAGCTTATTTCCTGATCCCGCTCCTTACAGGATTCAGCTCAGACCTACACTAGGACTGGGAATAAAAGGTTCTGGCCAGGTGTGGTGGTGTAAGCCTGTAATCCCAGCACTCAGGAGGCTGAGGCAGAGGGATCATTGTGAGTTTGAGACCAGCCCAGGCTGCCAAGTGAGCTCGAGGCCGGCCTGAACTGCAGAGAGAGACTTTGTCTCAGAAATGACCGAAAAGAAAAGATTCTTCAGCTGGGATTGGTAGTGCATGCCTTAGGGAGGCCAAGGAAGGAGAATCACAAGTTCAGGCCCAGCCTGGACAATTTAGCACATTTACTAGACTCTGTCTCAAAATAAAAAAATAAATTTTAAAAATGATTTCTCTACTGCTTATCTCCAGCCAACGTTGTCACTGTGGAGAAGGCTAGGAAATGAAGCTTTGGTTGGTTTGAAAACTAACCATTACTGCTAGTACCCTGAAGGAGTAAAAAAATGACAAGCAAAATACACCTAACGATTAAATACCTGAAAGCCAAATGCTGTGTACAGTGGCCCACAATCCACAGCTGGTCAGTTCTGCATAGTGAAGACTCTAGTTCCTACAGTCTTAGGAACTTGCTACAAATGCTTCCCACTTATGGTACAGAGAGGGCTCTATAACAAGGAAACTTTCATTTTTCAATGGAGGGGAAGTTGGTAGTGAGGCCAGAAAGACCCCTGAGGACCAGAGGCACCCAAAGAGTGCTCCAAGCTCTAGGCATGTTCCCCTCCCCGCCACAGATCCACTGGGGTAACAAAGAGACAGCCGCCTCACTCCTACCCAGTTACCCAACCAAAGGAGGCTCTGGGGAGCACGGGATGGTGGGGGATGGGGGGTGGGGGGAGGGAAAGCAATGCTCTTACTGAGGAGTACGTGGAGGAGGCACTGGAGGCCAGGGACAGCACAGAGCCATGAACTGAAAGGGAAAGAGGACACAAAGGTTAGCAGGGGCACCACGGACAAAGGGTTCCTGGAAGAGCCCTAAGGCAGGAGTTTGGATTCTGATACTGGAGGGCATCTGGAGCAGACAGAAACAGCAGAACAGGGAACCCAGCTGGCATCCCCATGGCCCAAAGCAGGCAGGTTTCCGGGGAGCCATGGCGCTGAGTGGAGGCAGCCTCCTCTCTCATCTACATTCTCTGGCAGCCTGGGCATGGCAGTCCCCTGCTCAGCCTGCTCCGAGGGGCACAGGGCTTCAGCAAGAGGGAGAGGAGGTTTTCGTGGGTAGTTGCCATCTCATCTTCCCAGTCAGGAAAGTACTTTAAGTTGCAGGACGGGGAGTTTCTTGTCAGAGGTACTCCGAGCAAATACTGCAAATCTGCCTGTGCCTCCTTTTAGGGGACTTGTCTGGGGGTCATTCAGATGAAAAAAGTATGCGTGGGGCGTGCTCATTCTAATTACTCCACAGAACCCATCGGAAGAATTAAAGCTCACCTGCAAGGAATGTCTCCTGAAAGGAGCACCCTGAAAACGACAACGGGAGGCCTCACATCTCACAAGGCCTGGCGCCCCTCCTAGTCACCACCACTCCCCCTCAGATGACCCTCCCTGAAACTAACCTATGGAACATTCTAGAAAGAGGAATGAGATGCCTAAAGCTTTGTGAGGATTTCAGAGCTGCCATTACGTCCCTGTGTCTTTTCTAAAATGGAGAGACTGGGGAGGAAAGACTGCTGCTAGGCGGAGGAGGACAGAATTCCCTGAGAGGCACGGTTTTCCACTCTGGAGTCCCCCCCCAACCCCATGAGATGCTTCATCCCAAAGTCCCAGTGCTAGATGGCACCACCCAAGGTTTCTGAGCCCCCAGGCCCTTCAAAGGAATGGGAAGAAAGAACGGAAATGGCCCATGTCGATGTCCTGTGAATCGTGTATGTGTGTGTGGTGGTGGCGGTGGTGGCAGTGGAGGTGGCGGTGGGTGAGGGGACCCAGCAGAGCTGGAATGAGCGTGAACCGCGCTAGCATGAAGTCTCACCATCGTCCGTGGGGTCTCGGAAGGATCCTGACCGAATCATTCCCTTGGGTCTCTCGGCCAGGGACAGGGTGCTCCCCATTTGGGAGCCGCTGTACAGCTCGAAGGCCGCCTCGTGGGTGGGGATGCTGTTGGAGCGAGTGATTCTTGGCGTGGTGGCCGCAGTGGGACTCACTGGAAGGACAGAGGGGAGGGGGACAGGAGAGGGAGGAGGCGGGAAAAGAGGCAGGGTTATCAGCTCTCTGGTCCCTTGGGGGACGGAGCACCAGGAGCATGAGAGGCAATGAGGAGGGGGCAGGACAGGGAGGGGCAGGTGGGCCGGTGGGAGTGTGCAAGCAGCTGGTGGTTAGGAGTGGGGTACCTCTGGGGGAGGCCAAGCCCTAATGGCAAAAGAACCTGCTGTCTGGAATAAGAATCTTCCTTCAACCCTGCCTGCCTTGGAAGTGGTGCTCTTGAAGGTCAGGCTGGGGGCCTGGCAGCGTTCCTGAAACCTTCACATCACTGGGATGTGCTGATGGAAATGGATGTAGTGGTTCTCCTGAACACAGCTGGTAAACTAGGGGGACTGAGCGCTCACACCAACATCAGATCCGAATGACAACGAACTAGCTAGAGAAGGGGTCCAGGCTGTGGGTCCCAATGGGCTCAGCATCATGCAAGGGGGTGAGAGCCTCCCCCAAAGTGGTGCCAATCTAGGCCACTTTAGGCCAGCTCTAAAGCATCAGGAAACTCTCTGCCCAGCATCCCCCTGGCTTGCAGGTCAGACAGAGAGTGCACAGATGTGTCATGTAAGGCTGTGGGGTCTGCTATGAAGCTGAGCTCTGCTGAATCTTGTTGAACTGCAGAACCTTCCCCTTTCTCCCTTGCTGGGATTACAGCCTTTTAGGGTTCACCCGCTCGAGGAGCTCCCTCATCTATGCTTTTGCCTCCACAGAGGCAGGTGGATGTCTACTCTGTCCGTGAAGACCTGCACAGAAGGCTTCACACCTCTCTTGTGGTCCCTTTGAGTCACAAGGTGATTACTGGTTAACTCAGTCCCTTTTTCCACAGCACGAGTGCCTTTCCTCTTGCTTGGTCCTCAGTGGAGATGGAAAATGAGCCGGCCAGATCCTCCATTAAATAGCCCTTTCCCAGCGGGATGACCCTCCCTAGGCAAAACTGATCCTGACTCCTGGCCTTTCCTCAGATTCCCCACAGTCACTGCACAGGCCTGGTACAGGTCCTGGTTTAGACTAACTGCTTACTTTCACTTGGCTGAAAGAGACGGGTTTAGAGAGAAGCAGGAAGCAAACAGGAGCTCAATGCCAGCCACTGCCCCAAAGGGGTTCCCATAAGGCCAAGCCTACACGACACTTCCCAGAGCCAGGCGTGTGCTTCTGTGCCAGTGCCAGGCCCACCCCCAAGGTTTTGTCCCCTCCCTGTCTCTGCGTCACCAAACCACTTCCTGCTATCCCAGCTTTCTCTTCTTTCCAGCTTTAGAAAGGGTGTAGCCAGGCCAGGTCTTAGTCAGCTCTACCTCCAGGGCTAGGATGGCCTGGCCCAGCCAGAGCAGTTGGGGAACTGGAGTTTTCTGGGTTTGGAGGCCGTTCCCATTCTTCACAGTCAGTGACCCTTCCCTGCATGTTAGTGCTGCCCTCTCAGCAGCTGGCAGCTCTAACTGGTTTGATCTTCAAGCTTCATGGATTTTTAATAGCATCGTCAGACTCTCTGATACTCTAGGACCCTATAACTTGTACCCAGGGGCAACTGCTCAGTATAGGATCTTGGAACATCTTGCCTTTAATCTTGCTTTGGGTTGATAAACTGAGCCACCATGAGCCACCATGAAGCAGCCAGGTAGCATGGGTGAAATACCATATGGAACCCCATGGCCAGCTGCCTTGCCTCACCCTGCAGGGTGACCACTGCTGCGTCCCATGCCACAGCGAGCAACCAGTAACACTGACCTATGTTGGTAAGCTGGCCCTTGGCACTCAGGGACACGGAGAGGGCAGGTGGGGAAGGTAGCTCTGCCTGGTCATCGGATTCGGGCAGCCCGCCGATGGTGTGGGAGTGTCGTCTCTCCTTGGTCTCCTCCTGGGACTGAAGCTGGTACCTGTAGGAGGCAGCAGAAGAACTCAGTCTGGGCCACTACAGAGGGATGCCAGAGGCTTAGTTGATGTGGGGATATCAGCTAAGCTGGGCCCAGCACAAAGCAGAGCAAGGAAAAGTGGGAGCAGTCAGGGCTCCCGACTCTGTCTTGGGATGGTGCTGAAGGACCAGCAGGCACTCTCAAGATGGCTCCCGGCCAGTGGTGGAAATGATGGAGGAGGCATTAAAACTTTCCCCTTAGCTCTCAGGGCAGAGCTCTATGCTTTCAGGTATGGGCTTTTGGGTCATAGGAGTCCCCACCCAAATGAGCTATTCAGAGTTGCCCAAACAGTGCAAGACCAGGTGTGCCTGCCCCTTGTTCTACCAAGGAGTCCAGAGCCACACACACCGTGAGGGAGGAAATTCCAGACAGGAAGTTCAGCCTGGATTGGAACAGCCCGGGTGGGTACAGGGAAGTGCAGGATTCTCTCATGCAAACTCTTTTGTCCCTTGTCCCAAAGCCCACTCACTGTAAAAGCTGGCTCACATGATGGCAGGGTTGGGCAGGGCGCTGGTGGCATTTGTACAGAACCATATATAAATGAGCATACAGTAGTCATACTGATTTCCTGCACAGGGCCTGGGACAAATCAAGTTAGGATTTTTTATATGGACCAGGGGCCCCAGTATAGGGAAAAAAACACATTTAAGGGTTACCTGAGCCCTTTCTTGGGAAGGGTGTTCCGATCCCGCTGATTACTGTGGAGATGAATAAAGAAAAGCTTATAAGTCCAGCTTAGAAACAGAAGTTTAGGCTTATAGCCCCGAGAGGAGCACACTCTGGACACAGGATACCAAACTGTGAGACCCTTTATCTCCATAAACAAACTAAGTAGACAATCACAGCCAAGTTCCTGCCTACAACTCGGGAACCTTCTCTGAAATGTTAAATGTTTTGCTCTGATTGGGAATTAAGGGATAGTTGGCTATTAAAAGATATTACGATAGGTGAAAAGCAGGATGTGATATTACATGTGAGTTTGGACTAGAAAGCAAAAGAGCTGTGGATGACAGGTAAAACTAATTATGAGATCTTGGATAAGTTACTCAACTTCTTATGTACAGGTTTCCTCATTTATATCATGGGAAAAAAACAACTTATATCATGGAATTGTTGTGAAGCAAATGAAATTACTTAAAACATGTGAAAAACTTTTGCAAGTCACAAAGTGGTAATCACATATAGGGCGGTATTGCTAATGGCCAAACGAGCCCAAAGCAGGAACACCAGCTTAGGCTCAGCCCTGTGTCCATCCACCCACCTGTCCGGCTGTCCGGCCCTGGGGCTTCCGCTCCAGGTCAGCTCTTCTGTTTCTTCCTCTGGGGGCGCAGCAGGAGCAGCAGGTGGGGTGGGGATGGGAGAACTGCTGGGGAAGGTACTGGGCAGGCTCATTGGCATCTGGAGGGACTCCATGCTCCTGTGCAGGCCTGAGAGTTTGGGGTACATGCGGGTTTCCTTGGGAACACTGAAACCGCTCATTAGCTCCAGGCCCTGGGAGAAGCTGGCTGAGTTAATATTGAGGATAGGTGCCGGACTGGGGGTGAAGCAAGTAGGGAGAGGGCCCCCAGTTGCTGAGCTTGTAGCATGCAGGTCTGGGACTTTTGAAGTGTGGGTGTCGCTGGACGACGGTAGATCCAGACTGTTGGAGTTGACCTTGTCTAGATTGGCTAGTGAGGGTGGCTTGACAAAGCTCTTAGCTGTGGCCCTGAGAGAAGTGAAGATAAAATAACACATTTAGGATAACAGAATTATAGATCAGGAGGCAGTCTTTCTCTAGTTTCCTTTCTGAAAAGTATAGACTATCCTGTAAGTACAGGCTCATCCTAATGCTGTTGAGAAATTAACGGGAAGGAAATCAGCTACCTGACTTAGGACACCTTCAGTCTTAAAAACCGACAGTATATGCATGTGGGAAACACAAGTCAATTTATATACAAAAGGGTACTTGTGTAGAAAGAAATACAATAAAACCATCTATACAAAAATTAGAGACAGGTTAGGTGTGGATCAGGGAATAGCATAAGCAAAACAAGTTTGGAATACAGTTTTTCTATTTCATTTCCTTTATCCCCTCTGCAGTACTAAGGATTGAACCCAAGGCCTTACACCTGCTAAGCAAGCACTGTACTACCAAGCTACATCCTATCTATCCAGCCCTTTTTATTTTGAGGCAGGGTATTGTTAGATTGCCAAGGTTAGCCTTGAACTTTTGATCCTCCTGCCTCAGCCTCCCGAGAAGTGGGATTACAGGTGTGTGCCACTGAGCCTGACTTGCATACAGTTTTGAAAGATACTTGGCATCTAGGGGAGGCAAAAGATGATGCAAAGGCCTAGAGAAGAAGTGGATAAGCCATCCCAAGCCTAGTCTAAAGAGGGTAAGGATATGCAAAAGAATAGCAGAACATGCAGACAGGGAGGAAAGTACCCATTTTGGGTACCTGAGAGGGGTTGGTGGCAGCTCTGCAAGCTTAGTGGCTGGGGGGTGGCTTGCTTGGTTCTTGGGAGTACTCTCTGGGGAGCCAATGCTCTTCAAGGAGATGTTGTCTGAGTCCAAGGCCACTGCCTTGGCTTTGGCCTTTTCCTTTTCCCGATCTGTCTGATTGACGGGAGCTGGCGCGCTCCGCCCACTGGCAACCTTGGAGGGCTCCTTCAGTCTAGAGGGGGTAAGGCCCGCTTGCTTGGTGCTGAGCAGACTGGGATCAATGCTGCTGCTCACAGGGCGAGGTCCGCCCCGCCCACCAGTCACGCTCATAGAACTGGACTTGGCTGGCCGGGGCAGGCTGCGGTACTGGATGTTGGACCGGGCTCCAGGAGCCAAGAATCCGGGCTCTGCGCTGTTGGACACATCTAAGCTTGTCTTGCGTCCATTGACAGGCTTTACGGGGATGCCCGAGGACTTCTGGATCTTGCTGAGAGTGGCTGAGCCACCAGTCTGCATGACAGTGGCTGTGCCTGTGGCAGGAGGAGGCTTCTTATAGCCAAAGGATCCTGAAGTGGAGGGGCGAGCAATGCCCGAGGGGGGCTTCTTAGCATCGCTCAGACGATCCCGGCCAGCATCGGAAGAGGAACGCTGTAGCCCAGCATTCTTCACTGTAAGCTTGCCCTTGTCTGTGGCTTTGCCTTCAGGTTTACCTGTAAGGGCAGAAAATAAGGTAAGAGCAGCTGACCCTGACCAGTATCTTTTTTGGAAGGGAGGTGGTGGTACTGAGGGTTGAATTCAGGGTCTTTGTACTGAGATACACCTCCAGCTTTTAGATTTTGAGACCTGGTCTAAGTTTCCAGGCTAGGTTTGAACTTGCAATCCTCCTCCTGCCTCAGCCTCCCAGAGTGCTGGGATTACAGACATGTGCCACCATGCCTGGCTTCACCAGTATCTTAAAAAATCTTTTTCTTTCTCTCTGTGGAAGAAGGGAACATTGTCAATGTATTGTAGAATTCCAGAGGCCTAAATAGGGTAAGCAGGTACTGAATAAACTGACGAAGTTTCTTGCCAGAGGAATTCTGGGTGGGAGAGGTAGGAAGGTGAGGTCTTTGCTTGTTTTGTTTTTTGCTGTTTTCTGCTCCCAGCATAAGATGACTTACATTGGATAAGATGGTAAAGCCAACCACAGAAATAATCAAGAAAAAGGTGTATCAAATAACTGATCCAGACAGGAAAAAAATTCAGTGAGGCCATGTCCATTGGTAATTAGAGACTGGAAGGAAATGTTGAGTAAGGCTGAAGTGACCCAAGGAGACAACTTTGGAAGCACTGCAATCTCTTGCTGCCACTATTGGACTTATTATTTTCCTAGGCTCTAGTATCCCATAAAAATAAGGACAAAGACTAAATGTTTTGGGAGGGGAAAGAAAGTAATGGGAAATGTTTGCAGAGAGGTGAAACTAGTCACTGAATATAACGTATTTTCTCTCCCCTCCACCTCGTGTCAGTGGTGTGATTTCAGCCCAGCCAAATTCCCAGTTTGGGTCTGCTTCCACATTTGTGGAATGGACATGGTGAGACTCATTTTTCTGAACTCAGAGGACTGTCTTAAAGACCAGAGAAGACAATGCATGCTAAAACATTGAGGTTTGCTATCCTCTTGTGGGTTAATATCCATTAAGACTAACAATCAGGCCCTTGTCCCTGCCTTTGGTCCAGACTCACCAGCAACTTTGAGGGCACTCTGGGCTGTGTGAGTGATGGGGGATGTGACAGCCACCGGAGGGGTCTTGCCCTTCTTCAGAGAACCAGGATGTCCCAGGCTGATGGGCTTTTTCAGTTCCCCAACCTTGGATGAGTCATCACAGCTCTCGGGCCGCTCCCTCCGCCACTTAGAAGTCCCAGGCTCCATCTTCAGGCTACCACTGTCGTACTCCAGTTTTTTAGGGGCCTTCTCCTCTGATTCACTAAACCAGCTCAGCCCACTTTCTGCCAGGGAGCGCTTCTCCGAGTCTGTGCGTAGCTAAAGAGAAGAGAAAAAGGCAGAGTGAGACATCATGGGGGAAGGGGACATGGATAGGTGATGGGATTTATTTTCATTAGAAAGTGGCTCTGCCACTCCCAGAGTTTGAAGTCAATCCAGGGTGTCTACCTGTATCCCTAGGGTTCCAGACAGAAGACATCATATTTATCTCTGGGGTGCTTCTCTCCAGCTGGAGCACATCTTACATGTATCACCCCAGATAGGTGTGAGTAAAAAATATAGACACTATGACAACATCTGCTGTCTTGTGTGACTGCTTAGATGCCTTCACTTTTCTCTGTTAGCACTGAAAAGTCCTGGCTGATGGGAACCAGTCCTATGGAGTGGGCGTGTCTACACCTAGCGCATACACAGGCACTGGCAGGTTTGCCTTGCACTTTATCTTGAGCTGGGAGCCTGGTGTTTGCAAAGTCACGCACCACTATTGTAGAGTTCCTGCGAGAAGCAGTGGGCGTAGTCGGGAGGGAGTTGAGTGAGGAGCTGGCATTGAACTCTTCCGAGCTGAGGTTGTCAGAGGCATCACTGAGCCCGCTGCTGATAGAGCTGCTTTCATCCCAGCTGCAGGATAAGAGAGAGAAGTCCGCAATTAAAACAGAAGCCAAGGCAAGAAATAAGTTTCTCATATGATGGGAAGAATGGCTCTTGGGGATCAGTCCTGGGTTTACCAGTAATTCAAAGGGTGGCTTAAGCCTCCTTGTAATTTGGTGATGTTCTTTTCCAAAACAAAGAGACTCTTTTATCTGGTAAGAGAGGATGTTATGTTTCCTTAATAGGAAGGTATATTATAAAGATAAGGTAATTTTTGGATCTGTCTAATTATACAAACCAGTTTCCTCTCTATAAACAACCTCTACTCTCATAATTACCCTACTTTTGCTCATTTTTAGTTGTGGTCCTCGTGGATCTTCCCCACCAGTTTTGTAAAATTGTATCTGGTAACAAAGGCAAGGAAGAGATTTCCCTTTTCTGGAGCCTTCAGACCCATCGTTTCTCTTCGCTCACCTTCTGCCCAGCTCTTGCACCCTGGGACACACGGTGCTGCTTCGAAACAGCACAAGTGCTCTTCTGGCAAATGAACCGAACTCAGCGTGCTGGCGCCAAGGTGCCAGACTCCTGTGGGGTGGTTCCATTTGTCTGCCAGTTGCTTGGAATTCAGGTTTGTGGTATCAAGGAGAGACTGTTGTTCATCATCTGTATCTATAAACACCTGTATCTGAGGACCCTGGCCCCTGCAGGAAGTGAATTTAGTGTAGCCTCCATATCTTCCTGGTTTGGGCTCTACTGCCTTCCTTTGGCTGGTCAAGTTTTAGAGCTGACAAGCTTCACAGTCAAAAGTTTATTCCTAACATCTAAACCGAACAGCATCTTGTGCTAGGCCTACCACTTTCTTCTTGTCCCGCCCTTGTTTGCTATTCATATGCTTCTATTCTCTCACTCTCCTTCCCTGCCTCCTCCCCCCGTCCCACCCCTGGCCCAGGGTCTCACTACAGAGTTCAGGCTGGCTTTGAGTTCCGCATTTGGCCCAGGGTGGCCTTGAACCCCTGGCTGGCCTTGAATCCTCTTGCCACACCCTCCTAAATGCTAAGACTACAGGCATGTGCCACCACGCCCAGCTCAATCATAATATTTTCTAAGCCCAAATTCTGTCTCCTAGAAACTTTCTTCAGAAGCCATGTGTTTCAAGTCTTTCCCTAAAATGTTCTTCAGCTTTTACTCCGGTTTAACTAAAGTTGAACACAGGAGTTCAGCAAGTCTGCTATGTGTAAGTATCTGTTTGTGTTTACAGGAAATAATCTCTAATTCCTTGTATCTGTTCAGGGTAGGTTTGTTTATCAGTTTTGCATGTGTGCAAGAACTAAAGAGGCTGGAGATGTTTTTTTCTGCGAATTAGCTGGTATTTGGAAAATTTTTCTTTTTCAATTTATTTTGAGTTTCAGATCACGGAACAAAAATTAGACATACAAGTCATCTCAGTGCCTGGCCCGGATCTCTGTGGCCTCCTTCTAATTCACATGCTGGGAATAGGAAAGTGGGTGGTTTGGACATTTGGCTTGGTAGTTCTGTAGTGATTTATCCAAATATATTGAGAATGAGCAAAGAAAGTATGTGAATTAGGATGTACTACTGAGTTATTTAAATTTTATTACCAGAAAATATAGCCATTATTAAATGATACCCTCCCCTCGTGACATACATTCCTTTTGTGTTGGGCTATCATCTCTCTCATTTTGTAGAGAAAGAATACTGAGGAAAGACCAGTGCTGATTTTATGATCCTATCAGCAATTCTTGGTCAAGATAAGATCTCTGGAAAGCAAACAAACAAACCATTCACCGCAAGTTCTCTTAGGTCAAAGTCATAGGAAGCCTGTAGGTCTTTCATCTGAGATTAATTACTGGAATCAAGATTCTAGAGCAAAGAAAGCTCTCTTTTTAGGGATGGGTTCTTTTTGTTGTTGTTGGTTTTTTTCATCTTTTTGAGACAAGATCTCACTATGCAGTTCAGGCTGGCCTTGAGCTCACTATGTAGCCCAGGCTGGTCTCGAACTCAGAGCTATCCTTCTGCTTCAGTCTCCCTGAGTGCTGGGATTACAGGTGTGCACCACCATGCCCGGTTTAGGGATGGGTTCTTGAAAAAAAAAAACAAACTGCTGCAGGCTAGAAACCCAGAAGAAACCTTTTGCTCCCATTATGTCAGGCCTACTACTGAAGTGCAGGAGGGGGTTATCTTCCAGGAGAGAGTTAGGATGCTCCTTGCTAAAGCCATTCCTCCAGAGCTCTTTTCCTACAATGAGGAATTACAAGTCTAAAATTACCAGGGAAGTTTGACTAGAGGATTTAAAGATTTCCTAACAAAGCTTCTTTCCAGGAAGAAAAGAAAAATTCTATTGTCATTACCTAAAGGTTAAGCATTTCTCCTGGAGAGACCCCACTGCAGGGAGCATATTTCTTTTAAAAACAAACAAACAAACAAATAAATAAAAGGGCTGGGTATGATGGTGCACGCCTGCAATCCCAGTACTGGGGAGGCTGAGGCTGGAGGATCACTGTAAATTCGAGGCCAGCCTAGGCTACATAGTGAGTTCAAGGACAGCCTCAACTACACAGCAAGATCTTGTCTATAAATAAGTAAGTAAATAAATAGATAGATAAATAAATAGAAAAAGTGGGGTTGGGGATTTAGCTCAGCAACACAGCGCCTGCCGGGCAAGCACAAGGTCATGAGTTCGATTCCTGGTACCAGAAAAAAACAAAACAAAAAAAGAAGAAAAAGTGATAAACACTGTAGTGATGATTCAAATATTCCTTAAAAGTATACATGACTACAATCCAAGCACTCTGGGAGGCTGAGGCAGGAGCATTGCCAAGTTTGAACCTGCCTGAACAACCTAGGGATTTAGCAAGACCCTGTTTCAAAATAAAAAATGGATAGGGCTGTAGCTTATTGCAAAGGCCCTGGATTCAATTCCAAGTACTGGGGGAAAAGAAAAGGAAAAATGCCCTTTTCCTTCACTTCTGGTTTTACCTGCAAGGTAACCAACCCTTTGTGCTTCCTTCAAAAAATATCTTATTCATATCTATGTCTTTTAGCTGTTTGCTCTTGGAGCTGCTGAATAGCTGACATTGTGGGTACATAGAGAATGCAAGAGTTGTGGGGTTAAGGCAGTTTCCACCCCATTTCAGCAGGTCTGGGAGGCCAGGCAGTGTGCCCGTGAGAGAGCAGTGTATGAAGCTGTGAATGTGAAGCCGGAGGTGCAATGAAGACCCCAGAAGTTTGGAGAAGCCAGGAACATGGATCATCTGCAAGAAAACCTGCAAGGAGGGAGCAAAATGAGCCTAAGAGAGAAGCTGTGGGAGCTATAACCACTGAAAGTGCCATAGGGGTGGAATCACGCAAACCTTTTGGAACTCACAACTTGCCATAGATTGCTTTGGATGTTCCACAAGGAACAACAGGAGTTAATGGTAGCCCTGCTGGATTTTGGACTTGCTTTGGTCCCATTCCTTTGTATCCCCATTTGTAACTTTTGGAATGGAAATGTCTATCTTGTGCTCTTGAATGTTGGAAGTGTTTAACTTTCTTTTCATTTGTACAGGGGCTCACAGTTAAGAGTGCCTTATATCTCAGAGGAGACCTGGGACTTGGACTTTTCAGCAATGCTGAAACTGTTAGGACTTTAGCAACTCTCAGAGATGGACTAAATGCCTTTTGCATAAAGGGATGTGCATGAGTCTTTGGGGGCAGGCTTCTAGAGTTTGTGAGTGATCCATGGTCCAATGCTGGGATTATAGGTGTGGTTACTACCCCCACCCTGGGGCAGATAGCCTGCATACAATATAAGAGAGGGAAAGGGGCTTGCTCTCTGGCTCCTCCCTTTTTGCTTTTGTTGTTTTTGCTGTCTTCCTCAGCCATGAATTGTTGCTTCTCTGCCACACCAGCCTGCCTTGGAGCCAGCTGATTATGGACTGAAACCTCCACAAACTGTGAGCTAAATAATTTCTTCCTTAATTCTGGGCATCAGGTATTTTGTCCCAGCAACAAAAGAAAAGTAACTAAGACACCAGCTAATAAATAGCTCCTGTTCCAGTTCTGGTTGCTCCTGTCTTTTAGAAATGGCTGGTCACTGTGATGCACATTGTATAAACCAGTCCCTAATTCATAAGCCATTCTGCCTCTGTACTTCCTGCTTGCTTACTCCATATATGCCCTAGACCACCAGAGATCAGGGCCTGATATTTTGGGATGATCCCCATCAGTGCCCGTCAACATAAATCTGCCTCCAAATCCAGGGTGTCATTTTAGTGTTTACGTTGCAGATTCACCTGAGATTCTCTTGTTTTAGCAAAATACCTTCCATTAGAGTACTGGAAAAGGATGCTTTGGAAGTAAACTTTGTAAGATCTTCTACCTTTACATGTGAGATTTAGGCTAGGCGTAGACTTCTAGGATGAAAAGAATGTCCTTTCTGAATTCAGAGGGACCATGCCACTGTCTCGATTCTACTGTTGCTATCCTGAGTCCTTGTGCCTAGTATGTGACCTGCTTCTTTGTCTTCTTTCTGGAACTTGCAACACCTTTTCCTGTTCTGAGACATCAGTGATGACATGTCCTGAGTCAGTGCCCTGTTGGATCCTTTACACTTACAAGCTCGTGACCTTCAGTTCTGGGAAATTTTCTCATTCTAAAAAAAAATTTTCCCCCTCATTCTTCTTCCTCCTCCTCCTCCTCCTCCTCCTTCTTCTTCTTCTTTTTTTTTTTTTTTTTTGCCCTAGTATTGAGCATTGAACCCAAGGCCTTCCTGTTGAGCTACATCTCTAGCCCCATCTGTCTATTTGTCCTATCTACCTATCGATCAATCCATCGACTGATCGACAGGGACTCTCACTAAGTTGCTAAATTGCCCAGGCGAGGCTCATAATTATAGTCCTCCTGCCTCAGCTTCTCACAGTACTGGGATTACAGGCATGCAGTACCTGGATTCTCCTCTTCATTTTTCAGTTCTCTTTTCTAAGATGTCTGTTATTTGCAAGACAGGATTTTAAGCTGAAATCTTGATT